AGCCAGTACTGCCCTCCTTGCGATAGTTAGGCTTACAGTCAGTGCACTTGAAAGCACCGTTGTTAGAGCAGACACTGCAGCCTTCGCGACCCTTATCGTCTACGCTATCGCATGGGACGCACTTCTTCCCCTGTTGATCTGTAGTAGTTACTAAGAAGTATCCAGTCTTGCAGGTTTCACACTTATTTGGATCACCAGCAACAGAGCATGTGGCACAGTTATCACCACACTTGTCTGTACATGTACTAGTACCACTATCAAAGAAGTATCCATCGAGACAGGCTGAGCAGGTTGGATTGTCACTTCCTGTTTTCGTACATGTCTTGCAGTTGGCCTTTCCTTCGTTACCAAGAGTTGAATCTGTCACATCACTACAAAGAGCACACGTTTTGTCCTCCTTCATAAATAAGGCCTCGTCAGCGCCCTCGCATCCTTCAAGCGTCTTCGCCACGCAGGTCGATGTCCCGTCGAGGGCCGTCCTGGGGGTCTTATTGGTCCCGCAGTTAGTGCACTTCGGCTTCCCCGTGGCCTTGTCGAAGGAGCATGCCGTGCACTCTGCGTGTATCGTACTACATGCCTTGCATGTTCCCGACTCCGGGTCAGCATAAGTGTTTCCATCGCATCCAGTATCTTGTACACATTGATTACTCTTCAGGTACTTCCCCTCTGGGCACGATGTACAATGATTCTGACCACTTGCATCGCAGGTCAGACAAGACTGATCACACTTCTCACATGCATCACCCTTCTTAATGTATCCATCTTGGCAGACAGTGCATGTGGCCGGTCCGCTAGTGCCCGTGTGGGAGCATTCTGAGCATCCAGCGGCTCCCGTGACCCCGTCTCTATCTGTCGTATCAGAGCACAGGATGCACTCCCTTCCCTTCTCTGGTGCTGTAGCAGGGTTCTTGAACAGGCCGTTAGCTGTCTTACAAGCAGTGCACAGTCCATCACTGGCTGCTGTGCATATCTCACTCCACTATCACCCTCTATCACCCATTATCATACACTATAGAGCATTCACTACCTAAGTCACGCCTTCCCTCTACACAGGAACCACCAGCAGAGGAACCCTATGAGACCCCCACGACAGCGATGACAGCGACGGAGATGCCCGCGATGGCCCCCGTGGAGAGCCCGCTCCTGTTGGTGCTCATAGACACACAGGAGGTCCCACTGCTGTCAGGGCTATATCCATCGTCGCACACACAGACAGAGTCGGTGTCAGTGGAGTTGCTGGGACACTTATCCACGCATGACTTCCTCCCAGGGCTCACCTTCTTACCATCATTACATGCCTCGCACATGTCATCCCTGTTGCAGTGCGAGCATCCACTAACGGCACATGCGAAGCACCCACTGCCATCCCTGTTGGGCTTCCTATCACTGTCACAGGAGGTACATATAGCAGCAGCCATACCACCATCAGACAGAGCTGCTGGGGCTGTGCACTGTGAACAGTTGAGTACCCCCACGTATGCCTTAGCAGTACCTTGAGTGCCTACTAGTGTGCCTAATGGGTTACCACATGCCAATACAGACTGATTCTGATTGGATGCTCCTGGTACTACGAAGTACTTATTGTTGGCCGCCTCTGTGCAGACACCAGCTGTTGTTGCTTCAGTGCACATGAGGTTACCAGGTGGACTTGCTACCTTATAACAGCCTCCCATGTATAAGAAGTATCCTTGAGCACACTGTGTACATACACCTTTAGCACAAGTATTACCATTTATACTACCACTATCAACACACTTCCCATCAATCGGTACCTTACTGTCATCCCCACAGTATGAACAGTAGTGCTTTGTGTTGCCCTTATCATCTATTACGATGGCATCACAGGCGCCAGAGGTACCCCCGCATGCAGTCTCATCTTCACAAGTCTTGGTACATGTAACAGGACCGGTACCGCTCTGCTTGTAGTTCACCTTGCACTTTGTACACTTGAGGGATCCAGTACTGTTATCACACTCGGCACACCCATCGATGCCATTATCGGTTTTGCTATCACATGGGACACACTTCTTCCCACCCGTAACATCAACTAGAAAGAACCCTGCTTTGCAGGTCAGGCACTTATCCTCAGCAGTTTCAGCTGAGCATGTGGCACAGTTGGCGTGACAGGGGGTGCATGTTACTGAACCAACTCCGGTACTTTTGTATCCCTCCAAGCATTCTGTGCAAGTGGGCTTTGCACTCGAGGTCTTCGTGCAAGCCTTACAGCCGGCGACGCCCTGATCCTTCGGATCTGTCCCCGTTTCAACGTCGTCGCACAAAAGGCATTTGGACTTGTCCTCTACTATAAACAAAGCGTTGTCTTGTCCGGCACACCCGGCGTAGTCCTTCGCCACGCAGGTCGAGGTACCATCCAAAGACACCCTGGGGATCTTGGCTCCGCCGGTACATTCAGAGCATTCCAGTTTTCCGCTGGCCTTATTATATGCACACGCAGCGCATTCTTGCACTCCTGCCGTACCGCCGGCACCTGAGCCTGCGGTACAGGATTCGCACTTTCTGGTTGCTTCGTCGGCATAGGTGCCCTTTGCACAGGCAGACGCCTCTACACAAGTCTTACTATCAGTCTTCAAATACTTCCCCTCTGGGCACGATGTGCACGCATTCTGGCCACTTCCATCGCAGGTCAGACAAGCTTCATTACATTTGACACATGTCTGAGCGTTCTTATAGTATCCATCTTGGCACTTAGTACACGTGGCAGCCCCCTTATTATTAGCTGGTGCTGTACATGTGGCACAGCCCTCGACTCCCTTCGTCGCGCCATCTCCCACCGTGTCCCAGCAGAGGATGCACTCACTACCAGACTTCGGTGCTGTAGCCGGGTTCTTAAACAGGCCGTTAGCTGTATTACAAGTAGTGCACAGTCCATCCTTGGCTGCTGTGCATATCTCACTGCCGGGCTGACTCTCTGTCTTGTAGCACCCGCCCATGAAGAGGAGTCTCATACTATCACTATCACCCCCACACCACATAGCACTATCACTATCACTGTACAGCATTCACTACCTAAGTCATGCCTTCCCCCTACACAGGAACCACCAACACAAGAAGCCCACGAGGCCCCCCACGACAGCGATGACAGCGACGGAGATCCCTGCTATGGCCCCCGTGGAGAGCCCGCTCCTGTTGGCGCCAGAGGACACACAGGAGGCCCCAGCATCATCAGGGCTGTATCCATCGTTGCACACACAGACAGAGTCGGTGTCAGTGGAGTTGCTGGGACAGCCATCCACGCATGACTTCCTCCCGGGGCTCACCTTCTTGTTGTTATCACACTTCTCGCACATGTTGTCTCTATTGCAGTGCGAGCATCCCTCAACAGCACATGCGAAGCACCCGCTCCCAGCCAGGTTGGGCTTGTTGGTGCCGCTACACGCTGTGCACACAGCGGGGGCCATACCAGCCCCAGTCAAAGGTGTCGGGGCTGTACACTGGGAGCAGCCATCCACCCCCACGTATGCCTTAGCAGTATCACCAGTGCCTGTCAGTGTGCCTAGGGGGTTGCTACAAGCCAACACGGACTGATCAGTGTTGGATGCACCAGGCACTACGAAGTACCTATTGTTGGCTGCTTCTGTGCAGATCCCAGTATTACCTGCTGTCTTGCACATGAAGCTACCAGGAGCCTTCTGAGTGCTATAACAGCCACCCATATATAAGAAATATCCTGTAGTACAAGACTCACAGACATGGTTGTTACAAGTATTACTTTGAGCCTCACTAGCACAGAGACCATCTATAGGATACTTACTGCTATCCCCACAGTATGAACAGTAGTGCTTTGTGGTGCCCTGATCATCTATTATCATGGCATCACAAGCACCAGAGGTACCCCCACAGGCAGTATCATCTTCACATACCTTTGTACATGTAACAGGACTGGTACCACTCTGCTTGCGATAGTTCACCTTACAGTCAGTACACTTGAAAGTACTGGCCTCCATTGTGCATTGGGAGCACCCCTCGATGCCCCCATTGTTTGTGTCATCGCAGGCGAAGCATTCTCCAGGAGTGCTACTGACCTTCAGGAAGAACCCGGTCTTGCAGGTTTGGCATTTGGTCTTGTCAGCTTTTTCAGAACATGTGGCACAGTTAGCACCACAGGCCTCACACGTGGCGGCAGGGCCATTTCCTTCTTTGATATACCCTTCGAGGCATTCTATGCATTCTGGTTTCTGACTTTGCTGCTTAGTACATGTCTTGCAGCCGGCAATGCCTTTGTTCTTTGGTTCTGAATCCGACGCTGCGGGATCACTGCACAAACGACACACGTTGTCTTCGGTCATAAAGAGACCGTTATCAGCTCCTTGACACCCGGCGTAGTCTTTTGTCACACAGGTCGAGGTCCCATCAAGGGTCGTCCTGGGGGTCTTATTGGTCCCGCAGTTGGTGCACCTTGGCTTCCCCGTGGCATCATTATATTCACATGCGGTGCACCCAGCTATGTCGGGATCACATGCCTTGCAGGTCCAGGTCTTCTTGTCTGCGTACTTATCAGCACCACATCCACCAGCATCTACACAAGTGTTACCATCCTTCAGGTACTTCCCCTCAACGCAGGCGGTACACTGAGTCGGAGTATCAGCTGAGCAAGCAGAGCAGCCGTCTCCGCACTTCACACATGCACTGTCCTTCGTAACGAACCCTGCTTGACACTCTGTACACGTGGCCGGTCCGCTAGTGCCCGTGTGGGAGCATTCTGAGCATCCAGCGACTCCCATGACCCCGTTTCTATCTGTCGTATCAGAGCACAGTATGCACTCACTACCCTTCTCTGATGGTGTAACTGGGTTCTTGAACAGGCCGTTAGCTGTATTACAAGCAGTGCACAGTCCTCCCTCAGCCTTTGTGCATATCTCACTGCCAGGGTGTGCATCCTTGTTGTAGCACCCGCCCATGAAGAGGAGTCTCATACTATCACTATCACCCCCACACCACATAGCACTATCACTATCACTGTACAGCATTCACTACCTAAGTCACGCCTTCCCCCTGCACAGGAACCACCAGCAGAGGAAGCCCACGAGGCCCCCCACGACAGCGATGACAGCGACGGAGATGCCAGCTATGGCCCCCGTGGAGAGCCCGCTCCTATTACTGCTAGAAGACACACAGGAGGCCCCACTGCTGTCTAGACTGTATCCATCACTGCACTCCCCACACACATCATCCACCACACAGTGCTTGCAATCACCCACAGAGCACAGCACACACCCGGTGCCATCCTTGTTGGGCACCTTATCACTGTCACAGGAGGTGCATGTAGCGGCAGCCATACCAGCCTCAGTCAGAGCTACTGGGGCTGTACACTGGGAGCAGCCATCTACCCCCACATATGCCTTAGAGGTACTATCAGTGCCTACTAGTGTGCCAAGGGGGTTGCCACATGCCAACACAGACTGATCAGTAGCCTGTGCCTCTGGGACTACGAAGTACCTATTATTGGCATTAACAGCAGTGCACTTACCACCTTCAGCGGTCTTGCACATGAGGTTGCCTGGTTCTGCACCAATCTTATAACACCCTCCCATATAGAGGAAGTACCCTGCAGTACAAGACTTGCAGACATTATTGGTGCATCCTGTATTTCCAGCATTGACATTTGTACATTTTCCATCTATAGGATACTTACTGTTATCCCCACAGTATGAACAGTAGTGAAGCTCCTTTCCATTCTCATTGATCACTATGGCATCGCAAGCACCAGAGGTACCACCACAAGCAGTGTCATCCTCACAGGTCTTCACACATGTATAGTCATCATCTGCTCCTCCATTAAGCTGCTTCTTATAGTTAGGCTTACAGTCAGTGCACTTGAATCCACTATCATTCGAGCAGACACTGCAGCCTTCGCGACCACCATTTGCTGTGTCACTACATGAGATGCACTCACCAGAGGAGCTATCCTTCAAGAAGAATCCAGGCTTACAGGTCGTGCATTTATCACTCGTAGCCTTAGCACATGTCTCACAATTTTGTCCACCACAAGCGACACACGTAGCTGTATCTTGACTATCATCATTATCGTAATATCCGTCGAGGCACTTTGTACATGTAGTTTTAGAGGAGCAAGTACTACAACCTAGAACCCCACCATTTGTAGTATCACCACATGGGACACAAAGCTTTTGGTTAGTACCTTCAACAAAGTGCGTATTGCCATTTGTACATCCACCATCATCGACACAAGTGGTCGTCCCGTCTGCCGCTGTCTTCACCATCTTGTTACTACTAGTACTGCAGGTCTTACACTGTGGTTGACTAATAGTTGCATTGTACTCACAGGTGGCACAGTCAGTTATTCCACATGGCTTGCATTGGCCTGTTGTCGGGTCTGCATAGGTGCCTTGATCACATTGACCAGCATCTACACATTGATTATTCTTCAGGTATTTCCCGTCCTCACATGTTGTGCATTGATTTGCACCGGTGCAGTCTATGCATCCATCAACGCACTTCTTACATGCGCCACCATCGTTGTAGTACCCATCTTGACACTCTGTGCACGTGGCTGCCCCCTTATTATTAGTTGGTGCTGTACATGTAGCGCAGCCCTCGACTCCCATATATCCATCTGCTCCCGTGGCATCATGACAGAGTATGCACTCCCTTCCTTTCTCTGGTGCTGTAGCAGGGTTCTTGAACAGGCCGTTATCTGCCTTACAAGTAGTGCATACTCCATTACTGGCTGCTGTGCATATCTCGCTGCCGGGCCCGTCGGTTGTCTTGTAGCACCCGCCCATGAAGAGGAAGTACCCGTCGCCGCACTTCTCGCAGGTGGTTGCCGTCTTGTCGAGGGCAGTCCCGTCTGCTTGGGTGCACCCGGCCGCCGCGGCCTGGGGGGAGCCGGGGGGCCGGCAGAAGCCGTCGACCGGGACGCCCCCGGCCCTGCACTCGGTGCAGATCTCGGCTGACCCGACCGTCTCGCACTTATTCTGTGCGCAGGTCGCTGTATGGTTCCCGTCTGGCTGGCAGGCCGCCATGAGCGCGCTCGCCACGAACAGGGGTATCAGTTGGAACATTAGAGGGTCCCCTGCTGTGGCCCCTGCCCCGTCTGTGGCCACCCAGCACGGCACACGGGGGGAGCGCTGTTCCACCCCTGCCTTGGAGGCCCCTGTCTCGACTCGGCCCACAGCACCAGAGCGTGGTGGTCTTCCACTCTTGGGCGCCGCACAGCCCGTCTCTGTGCCCAAGCGGCTCACCCCAGGCACTCACACGACGGAGACCCCCGCGGCAGTGCTACCGGCAGGCGGGCTGTGCTGATGTCCGGCCCGGCGCAGAGCTCAGAGGACTCAGGAGGTCATGGCTCCTTGGTGACTGCCATGTCGTTCTCCTTGCTCGGTTGACATGCGCGCTGCTAAGAGGGCCCTCATTCACTCGAGCTCGTGCCCCCCTGTGGTGACTCTGCTCGACCATCAGCGAGGGCCCTGGTCCTCCTCCCAATAGGCCGGCCTCAGACCCCCCGTGATCTGCCAGACCGGGCAGAGTGATCGCGGCGCCCGTCAGAGACCGGCCCGACGGGCCCGCAGTGCAGTGCGCCTGGACCCACGGAGATCGTTCACTCCCCCAGTGGCCGTAGCTTCCCCTGCCCTGCTGACAGTCCTCCAGCGAGGGCATGTCGTTGTGGGACAGTCTTCTCGTCTGTTGCTGTCACACAGGGCCCAACCGGCGACCGTCGGACAGTCCCGATGGCATGCCTGAAGCCCCGCCACGGCAGAGGGGGCAGCACACGGGGCAACCCCTACGCTGCTGCAGCTTGCAATGGCAGCAGAGACCCCCTGCCCTGGAGGCCCGTGCAGTGGCTGTGGGGCCATCCACTCCATGCGGGCCCGGTGCGGCGCTCCTAGAGAGCCCTTGCCTCCGGTGGTGCTGACAGGGCTCCCGAGGTACTAAGGCGTCAGACGAGGGACGGGGCCGAGCAGGACTCCCGGCCCGCATGCAGATGTCCCTGCCGTGTGTCCTGTCCTGTAGAGACCCGAGACGCTGGAGGTGTCCCTCGGCATCCGGCTCCCCTGCTGTGCCAGTCGGTGCAGGGGAGCAGCGTACAGGGCCTTCATGGGCAGTCTCCTCTCACAGACAGAGCACCAGGGGTCTCAGCAACCGACCGACCGATGCAAGGGGCATGCTCTCCTGCCACGACGGCGCTCTGCTGCTAGGAGGGTCTGATGGACAGGCCTCAGCACGCGCACTCTCCTGGGCCGCCTCGGGGCACTCCAGCGTGGCCAGCGGCTTGCGGATCAGTCTGGTGTCCCGGAGCGTGTGAGGAAGGTGAGGAGTTTACTCTGGTTGCCGTCTTGTCGAGGGCATTCCCATGCATGAAGCCCTGAACTCATGTGATGCTGACCCAGAGACACCTCTGGCGAGAGCATTAACAGGGGCAGCGTTGAGTAGTCACTGGTCCATCCTGTAAGCAAGCTGCTAGGTGCGAAGGCATTGAATCTGTGTGCGGTCGCATGGCCACACATCACGACCCACAACGTCATAGCGCACCGCATAGCTGGCACACCCCAAGGGTGTATGGAGACAGTAGACCAGTAGTCTAATGGATCAAGGCAGAGACTGTGCCACAAAGCGTGGAAAGACGGGTTCCACAGAAGCTGGTAAGCTACGATCACCAGTCTTCTATAATAGTGAGTGATGTCAACAATCTCTTCCCGAAGGAGCCTACAGATCTATCTCTAATCAGCTAACTGGGGGATAAAGAAAAACAACTAGGGTCTACCGTGAGGCACCCTGCCACAGTTGATCATAGCAGCCACCGATGAATGCACTCCATTCCACAGAATAATAGACACCTGGAGTCCTTTCGATCTGATCGAGCCTAAGTCCGCAGCAGACCGCCCGGCCCGAGAGCCTACTGTTGCTGGGCAAGGGGCGTCGGTGGCGCTGTCAGGGGGCAGCTCCCCCTCGAGGCGAGGCAGAGGCTGCAGGCCGGACAGTGGGGTGGTGAATGCCGCTCCTCCGCTTCCCCGCTGTGTGGGGAGGTACCCTCCCCTGAGCACGTTCGCACGAAGGGCGCTGAGGGGGATGTTCTTCTCTATCCCCGTTGCCCCACTCAGTAGCACCCTGCATCCGGTGTCTGTGCTGCATACGTCTGGACGGCCTCGCCGCGGAGGGTCTTCGCGCAGGACAGGCACGTGCTCTTCCGCTCCTACTACTTTGGCGTTCGCCCGGTGCCGCTCCAGCGCAGAGTGCTCCTCTCCGTCAGGTTCCTAAGGTCCTCGTTCTCGCTGTGATACCTGATCTATCCCTCTTGAGGGGTGGGGTTCACGGTGCACTGGTGCGTGTCCGGGGCGACGTCTCCCTTGTAGAGTTCTGCAGGTTCCAGGACCCTCTGGGGATAGCCAGCGACTGGGACCCCTGTTTGAGGCTAGGGCTGGCCTGGCTCCACCGGGCCGCGAACAACTCAAGGGCGCTCTGGTGTCGCTGGTCTCTCAACCGCACACTCGACCTGTCTTAGCAGATAACGGGTCGTGCCTGGGCACCTCCGGGAAGCGCTCCGGTCCGATGCTTTCTGTCCGGGGCATCACGGCAGGCAACGGTGAGGGCCCACGAGGGACACCGCACTCGGGCGCCGGGGCATGGTGCATGGGCTGGCACCGTCTGTCTGTCGCAAGGCTGCAGAAGGAGCTCAGACGGGGAGGGTTCCCGAGACGTGCTGCTCAGGGCCCTCCGGTGATGTGAAGGAGGCGTGGCAGCTCCTCGTGCTGTGGATCGCATAGGAGGTCCCCGATGGTGCAGTCTCTTAGTGAACTCCAGCATCCTTGAGCCAGTTCGTGTAGTCAGCGAGTGACCCCATTGGGACCATTGAGAGCCTGCCACCATGCGCCGCTCTCCATGACAGGGAGGTGCGGGCCCCCTGCTCACTCTATCGGCTGCTCTCTAGACTCTCTTCTTCGGGCCTCTACAAGCCCTCCTCGGCGGCTTCCCGTCTGGGCCTCTCCCAAAGGCTCGGACTCTCAGACCTCGAGGGTGCGCAGAGGGCTGGCGGGTGCTGGGCCGGCGGGGGGTCCGGCGAGGGGCCGCGGTCGGTTAGCTCAGTCGGTAGAGCGTCAGTCTGATAAGCTGAAGGCGGGTGCTGGGCCGGCGGGGGGTCCGGCGAGGGGCCGCGGTCGGTTAGCTCAGTCGGTAGAGCGTCAGTCTGATAAGCTGAAGGCGGGTGCTGGGCCGGCGGGGGGTCCGGCGAGGGGCCGCGGTCGGTTAGCTCAGTCGGTAGAGCGTCAGTCTGATAAGCTGAAGGCGGGTGCTGGGCCGGCGGGGGGTCCGGCGAGGGGCCGCGGTCGGTTAGCTCAGTCGGTAGAGCGTCAGTCTGATAAGCTGAAGGCGGGTGCTGGGCCGGCGGGGGGTCCGGCGAGGGGCCGCGGTCGGTTAGCTCAGTCGGTAGAGCGTCAGTCTGATAAGCTGAAGGCGGGTGCTGGGCCGGCGGGGGGTCCGGCGAGGGGCCGCGGTCGGTTAGCTCAGTCGGTAGAGCGTCAGTCTGATAAGCTGAAGGCGGGTGCTGGGCCGGCGGGGGGTCCGGCGAGGGGCCGCGGTCGGTTAGCTCAGTCGGTAGAGCGTCAGTCTGATAAGCTGAAGGCGGGTGCTGGGCCGGCGGGGGGTCCGGCGAGGGGCCGCGGTCGGTTAGCTCAGTCGGTAGAGCGTCAGTCTGATAAGCTGAAGGCGGGTGCTGGGCCGGCGGGGGGTCCGGCGAGGGGCCGCGGTCGGTTAGCTCAGTCGGTAGAGCGTCAGTCTGATAAGCTGAAGGCGGGTGCTGGGCCGGCGGGGGGTCCGGCGAGGGGCCGCGGTCGGTTAGCTCAGTCGGTAGAGCGTCAGTCTGAGCTGAGGGGGGGGGGGGGGGGGGGGGGGGGCGTCAGTCTGATAAGCTGAAGGCGGGTGCTGGGCCGGCGGGGGGTCCGGCGAGGGGCCGCGGTCGGTTAGCTCAGTCGGTAGAGCGTCAGTCTGATAAGCTGAAGGCGGGTGCTGGGCCGGCGGGGGGTCCGGCGAGGGGCCGCGGTCGGTTAGCTCAGTCGGTAGAGCGTCAGTCTGATAAGCTGAAGGCGGGTGCTGGGCCGGCGGGGGGTCCGGCGAGGGGCCGCGGTCGGTTAGCTCAGTCGGTAGAGCGTCAGTCTGATAAGCTGAAGGCGGGTGCTGGGCCGGCGGGGGGTCCGGCGAGGGGCCGCGGTCGGTTAGCTCAGTCGGTAGAGCGTCAGTCTGATAAGCTGAAGGCGGGTGCTGGGCCGGCGGGGGGTCCGGCGAGGGGCCGCGGTCGGTTAGCTCAGTCGGTAGAGCGTCAGTCTGATAAGCTGAAGGCGGGTGCTGGGCCGGCGGGGGGTCCGGCGAGGGGCCGCGGTCGGTTAGCTCAGTCGGTAGAGCGTCAGTCTGATAAGCTGAAGGCGGGTGCTGGGCCGGCGGGGGGTCCGGCGAGGGGCCGCGGTCGGTTAGCTCAGTCGGTAGAGCGTCAGTCTGATAAGCTGAAGGCGGGTGCTGGGCCGGCGGGGGGTCCGGCGAGGGGCCGCGGTCGGTTAGCTCAGTCGGTAGAGCGTCAGTCTGATAAGCTGAAGGCGGGTGCTGGGCCGGCGGGGGGTCCGGCGAGGGGCCGCGGTCGGTTAGCTCAGTCGGTAGAGCGTCAGTCTGATAAGCTGAAGGCGGGTGCTGGGCCGGCGGGGGGTCCGGCGAGGGGCCGCGGTCGGTTAGCTCAGTCGGTAGAGCGTCAGTCTGATAAGCTGAAGGCGGGTGCTGGGCCGGCGGGGGGTCCGGCGAGGGGCCGCGGTCGGTTAGCTCAGTCGGTAGAGCGTCAGTCTGATAAGCTGAAGGCGGGTGCTGGGCCGGCGGGGGGTCCGGCGAGGGGCCGCGGTCGGTTAGCTCAGTCGGTAGAGCGTCAGTCTGATAAGCTGAAGGCGGGTGCTGGGCCGGCGGGGGGTCCGGCGAGGGGCCGCGGTCGGTTAGCTCAGTCGGTAGAGCGTCAGTCTGATAAGCTGAAGGCGGGTGCTGGGCCGGCGGGGGGTCCGGCGAGGGGCCGCGGTCGGTTAGCTCAGTCGGTAGAGCGTCAGTCTGATAAGCTGAAGGCGGGTGCTGGGCCGGCGGGGGGTCCGGCGAGGGGCCGCGGTCGGTTAGCTCAGTCGGTAGAGCGTCAGTCTGATAAGCTGAAGGCGGGTGCTGGGCCGGCGGGGGGTCCGGCGAGGGGCCGCGGTCGGTTAGCTCAGTCGGTAGAGCGTCAGTCTGATAAGCTGAAGGCGGGTGCTGGGCCGGCGGGGGGTCCGGCGAGGGGCCGCGGTCGGTTAGCTCAGTCGGTAGAGCGTCAGTCTGATAAGCTGAAGGCGGGTGCTGGGCCGGCGGGGGGTCCGGCGAGGGGCCGCGGTCGGTTAGCTCAGTCGGTAGAGCGTCAGTCTGATAAGCTGAAGGCGGGTGCTGGGCCGGCGGGGGGTCCGGCGAGGGGCCGCGGTCGGTTAGCTCAGTCGGTAGAGCGTCAGTCTGATAAGCTGAAGGCGGGTGCTGGGCCGGCGGGGGGTCCGGCGAGGGGCCGCGGTCGGTTAGCTCAGTCGGTAGAGCGTCAGTCTGATAAGCTGAAGGCGGGTGCTGGGCCGGCGGGGGGTCCGGCGAGGGGCCGCGGTCGGTTAGCTCAGTCGGTAGAGCGTCAGTCTGATAAGCTGAAGGCGGGTGCTGGGCCGGCGGGGGGTCCGGCGAGGGGCCGCGGTCGGTTAGCTCAGTCGGTAGAGCGTCAGTCTGATAAGCTGAAGGCGGGTGCTGGGCCGGCGGGGGGTCCGGCGAGGGGCCGCGGTCGGTTAGCTCAGTCGGTAGAGCGTCAGTCTGATAAGCTGAAGGCGGGTGCTGGGCCGGCGGGGGGTCCGGCGAGGGGCCGCGGTCGGTTAGCTCAGTCGGTAGAGCGTCAGTCTGATAAGCTGAAGGCGGGTGCTGGGCCGGCGGGGGGTCCGGCGAGGGGCCGCGGTCGGTTAGCTCAGTCGGTAGAGCGTCAGTCTGATAAGCTGAAGGCGGGTGCTGGGCCGGCGGGGGGTCCGGCGAGGGGCCGCGGTCGGTTAGCTCAGTCGGTAGAGCGTCAGTCTGATAAGCTGAAGGCGGGTGCTGGGCCGGCGGGGGGTCCGGCGAGGGGCCGCGGTCGGTTAGCTCAGTCGGTAGAGCGTCAGTCTGATAAGCTGAAGGCGGGTGCTGGGCCGGCGGGGGGTCCGGCGAGGGGCCGCGGTCGGTTAGCTCAGTCGGTAGAGCGTCAGTCTGATAAGCTGAAGGCGGGTGCTGGGCCGGCGGGGGGTCCGGCGAGGGGCCGCGGTCGGTTAGCTCAGTCGGTAGAGCGTCAGTCTGATAAGCTGAAGGCGGGTGCTGGGCCGGCGGGGGGTCCGGCGAGGGGCCGCGGTCGGTTAGCTCAGTCGGTAGAGCGTCAGTCTGATAAGCTGAAGGCGGGTGCTGGGCCGGCGGGGGGTCCGGCGAGGGGCCGCGGTCGGTTAGCTCAGTCGGTAGAGCGTCAGTCTGATAAGCTGAAGGCGGGTGCTGGGCCGGCGGGGGGTCCGGCGAGGGGCCGCGGTCGGTTAGCTCAGTCGGTAGAGCGTCAGTCTGATAAGCTGAAGGCGGGTGCTGGGCCGGCGGGGGGTCCGGCGAGGGGCCGCGGTCGGTTAGCTCAGTCGGTAGAGCGTCAGTCTGATAAGCTGAAGGCGGGTGCTGGGCCGGCGGGGGGTCCGGCGAGGGGCCGCGGTCGGTTAGCTCAGTCGGTAGAGCGTCAGTCTGATAAGCTGAAGGCGGGTGCTGGGCCGGCGGGGGGTCCGGCGAGGGGCCGCGGTCGGTTAGCTCAGTCGGTAGAGCGTCAGTCTGATAAGCTGAAGGCGGGTGCTGGGCCGGCGGGGGGTCCGGCGAGGGGCCGCGGTCGGTTAGCTCAGTCGGTAGAGCGTCAGTCTGATAAGCTGAAGGCGGGTGCTGGGCCGGCGGGGGGTCCGGCGAGGGGCCGCGGTCGGTTAGCTCAGTCGGTAGAGCGTCAGTCTGATAAGCTGAAGGCGGGTGCTGGGCCGGCGGGGGGTCCGGCGAGGGGCCGCGGTCGGTTAGCTCAGTCGGTAGAGCGTCAGTCTGATAAGCTGAAGGCGGGTGCTGGGCCGGCGGGGGGTCCGGCGAGGGGCCGCGGTCGGTTAGCTCAGTCGGTAGAGCGTCAGTCTGATAAGCTGAAGGTCGGGGGTTCGAGCCCCCCACCGACCACTTTGTCTTCCATAATGGGTCCTCTGTGGTGGGTCCTCTGTGGTGGGTCCTCTGTGGTGGGTCCTCTGTGGTGGGTCCTCTGTGGTGGGTCCTCCTCTGTGGTGGGTCCTCTGTGGTGGGTCCTCTGTGGTGGGTCCTCTGTGGTGGGTCCTCTGTGGTGGGTCCTCTGTGGTGGGTCCTCTGTGGTGGGTCCTCTGTGGTGGGTCCTCGTGAGCCTGGACGGGCAGTCGTGCCTAGGGGAGTGCACCGGGGACAAAGTGGTGGGAGAGGTGTCCGGCGGCGTGCGGAGGTGCTGGTGCGAGCGGGGCCTCCTGCCGGCACTGGACAGATCCGAGTGTGTGCCCGCAGCTGAGTGTCCCCCTGACATGCCGTGGTGTGCTGCCTGCGATGAGTTGGGTAGGTGCCTCTTGTGTGCCGCCTCGAATCATAACATCCAGACAGATCAGCGGACGTGTGCAGAGGGGTGCGGTGCCAGGGCCTCATCGAACCAGGGGGTGTGCATGTGCGAGTCTGATACAATTCTTGACAAGGGTGTCTGCATTCCTGTCAATACTCTTACCGGAAGGAAGATGGTAGTAGTTACGGTCAGTGCAACGGTGATTATGTTTATCGTCAGTGTCTTGGTCGGTTTCCTTTACTGGTGGTTCATCTGCAGAGGAAGGACATAAGATATGTACTTATGCAATAAACGCATCACTAATGTCAACGGTCTTATAGTACGTTTAGAGGGCTGCTGATCTGCAGACATCATGATGAGTTCACTGCGTGGCCGGCCAACGCAGAGTGAAAGAAGCATGCTGGAGTGAAACTTACTTTTTATGCCTTCTCCTGCTCTCGAACTCTGCGCCTTCGCCCGTGCAAACTCCCGTGTCACACTTTGGCCGGTAGACCCCCATAGCGGCGTCCTCACCGGCACTTGTGTCGGACTGGACGAATTCTTTAATGTGGTCCTCCAAGACGCCACTCTCGAGATTCCTGGTTCTGACCCAACTTCTCTTCCTGTTGTGCTTGTCCGTGCAGATACAATCGCAATGGTACACACAATAGCGCCCAAAGAGCCTCCTATGAGTAAATAGGTAGGATAACAATCATTTACTTTTGTCAGCCTCTTTTGGAGCTGCATCAGATGTATTATCGGACTTTGCGGGCTCCGCCTTAGCCTGGAGAGCCTTTTCAAAGTCTGCAAGACGTCGATCCGCATCCTCAAAAAGAGTTAGTGGGGCGAGCTCGTGCTTAGACGCTTGTCGAACAGCTTTCTCACATTCTGCATAGAATGCTGTTAGCCTGTCCCGAGCTTCATTATTAACACCATTTGCTGGCCATCTCTCTAAAAGAGAGTCTACACTGCTGCGCAAGCTCATCAAGCGAAGGTCGGCTGAATCATGGGACTCCTTACGCTCATGAAGGAAGCGGATTTCGTTTTCGAGCCTCTGAATGCGCTCTTCGATCTCAGCGGTCTGGTGAGGCCCTTCGATGCTGCTAATGAAAGCGCTGTGCTCGTCAAGATGAGGAATAATCTTCCTCTTGTCTTCCTCAGTCGTAAACTCAGCGAACTTCCCCCAATCCATATTATTTCTTGTATCGTAGACAAGGGACTCAAAAGTATTGCGGGCGTGCTCATAGCGGAGAGCCTTGCGGTCGACCTCCTTGCAACACTTCTCGAAGTCCTCAAGCTGCTTAGCCAGATCTGCCGTTTCACCGATATTTATAAGGACCTTGCGATCAACATTGGTGATCTCTGTAGTTAAGTCTTTCTCCTCAACGGACACTTGAACCATCTTTGGCGTGCGGACGACGATCTGCTTCTTCGGCGCCTTTGCCTTGTGATCGGCTATGTCCTTTGTTAGTGCGTCCTTATTGGCGTCTGCAGCGGTAGAAAGTGCCTCGTTTAGTTCCTTCAGCTTTGCCTCATGCTGAGCCAGTTCATCGGCGTACTGTGCTTCTGCGGCCTTCTCCCTCTCTGCTTCCTGTGCCTCTATTTCTTCGGTCCATTTTGGATTTGGCTGTTCACGTAGAACCCTCTTCACGCGAACAGTAGGATCCGTACGCCTTATCTGCGTGAAATGGAAGAATCCTTCAGTGTCGCATGTCATCTTCAAAGTCATAGTGACATCCACATTGTCTAGGGAAATGTTGTGCTTAGCCAGATCTTCGGGAGAAAATTCACCAAATTGCGCAGTGTTTCGCGGAACCACCGTAATTGTAGACTCCTCGTGAATGATGCCCGTGGAAATGTCTACGAGCCTGGCAATATATTCGCCAGGAGAAAGCGTCTTGGAGACTTTTCTGCTACAGGGATAAACATCATCACGCTGGAACACCTTAAGAGGAGTTTGATAGACCGACGACATCGTCTCCTTGTGGATTATGTCTAACGAAATAGGCCCCTGGATATTAGAAATAATATCCACCATCTCGATCGAAAAAGCAACCTTCTGGCGTGGAGACCGTATTGCAGCTATCCACCCCAAACCCACAACAATGCACTCGTCAGGATTCAGTCGCTTCGTTATCTTCTGCGCCGTAAATAATCTTTCACTAAGGGTCTTGACAGCCTGCATACGGCTAGCCCCTCCGATGAGTTCAAAAGCCTCAACATTATCGATCCCCTTAACCACTTGCAAACCTCGCATTATCATAACTTCAAGCTTCTCCATGAGTCCGCTCTTGAAGCTTAGCTCCTCGAACTCCTGGGCTGTTACCATGCAATTCACATCTATCTGCGCATCTCCGAGGCATTCAATATGCACAGGGGCCTTACTATTAATGGATAGCACCTTCTTGGCAGCGTTACATGCCTTCATGATCTTCGTGAAGTTCTTCCCTGAACGAAGCTCATCTGGCGAGATCTGCTTGAATTTGGACTTAATTTGCTCACAGACAAGATTGTAGAGGATCTTGTCAAAATCTGCAGCACCAACAGTGTCATCATACTCCGCAAAAACACACTGAATTCCTGCTTTGTGGATGCGGAGAATTGAAAAGAAGGACTGGAGCTCGCCAATGGAGAGGATGCCGAGATAAATACCTTGGTTGTCGGGACTCATCGCCCGAAAGTCGGCGTTCCGTTTCACATAGTACGTCACAGCAGCGGCCATGTGTTGAGTGACCACGCCGTTACAAGTAAGCCCCAAGGCCTCACAACTGGCACGAAGCGCAGTACGCTTACTATGGTTCCAGTTCCCAGGGCACCCGACGACAAAGTCGGACAAGCTGACATTGTCCATGGAGTTGGCGAAGTCACGCACCTTGCCAAGAATCGCGGTTGTCATGTTTTCCGTTGAGATATGATGCTCTTGTCCTCCGTAGAAAACCTTTCCATAAGCCTTGTGGGTGCTTGGATCCTCCGTCAGGACAAACTCAGCCCCCAACGAGAGGACGCGTTGAACTGCATGGGAACCAAAGTCCTCGTTGAGTAGCATCGGGAGATTGAAGAAGCATGCCCGTCTGTTGCTCGTACGCTGCCCAATTCCCATGTCGCCCATGAAACGACGCTCAGAAGTATAAGAAACACAGGACGGTATCAGGCGATTGGAGGTATCAGATAGCACTAGATCAATACCTCGAGCACGAGGGACAGACGCCACGGCATACGAATTCCCGAAATCAAAAGCAATGGAGGACATGCTAGGCTTTATTTTTTATTTTTTAAATATTGATCGATTTAATCTCTCAGGAATCTATTATGATCACAAATGAAAGACTACAGCACGCTACAATATAGCGCGAAATAGAAAAGTGATTGTGAGGAAGACAAAAAGGCTCCTCACCGTATCATGCCTGCTGCGCATGCCTCGTCTGAGTCTCCAAGTAAAGGCGGTCAATGATCTGCGAAAATACATCGTAGTCTATTTCCCCGTCTGCTTGCGCGATGTGACTAAAAAGGACGTCGATTGCATGCTTGTCCACCTCAAAGCTCAGCTTACGCAGGATTTTATAAAATTCTTGGGGGTTGATCTTTCCAGTGTGGTTTATATCTGCCGCTCTGAAAAGTATAGCTCTGGGATCTGTGGTGTCAGCCATCTCAAAGATGTACATTAAATGGATGAACATTTCAACGTTTAGCTCGGGCTCAGGCCTATTACAAATAAGTCTGAAGAGTGCTTGGATGTTGGCGCGATCGACTATGATTCCTCGCGAGTGCAGCGCATGGATGAACTCATCAACAGAAATATACCCTGTTTTGTTCGTATCAATCAGCTGGAACATCTTCAGATGAACCTGTTCACTGCTACGCATTAGCTCTAGAGCGTGAGCGCCTAGCGGCTAACCAAATTTTAAAAGTTTGACTTTTTTCATGCTTGATCTTCTATTTGGCGACCCCAGTGAAGACGAGCGCAAAGAAGCTTTTGAAGAGTATCTATTGCCAAACGGCCGAGCTGTTCAATTAAAATTGGTCGGAGAGCACTCCCTTTGGGGACATAAGTTGTGGAACGCATCCAAAGTCCTAGCAGATAAGATATATAAGAAGGAGATAGACGTCAGTGGGAAGAGGGTTTTAGAGTTGGGCGCGGGAGCGTCTCTCCCGTCTATAGTGGCAGCGTTATCTGGGGCCTCATATGTGCTCTGTACAGATTATCCTGAGGAGGATATACTGCAAAATATTGTGTACAACGTCCAAACGAATGGAGTTGACAATAAGGTGGATGTGCAAGGACTTTTGTGGTCAGATAAAAACACATTAAAGCAGACATTTCATCACATCTTCATGGCAGATCTGATTTTTAACCACAGAGAGCACAATGCGTTGGCTGCAATGATACAGAACTATCTTGCAGATGATGGGCTCTGCCACGTACTGTATTCTCATCACGTTCCGACGCGGCGCGACAGAGACTTACGGTTCTTTTCAGTTTGTGCTGCCGCAGGCCTTGTAGTCACTCAGCAGCCTGCTGTTTTTACCGATCGGATGTTTCCTGAAGACGATAAGCAATTCTCAGAGTACCCACTCGAATGGAGGCAATACGTTTATTACCAAACAATCACAAAGCCCGGTTTACCTTCAGGGTGAAGGCGCATCTTACAGCGCTTCCTCTCCAGACTTGTAAATGACAGCCGTGTCCACCTTGTGGATCTTAGTGCTGAAGTCTCTAAACTTGACCTCCACAGCGTTGTGGACATGGTCGCGTCCGGGGCACTCCTCCCACTCAGCAGGTGTAGGCACTGCAGCGTCGGTATATATCATAATGTCAAACGTGACTGGGTCGCTGATCACCGGGAGGAAGGAAACGGAGGCATTTATCTGGCGGAGAATGGCCTGAATCTCGCGCTGGACGTCAGCTTCTGGCTTGGACGACGTTGCACCTGCCTGGACACCCTCATTTTCAACATTAAATTCCCATTTCTCAATGGGCTCACTCCCGCCTATCGGAAGAAGAACCATGACGAGCTTCTGCACCTTACCGGACATAAGCCACTCAGCTACGCGCTGAAGAACCTCTCCAAGGTACTTACTAAGCGCTGGGTCCTTGGCCACCATGAGGGGGAGGCCGTACTTCTGCTGAGACATGAAGCTGTCCTGGCCATAAATCCCCCGCAAATATAGGATGGAGTTAATAGAATATGCAAAGTACTCCGTCACAATTGCTGTGGAGCCGCGCAAGGTAATCGCATTCTTGGTCTGGGTAGCCATTTATACTTTTCTCCCCAAATTCTGGCTGAAATTTTGATAAAGTTGATCTGGAGAGATTGCATTAAAACATTAAATAATTGAAAAGGTGAAACGACTTTTAAACTAGCTTTGACTTAGCTTTTTATTTAAAAACTCAAAAAACACTGTCCGAGGATGGCTGTGACTAAGAGCTTCGAGGATATCTATGAAAAGCTGATAATGATAGAATGCGGCGGCTTTGGCAAAGTGTTCAAGTGTAAGGAGAACACAACGGGTATCATCTATGCTGTCAAGGAAGTGGATTACGCAGGAGTCCCTGCCGACGCCGTGAAGAAGGTCAAAAATGAAGTGCACCTGATGCTAAAGCTTGCGCATGATAATATTCTCAAGCCCATCGAATTCTTCGACGATACAGAAAACGAGATTCTTTACATTGTAATGGACTTTTATGAACGCGGAGACCTAAGCAAATTGATCAGGGAGAGTCGGAAGAAAAAGACACCTATCCCTGAGGATACGGTATGGTTCTATTTACGGCAATCACTCAGTGCTCTTGCATATCTACATTCTCCAAAGAAAGGGGGGAATGTGCCTATCGGTATAATCATTCATCGTGATATTAAACCGCAGAATATTCTTATTGGCAACGACGACGTGATAAAGGTCATGGATTTCGGGATAAGTCGGGAATCTGCCAGCTTTATGACCACCAACACCACAATGGGCACTCCGTCTTACTTAGCTCCTGAAGTTTTAAACGATAAGCCGTTTTCAATAAAAAGCGACATCTGGGCGCTAGGGCTCACCATTCTTGAGCTCTGCACACGAAACCGGACGTTTGTTGGAGAGCCAGTTATGGTTCTAAAGCAGCACCGTGAGTTTTCCAACAAGATATCGCTCCCTGACTATAGTCAGGATCTGTGCGACGCCATTGGTATGATGCTAATTAAGGACCCACAGAGGCGGCCGTCTGCTGGAGAGCTTCTCGAGCACGCTCTGATAATCAAGCATAGCCCCTCGGCGGAAAAGGCAGGCTCATCTTTCTGTATGCTAGACTATACTGATCTTATGCATTATGCCATCAAGGGTAACATACAAGGCTGCCTAGGTTGTTTAAGCTTGTGCAAACAGCGGAATCGTGAAGGGAAGACGGCGCTGATGCTGGCAGCAGAGAATGGCCATTGTCATATCGCTAGTACTCTTCTTCCTTACGAGGGTGGTCTCACCATGCCTGATGGAACTACGGCTTTGAAAATAGCTCTTCAGAATGCAAACTGGGATGTTGCTAGTATCCTCAAGGATGAGATGGGCAACAAGGGCTTGACTGAATCCATCAGGAGAATGTGGGAGCCGGACTCTGTGCTGGTACCATTATACGGTGAAGGCTTGACCGATATGATGCGTGCCTGTGCATCTAACGACATTGTCTCTGCATGGACCTTAAAGCCCAAAGAGGCTCGAAGAAAGACGTCAAAGGGGTATACTGCTCTTATGATCTGTGCACGAACCAACTATTTTGAGATTGGCCGCATGTTGATTGATGCCGAGTCAAAAATAATAAATAATGAAGGGTATGGTGCTATTCATATAGCCACCATGAATAATAGTCTAGATATTCTACCATCTCTTGTTAAAAATGAGGCTAAGCTACTTACTGCAAAAGGCCTCACCGCACTACATCTTGCCGCTGCTGCGAACCTCACTGATGCCGCCCAAATTCTTTTGCCAAAAGAAGCCGGCTGTCTCACACCTCAAGGAAAGACCGCCTTTGATATAGCCATGGATAACAACTTTGTATTTCTTGCTCGGCTTATCGCAGTCAAAGAGGGAAAGCAGAGCCTTCTGTCCACAAGCGATCTTCAGGTCCCTGGGTCTATGTCATTTCTTCTGGATGACGATTCCGGGATTGGAACAGGTTTAATAATAGAAAAGCGGAATAAGAAGAATACACAGATTAGCAGTCGGCTTGGTCGTGTTACCCAAGTTGCAGAAGACGCTGTTGAGAGTTCTGAGCCGTTATCTAAGCCGATACGTCCGAATGCGCGGTCGCCAGAACCGTCTCCTGCGCTTAGCCAGGGCGGGAGTAGCCTCAGAACTAGTACAAGCACGGTTGCTAGCAGCCTTGCAGCGAGTCGTCTTGGAGACGATAAGATCGCGGCTGGCCACGACGCTCTGACATACTCTGCGTTGAATTCTGGTTCTAATCCTATGGCAGGGGTTATTGCTGCAGAACAACTTACTACTAGCGCTGTGACCGCAAGTACTGTTGGTTTAATCTCCAACAACTCGTTCAATGGTGTACAGCACAACCTTGATCTTCTTGCCAGCATAAAGACGCCACTGATCGAAGCGACCATAGCGGGCAACGTTGCTGAGGCTAAGGCGTGTTTGGATTTGGCTGGTATTCCTGACAATTGTGGAAAGACCGCACTCATGTATGCAGCAGAAAGCGGAAACCTTGAAATCTGCAAGCTCCTTGCTCCAAAAGAGGCAAATATGCAATATAAGACATACACTGCTTTGGCCTTCGCAATATTGAAGAGGAACGACCACGTTGTTTCATATCTAACAGAATTTGAGGCGGCAAAAAAGGTACCTATGCCTTCTGGGCACCATCACACTCAGCTTATGTCTGCTGCCGAAGATGGAAACGTCGGAAAAGTATGCTCCTTACTATATCAAGCCGGGTGTCGTAATGCGGACGGTACTACCGCCTTGATGATTGCAGCAAAGGCGGGGTATGCTGACATCGTTCAAATACTCATTCCCTACGAGAGAGGAATGATGAGAGTTGACGGCGGGATTGCCTATAAGCTTGCACGGGAGAATGGACGGAGTTCAGCCTATAAGTTGCTACACGGCATTGAGAAAGTGGCCCGTGATCGGAGTGGAGACACTCAGCTGATGATTGCTGCTGCAACAGGAAATGTGGCAGAGATTAACTCTTGCACTCACTTATTAAGATTTACTAATAGGCTTGGGAAAACGGCTCTTATGGTAGCGGCCGAGCATGGCCATCTGGAGGCAGCAAGACTTCTTTTGACTGAGGCCCGCATGCAGATGATTGGCGACGGTTGGCAGAATGGAGCGACGGCTCTTATTTTGGCCACTCGCGCCGGGTATTTGGATGTTGTGAAAGTATTGGTAGACTTAGAAGGCAACATGACAGATAGCAAGGGGTGGTTTGCTCTGGCCATAGCATCCCAGCGAGGGTATCTTGATATTTTAAATGTGCTTCTCCCCAAAGAGAAGAACATGCGGTTCCGAGACGGTGCCACTGCACTTCCAATTGCGGCACAATATGGGCAAACAGAGATTGTGAAGGCCCTGCTACCTCACTATGGCAAGCTACAGAGGAGCGACGGAGAAACTGCACTCATACGAGCGGCTGCATATGGTCGCGTTGAATGTGTGAAGCTGCTCGTCGATGTAGAAGCGGGCCTCACAAGAACAGATGGAAAGACAGCCCTCATGTTAGCAGCAGCGCGAGGCTATGAAGATTGTATGAACATTCTTCTTCCATATGAACGGGATATTAAGACGGTAGACGGTAAAGGGTATAGAGACTTTTTAAATACGCAGACAACCCAACATAATCAGCACAAGTAAACATAAATTATATTTAGGTAGCTATGCATGCTGCAAACCTGATAGCTGCAAATTGTCGTCACGGGCTTGCTTACCAGCCTGAACATAATCATGGAAGGATCTTCCTGCACCATCTAAGATCATGCTCTCCAGCTCCAGGAGCAATGCGCATGCTTCTAGAGACCCTCGTCTGGCGCCACGCATTAATGCTGTTCTGCCCTCTCTGTCTATCATTCGAGCCTCGTAAGGAATTAAGAGGCTTACAAAATCGACATTATTGTGTTGAGCAGCAACCATTAATGCGGTGATCCCCTTGCGCGTTTGCATTCCTGCCTCTTTAGAAATCAGAGCTCTGACCAACTTTGAACAATGGGTCCGAACGGCAAACATCAACGCCGTTACCCCCTCAGTATTCGCCTGTCCAGCTTCAAACTCTATTAACAACTCTGCTATATCTTCATATCCCTGCTCCGAGGCTAGCATCAAAGCCGTGTTGCCAGTATATGATGTTAGTCCAGACTCTTGCTGAGCCAGCAGCTTCACAATTTGTCTATTCCGTTGTCGTGCAGCAATCATCAGAGATGTAATGCCGCCGTGTGCTTGCTTTTTTTCTTCAAAGGGCAGAAGAAGCTTAACAATATCTTCGTGATTGTAGAAACTCGCATACATCGATGCAGTGAATCCTCTATCTGATTGCTTAGCAGCCTCGCTATTAACCAGCAAACGCGCTCCATCCAGATTTCCCAGCTGTGCACATATCATAAGAGCTGTTCGTCCGTTAGCACCCTGATACACCGTCTTGCTATCCAGAAGAAGACGCAAAATGCGGGTGTCATTATATCTGCAAGCTACCATGCGAGGGTAATTCCCTTGTTTTGTTGGAATGTCTATTTCACGTTCAACCAAGATCTCCACGGCCTCAATCTTGGAAAGCATTATTGCAATTGTTAGTGCTGTTTGTCCGTCTCGGCTTCGTATACGCGACTCGAACTCACTCAACAATCTGATTAGCTGGGTATCTGACCGGCGCACAGCCATCATAAGCCCTGTCTCTCCGTTCCTATTGGGTGTCCTAGCGAAGGTCGGCAAGTAGCACATTATACTGATGATATCTCCGGTAGCAAGAAGCTCGAACCAATCCTCTGTAGTCTGAACACTCATAAAGATTCAAAAATTTAAAGCTCGCTCTCTCTTTCAAAGCGGGTTGCTGAGATGACTCAGACTCCAATAACCGTTTTTGTTCGTATGCGACCAACGCCACGAGTTTCATCTGATATTATTCTGGACCCGAATAAGACGCAAATGATAGTTAGGAATACAGTTCTCCCTGGCGCTAGTACTCTCAACTTTACCTTTAATTACATCTTCCACAGCGCATCACAGGAAGAGATATTTGATTCGGTTGGAAAGCCAGCTGTAGGGAATGCTCTTGATGGTTATAACTCGACTATTTTTGCATACGGTCAAACCAGCGCAGGAAAGTCCTTTTCGTCCATTGGTGATCATTCGTTCACATACAAAAATCGAGGACTTCTCCCACGCATTCTCGAGTTCATGTTTCAACAGATCAATGCACGTCATGGCTTCACCTTTGATCTTCAGTTTTCTGCGTTAGAAATATACAACGAGCGATTAATAGATCTTTTGTCAAACGATAGCACTAAGCACCTCTCTATTTCTGATATAGATGGTGCCAATGGACAATCAATCAGCATTAAAAACCTGTCCATTCACTCTGCAGAAACATTCGATGCCGCCCTTGAGCTTGTCTTTGGAGCTGAAAATGTTCGCTCGATCGCAGAGTCATCCCTTAATATGCAATCATCTAGAGCCCACTGTATCTATACTATATATCTTAAGCAGCGCAGCCGTGTCGATGAGACAGCACCAACCATGGTAACCAAGCTCAACGTGGTCGACTTGGCTGGTTCCGAAAGAGCTAGTGCGTCTATCTCTGTGGATGCAACGGGAAATTTCATCAACAAAAGCCTCACGTTTCTAGAGCAAGTTGTCAACTGTCTCAATCAAAACGCTGCGCATGTTCCGTATAGAACCTCCAAATTAACCCATATATTGAAGGATTCTATTGGTGGTAATTGCAAGACCTATTTGCTGGCCTGTATTCGCCCGGAACCAGAATTCCTCTTAGATACCATCAGTACTCTGCGTTTTGCCCAGCGAGCCTCCTTTATTAAGAATACTTCTAGTATCAATCTACTTAATAGATACTATGATAGCTTACCCAATCAAACGACAAGTACAGTACTAAATCAACGAGACCTCAACAGTATCATAGCTACAGCTGTGGCAGAAGCCCTTGATGCAAAATCATCTGATGTGAAGAACACATCGAATTTTGGCCCTGTATTGTCTAAAATAATATCAGAATTGGAGATTGAAAACAAAAGTCTGAAAACCGAGAACCTCCTCCTATCCAGTGGGTCTAAAAGCCTTTCTAGTACAGAAGAAGGGCAGCACAAGCTCAAGCAAGTTATGGACGAATGGATTGATGGACGTGCAAAAGTGCCATCAGACATTTCCTCTAGGGATGACTATATCTTTTGCTTAACATACTTACGTGACTGTGTCGCATCTGGAAAGCCTGTACATACAGTATCTTTACTCAACGCATCGGGATCAGACGGCTCTTCTTTACAGCATACCTCTGCGGCAGATCTTGCACAGACCAAAAAGACTCGGGGATCAGCTGATACACCAGCAAAGACAGAACAGAGCGCAAAGCTTCATGGAACTGTCGACGAATCGGTTGTGATGTCAATTGGAGAGGCTGATGCAGAAATGATTGCTCGAACGTTGGCCAATTTAAACACTTGGAAGGGTGGTTTGAACACCACTCTAGTGTCCACTACAGGAGCACCTGCTCCTTTTGCAGCAATACAAGGAGATCAGCCTCAGGCAGAACCAGAGGATGTGGTTGAAGACTTAGCAGATAAGAAGTTTCAAGAGTACATCTCAGCAGGGGTGGGTCTAGATTTATCGAAGAAGGTTCTTGATGCTAAGACGACTTTAAACACAAAGAAACAAGACGCCATAAAGGCTTATCAAGAGCTTAATGAGCTGAAGTCCACGATGAAGTCGCTACAAAACAGGATGCAGGTGGCAGTTGATGAGTATAAGCAAATAGATAACACTGACAAGGAAGTGAGCAATATTCTGAACTTCAAAGAAGCCGGTCTCAATCAGGGAAAGGAGACAAATCTCAAAGCCCTTGCAGGTGAACTGGAATCTGCTCAACTAGAGTTTCAAACCAAGAAAGAGGCTTATGAAAAAAGCCTGGAAATGATAGAGCAGTTGAAATTAGCAGAAGTTGCAGCAAGGCAAAGGCTTCTGTTGAACTATGAAGCCTATTGTGCAGACTTCAAACCTGTCTGTATGACAACCGAAAAAGGAAAGGAGCGGACCCTCGACGACACGTTAGAAAATACAGCACCCAGTGGGTCATTGGCCGTCTTCAACGGAGCTATGAAGAGGGCTGGTCTAACGAAGAGAAAGTAAAAACTCTTTTAGATTCATTAGACTATTTCCTGCTATATGAAGCATCTAACAAAAGAATCGGAGCTGCAGTTTCTTCTCCAATGTGCGCGAGCGTCCCAGAAGTATACTAGAAAAGTGATAGACCTTGGATCATACGATCAAGAGACAAAGAAACAAACAGATTGTATATTCATTAGAGAGCTACCAGTAATTGCGGGATGGGTTGGGTGTGGCGTTTGGGATGCAGCGGTAATCATGTCTCGCTACTTCGTCAAAAATCCGGAGCCTTTGTCTGGCAAAGTGGTTTTGGAGCTGGGAAGCGGGGTCGGACTTACCGGCTTGGTGGCTGCGCGCTATGCTGAAAAGATCTATCTCACTGACTATAGTACTTCTATCCTCGAAAATTTAGAGTACAATTTGTGGCTTAACGTAAACGACCTCTCCGAGGAGCATCTAGTAGATCTCTTTGATGATAACGAAGATGCTAAAGCCGTTTATAGAAAGCATAACGAGCGCGTTAGCAAGACTGCGTTTGTCTCCTACCTTGATTGGTGCAATCCTACCAATACGGAGAAGCCCACAGTAGAACTAGAGCCAGACATCAGCACAAAGCTTCCTCCAGGAAACTTTCGCCGGAGAGTACCCGGGGGTACACTGCTGGGGAAGTTTCCGATGATCATAGGAAGTGAGCTCACGTATCAATTGCCCGGAGTGGAGGAGCTTGCAAATGTTATAGATTTGTTTCTGGAGCCAGGTGGAGTATTCTGGGAAATCATATCTATTTTCAGAGGGCCTGGGCCAAGAAAGTTTATGCTTCTGATGGAGCAGAAAGGATGGATTGTAGAGGCACGGTGGCCATTAAACGACTTGCTAGTCAATTTGGACTCTCGGCAAAGCAAGAGCCGAGATGAGAAGTACCTCTTCTGGACACTCTTTCGTGCTACGGATGAATCTAAGCTTATCCCTCGCTTCGGTGATGGGCCAGCTATAGACTGGCATGCATTGGAATTTACAGGTGATCATATCTAGCTAACTAATGTCACCTACTTGCCTTTGCTCGGAATAGTGAGAGCAATATGCTTGATTGGCCTCTCAGGTTCAGATTTGCCTTGTGCATGCTTCTCGTTCGGACAATTTTTCGGATTCCATGTTGCATGCATCGGAACATTTGTAAATGAGGGCACGTGGCTAGAGTCAGGGGGCGATGACATGGCTATAGACATGATTATACGTGTTGTAGCACGACTGCAGCTAATAAGCTTGATGTTATTATCATACCGTAGAAATAGACCCTCTAGTAATGAGGTACCACACCAACTCACTGGAGAAAGCTTAGCAGATAGAGGCCGTAAATTCAAATGCTTTGGCACACTATTTGCAAAGGAAGCCTTGTGGTGTGCACTACACTGTGCTCTAAAAATGGACAGTACATGGGAGCCATCCAGGTATGCTAGTGTGTCCACACAAGGATTCAGAGAGGAGTCGGAACTGGCTAACTTCAAGCAAATTCTATTAATATCATAGGTGGGAGAGATGCGTATAAGGTTGCTGGTTTCAGACACAAGCCCGCATGTAGATGACGTTGTCCCGCTAACGAGTATGAGAGTCTCCAATCTGTCATTACGCAACACAAGCCCTACCTGTCCACTTCCTGCCCATGCACCAGGCACTGAAACAGACCTGTTATTGAGCAGCACAAGAGACCCTACCGTTATTTTTGGTAGCTTTCCAGACGTATCGTTTTGTAGAAGTGTCTGTAATGTAAGAGGTTGTTTTGTAAGAACTGTTCCTTTCCCACTAACTGAAAACGTGGCTAGTTGTTTATGCGCCATGGACACAAACGGATGGGGGAGAACAGATACATTCGATGGCACCTTTTGTCTATAGAGTAACGGGACCAGAATGCCGTGGATGTAGTAGCTCATGTTACTGAGGAGATGGTCGAGACCGTTTAGATACGGGAAACAATGTTTCCTGTTGTTTTTGGGAAAGAGAGGTCCCAAATTTATCACAGGAATTAGTCGGGGATCAGATATATAAATTGCGCGTCTGGTCTGAGGAGTGACAGGTACATTATTGATTAGGAATTTTTCAGGTGAGTTCTTATCCATTATATATCTATAGTACGGTGAAATATGTTTCGTTGTAGGTAATAGTGAGCATTTCCTTCCATCATTATCCATGACATACTTCAAGGCTTTTGTTGAAAAAGGAAGAGCAAACTTATACAAGAGTATAGTATAGATAGTGAAATACGTTGGCCACAATTCACCTTCGTATAAGACAAAGTATCCAGGCGTATACCAATTAGATCCCTTGACAGTCAGCCCGATGTTTCTAAACAGCTTATCCGATCCTTCCATATCTATTCTGGAGACAAGGAACTCAAAGTACTCCTGTGTGACAGTTACGCTCAATTCATGCTCAAGGATATCTAAGTAGTTAACACATGGGCACAGAAGAGCTAACATATCCAGTGAAACCAACGGCTGGGTAATAGACCTATCTTCCAGTGAAGAGTACTCAACAACTCTCGCAGACACAGAGGTTAGAGGGAGGCTTTTTTCCACCAATAAGTCTTTAAGCCGCTGAGGCGGCAAAATAAACGGGACGCTCTCGGTAATGTGAGGACGCAGTAATGCAAGAACATCACGTTCTGATATTGTGTACTGTGTAGTAACGGCCTTATTAGCTCCTTCAATCCCAACGTGAAAGTGAGTGCGCCTCGACAGGTATGCAGCAAAATCTTCTACCGCCTTGATCGTCATTGGCAACCCCAAGAACGGACAAAGCGCGCTCAGGATCCTTGATCGTTGAATACGGTCATGGAACATGGTTAAAGCAACAGGTATTATAGAAAGAGAGGCACTAGGTACCACATTAGAATACTTACTCACTGAGCCCATGGGCGAGTACTCTCTATTGAGAAGAATCTCGCGTAAGCGCTGAATTGCCATGCTTATGCCTCCATGCAATTCGCTGTGTACGGTTAACATCTCTATAGGGCTGCCATCTATCGAAGTAAGAGTGTTGAGAGGCGCTACTATGGCTATTCCAGCCGAAGGAACATCAACCATCACTCCTTTGTTGAGCGTCCAATAGGATCGGAACCAGTCTCCCAAAAGCTCTTGTGGTCCTGTTTGGCTGAAGAATTGGTTGGCAATGATATCCACAAAGTGTTCTGTACAATCTACAAAGCCTCCACACAGATTTTTTCTAAGGTAAATGCAACCATCGATTAGAATGCCATAAAGGATGCCGACTTGCGAGTTTCCGTATGTCAGTGCAGGTGAGCCACAAATGAGTTTGGTAACACTTGCACCAGTGCGGCTGGACAAGAATTCCAGCTCCCGTGAGGAAGACAGATCAGGGTTAACGTCAAGTGAGTCATGTACTTTTTCATTGAAAACGTTCAAATTAAGCCAGCATTGATAGATGTCTTCTTGATGGCGGTAGTATGAGGCAAAATGCTGCTGATCAATGTGCTGATCAAAAGATGGGTAGAGACAGAGTGTTTGAGATTTATATGTCTGAGAATTGCAAATAATAAAACCCATACCCCTATCGCTAAAGTCAACATCTGAAATCGCAGAGGTGTAAATTCGCAGTCCCGTATATCTAATAGGAAATGGCGTTCTTCCAACCGTTATTGTCCGTAGGATTTCAGAAGAAGTCCGCGCCCCCTTTCCCCCGGCAGAAAGGTAGAGATGCGTTGAATAAGCGTCCGCTCTACTGGTGCGATCTAAAATATCTACATAGTCAATGTTGAATTGTGGCTTTAGCTCATCTTGCTGCTGTGTGAACCAGATCGTTGCTTTGTGGAGGCGTATCTCATATTGTTCATCTGGTTGCTCAGAAATCAATTTCAAATCCTTGTTGTAGCGTGCAAGCCAGACACCTAAGGAAGTATAAGATCCAGTGCAAGTTTCTGGAGAATAGCTACGCAAGTACTCGCTTTGTAACGCCACTGAAAGCTCAGGTATATAAAAGAGCTCGTAATCAGCGCCGAACCGGGATCTGTTTAATCCAAGTGTCTGGCCGGGCTGACAAAACAAGTAGCAGCTATTTGCCTCCAATGCACTGGTCAGCGTTTTGTGGAGGAGTGAATCGCTAGGCAGACTCCTGAAAATATGTATTTCGCATCCTGTGCGTATCATGTGTGACAGAGCCTCGTACTGTTTTGTAGAGCTAATTGGAGCATGCCTGGTAGTAGATGATGAAGCAATGAGAGAGTCCTTGGGGAGAAGGTTGTTAATGTTACTGGTATAGTTATAAATTTCCTTTAGGGGGAAAAACTCCGAAATCCCCAGTGGATAGTCCTTATAATATGCTGAAAACAACTTTTCAAACCCATCTCCATATTGAACGCTTTGATTGAACCACTTTCTTTCAACAAAATACGGTGTTGGGCGCCGCAAGTTAATCTTGAAGTAAAAGGATTCAAAAGATGATGTTTCATTTAAAATAAATATGTCATCCCAGTTCGGGATGTTCTTATAAAAATCCATAAGCCTCTGGGTAACGACATGCTTGTAAAGAAACGTGCTCAAATGTTCCGGAGAAATGACTGAACATAGTTGAGTAAGAGCTGTTTTTGGGCGATCATTCAGAAAAGAAAACTCAGGCCCAGTATAAGTCTGTAAAATCTTAGACAGACGGTCATAGCTGGCTTCAGAGATATCAGAACTGATGCAGAGGGGCTCAGATGTAAAGTCGGCTAATTCCTGCGAAAATGTTAAAGAACCACTAACACCGCTACCAGTACAAGCCGTATAGAGAGCTAGGTCACTTATTAACGGACTAAATGGATATGAGAAAAACCAAGACCACTCTGGATTTCCCTTGAAGGACATATAATACTTAATTACCATTACGGTTGTGCGTAGGTATGAACGCACCAGATCATGATACGGTCTCAGGCGCGTAAGCAGTGGTGTCTTTGAAATAATGTCATCCAAAACCCCTATGGCATCTAGCACCATTACATCGGAGTAACTTGAGCTAGAAGCAGCTCGCTCCTTTTCACGAAAATTGCTGCACATATCCAGGATGAGAAGCGCTACTTTAATGATGTTAAATCCCGTGCCTTTATGATCAAAGAGACAGCTAGAAATTATCTTGATACGACCCTCACTTGAAGATATAGTCTTGATACACTCCAGCTCCTGAAAAAGGTCAGTGACAGCTTCTATCCGTGGAGGTCTACTGTTCAGCTGCTTCTGGGTTAGGGTCTTCTCGATTAGTGGAGAGTAGAGCGCGTTGAATTTCTGTGAGTACTTCTTATAGTAATAGAAAAAGATGGTCGATTTCTTTTTCATTGCCAATGTAACCGCCTTCTTAATAAGCTTTTTATCTGGATCTGATTCTGGGACCTTGATATCTAAATAGTTAACCACCTCTGAACACTCTCTTGTAACCGTGTCCATCCAGTCATCACTTAATCTTCTAGCGTCTGCCGACTTTTCTACCTGCAACTGAAGATTGAAAAGGGCGATCACATCATCAACCATGCTGTTTATAACTGTCTGTTGCGAAATTCGTGAATAAAGCATCTGTATCTTATCAAAGCGAAGCTTACCTTCTTCGGTGATCAAAAACGAAGGGTGGATAAAGTCCTTGTCAGTAGATCTATCCTGACACATATTCTTGATATTTTTGCAAAGCTCATCGAGCAAGCAAGTATCTGCTAGCAACTCTCTATAAATAGCTATGCAATTATCTAGGGAGTTATTCTTTACAAGCATCCCAGGCACCTCTGGCAAGAAGTCGTTACCCACGAATAGGGTGAGGATGATGAAGTCTACTATCAGGGCGGATGCCAACGGAGACCAAATAAACGCTTCTTGAAGAACATTAAGAGACATTCGGGAAAGCATGCCACTGTCATTCATCTCCCTAGATAGCCTTGGATAGCAGTTTTTTAAGCGCTGCATGTATGTATGTGGAAACGACTGATGACAGAGAGCATGGAGAAGCTTTGGATTATGGAACCGATTACTAATAAGTTCTGCTACAATGCATTCCCGAAAACAAGATAGATCGACAACTATGAGTTCCCTATCAGTAGGGTGCCGTTTAGACTCTAGTATGTCCACTGTATCAGCAACAAATGGCGGTTGCCAAAGACGAAGCACATAGACGTTGTGTACATGAAGACCTAGCCCCAAGAGCACAATATCTGCATCCAAGCCACAGATGCAGTGGCTCTCATGGTGAGGGAAGAACTCTGAAAAGGACGTCTCAGAGCAATCTGCTCTACTGGCAGCCAACTCTTCTAGCTGCCTGAGACGTCTGATTTCTGCCATAATCTTATGCTCCCCTTCGCCACACATGTCCCATCCCGAAATCGTCACTGAAGGCTGCACCCAGCCAGGCGCTTCACTGTCAACATTTTTGGCTACAAATGCTATCAGAAATGAGTGTAACCTGTCCATGAATAATGTGCCCGGAGAAATAGCTGCCTTAACGTTTTGAGGGGGTAGAGTCTGGTCGTCATCGTTCCCATTTGCTATATGCTGACTGGTGAGGAGTTCAGCCTCGGACAAAACAGTAGCGGTACCTGCAATACTATCTCTATAGATTTTTGTCCCAATCTTTTCATAGGCGCCCATGTAACGCCTGGTTCGCTGCTGTTTTGCTTTTGCATCAGGTGCCACCCCGTCGGTTGCGATAAAAATGCGTTTACGCGGCTGTGCAGTGGATACCAAAACCTGAATATAGTCTGCGATCTCTCCAAAAATCATAGCTTCAGTAAACGTAAAAGGAATGTAAGAATCTTTTCTTATGCTTTCGTGGATGAGTGCATTGAAGTCTATGTACAAGTTATCGATGCGGGACACAAAAGAGGCTCCGGGAGTAGTCACAGCAAGCGGATATCTCTCGTATATCCAGCGAAACAGGCGCGCGACACCCATTAAATATTTAAATGGAAGCCACTTTTTCTCTCTTGGACTTTATTATTAATGCACCTGCTACATTTTCTTTCCAGTCCTTTCGCAGCACAGTGAGTCACAATACAGCCCTAAAGGACTTTGTCAATAAAGACTACTCTCGATACCATATTTCTGTTATCTGGCGATACCTTACAATTGCCTATACAGACCTCACACGAACGGATGACTCGGACTACCAGGCGACACTTCTAAAACTAATCGTTCGCCTGAACTTGTTTCTGAGCGGCCTGGAGCTCCCGCCGTCTCCCTGTTTAAATCTATACGTCCTAGATGCCATTTACTTCGCTTTGGCACATTACCGACTAACAGGTAAAACGTCCCTCTTCGACTACGTTGTAAGGAGTGATCTGGCAGTACCACCCAACATGAAGCAGCTCTTCCTTCCGTTCATCCGTGTCATTCACAGCAAAATTTACGATGCCAACTACATTCCCGACCTTTTAGACCTTGTTGTTGCTGTGCATCCATCTGTTAAGAATATCGCCCCAGGAATATATACACAGGATGCTGTGTTGTACATGGACGAGGTGATTCGCAAGGAAACATCCGAGACAGTTGGCCTGGTTGCCACCGAGTCTACGCGCAAACTCATTTGCTTGAAAGCATTTTCGGTTGGAGACTCCATCTTCGAGGGTCCCACGGATATGACTGCTATAGGCATGGTTAACCCTCTTGCAGCCGTGTGCAACTGCTGTGGGGAAGCGGTTGAAGCTATTGCTGACCCCATTCGATGCCCTGAGTGCGGGGTGGTATACTGTACCATTGCGTGTAGAGAATATGACTTACACTATCACTCTCATGAAATATTCTGCCGATTTATCACAGACACAGCGGTGCATAGCTTTGCTAGCATATTCTCTCGGTTTTCTCTGGAACGTAACATCTGGAGTACGTTCTTTGATGCGTCCATGATCATTCTGCACATTCTGGCTATTCTAACAGACAAGATATCAATCGCTAAAGACGTTCTCCCCGCTACACTGTGGAAAACTGCACCAGAGCTATTTCTTCTAAATAGGGACACCACTGCAAACTACGAGTGGTATCATAAAGCATATGGATCACCACTCAAGGAGCATACTGGCATTGACATGATAGGATTTCCCACCTTTATTGCACTCTTTCTAGGTCCAACGGCTGGGCTGCTCAAGGTATGGCCGTATCTGCGTCCAAGCACGTTATATTACGTACTCAGTGGAGTTCTAATGAATGGGTTTGCTCAGGTATTCAAAGATGAAGCTGATAGGTTATCGGATCGAGCAGCTTATGGTGCATTCAATCTCAGTTACTATCATTCCTTTGTTAGGCATTCATGCACACCGAACTTCCGGCGCACAATGGTAAAGTCACCAACTGGGGGCACGTTTTTCTCCCTTATATGTATCAGAAATACAATGCCAGGGGATGAGCTCACCATTTCATACGTAGAGACAGAACCGGATGAGAGTGGTTACGAGCACTATATAGACACTCTCGCAACCCACAACATCCCACTTTGTTCATGCAAGCGTTGCAGCAAGATCTTATCTTATCTTAACACGGGGTGAATATCTCTAAAACAAAATCAAAGGCAAGCAAGATTCTGAAGATCCATTAATTCGGGAAAAGCAGACTGGTGCTTCTCTCTTACAATACAGAGCTCACGCAGGTTTCAGTGGTTTACAAGCTGCTCAAAGATCCATCACATCTATATAGTCACCTTTTGGTCCCCTTAAGACTTGCGAAGTTGGTAATCCCTGAGAGTTGGTGACAGACGACGAGTTCATGCTCTGAGATGCAGCAATGCTGGCAGCTTCCTTGATTGCACGGTCTGGAATTCTAATTGAGGAGATAAGGGATCCCTGAAGGCTGTATGTGGGATAGTGTGATGACTTGCTTTCTGTGTCGATCATAGTGACGTCTGACAGGACCATATTCATTTGCACGTCAACGTTTCTGAGAACTCCCTGGATGGTCGTGCTATCTTTGAGTGCAATAACCATGTAATAGTTAACACAATTGGGCAGAACTTGCTTCATTTTTGAAATATCTTTGTTATGCACGCCCATAAAATATTGTTGCCCTTAGCGATAGACGCAAGAAGCACTATGCAGTTGATTCAACCAGTAAGCTTAGTCTAACTACTACAATCTGCTTTCGAGAATTAAATAAATATAAAGATGGCCACGTCCGTGGACGATCCTCTAGTGGATCCAGACACTGGTAAGAAAATAGATTTCTACAAGATCCTTGGTCTAGAGACGTGGCCTGGCGACGGGGAGGCTAAGAAGGCCTACTATAAAGCGGCTATGAGGTTACATCCAGACAAGAATAGAGACAACCCTGAGCGTGCAGAAATTGTCTTCAAATATTTGCAGGAGGCGTGGAAAACCTTAAGTGATCCTACAGAACGGGCGTACTATGAGCGTAATCGCGAGTTGATACTCTCTGGGGGCGTAGAAGCAGACGAGTTCTATGGCGTTGATACCTTCGTGAACCTAGCGTCTTTTCGTTCCTCAAGCTGTTACGACGGGTTCGATGACTCTCCTCGGGGATTTTACACCGTCTATGCATTGCTATTCAAGACCCTTGCAGACGAGGAGCTCCGTGCTGCTAAGCGTCGAATCGAAATTAAGAGTTACGCTGACAATGAACTTTCCATGTTACAGCGGCGTAGCTCTGAAGAAAGTTACCCGCAATTTGGTCCTTCTGACGCGTCAGAGGCTATGGTCTCTTCCTTCTACAGTTTTTGGAGTCGCTTTCAATCTGTAAAAGAATTTCTGCACGAGAATTACTATTCTACTGAAGGGAATTCAAAGTATAGACGGTTGGCAGAAGGAGAAAACAAAAAGTTCCGTGAAGAGGCAAGGCTCCAGTTTTCCATTCGTGTAAGAGACATGGCTGCATACCTTAAGCGTAGAGACCCGCGGGTAGAGGCTTACCAAGAAAAGCAGCGCCGTCAGAGCGTCGAAGCACAACAGAAGCGTGAGGCAAAGATACAGCAGATCCAAAGGGAACGTATAGCGAGCAAGCAAGCACTGAAGGAGCAGATCGCCAAACGAATATCCATCCTAACAGAAAAGGTAAACGACGGGACTATTACCGCCCACGAAATGCTGGAGCTTGAAAGCATGGCGTCTACTCAGCCCCTACACTCAGATAAGATAGCAGATGAATTTACAGACCGTAAGGAAACTCCCATGAATGGTGGTTCCCCGAACAAATCTCACCACTATCCTGGATCATTGTCAAAGGAATTTATTGCCCAAGGTCTTGCGTTCGATAAGGCCACCGGCAAGTTATTCTGTAAGGTATGCAATCAGCGCTTTCAAATGGAAGGAGAGTTCAAGTCTCATCTAACAAGTAAGAAGCACCGCAATGCACAGAAGGAAAGTGCAGCTACCGATGCACCAACGAAGGCTACTATCAATTCTGAGAATGTGGAAAGAACTGAGCCAAGAAAACGGCGCAGAGCAATCCAGGAAGGTACCCCTGACGAAAGTATTGAGAAGGGGGAAGCTTGTGAAGGGGGCTCAAAGAATTCACATCAGTGTAAGATCTGCAAACAGCGGTTTGAGTCCCGAACAAAGCTATTCAAGCACATAGCGGATACAGGGCACGCGGCGCTGAAGCAGAGCTAACGGTATTATAAGATAAAACTAATTTACATAGTTAATAAGCATTATTGAATATAGGATACCGGCTGCCCTTGCTCATTCAGCAAGGAAGAGATATACTCCCTAACACGGGCCTCATTCTCGCTAATACGAGCATGATATATGCGCTCAAACTCAACGGCGGTCTCCCTCGCTAGCTGATCGCGTATCTCCGTGAGAATGCATTCTATGTCGTTTAAACTGAAGAGTAAATCGGAGCTTCTATTGCGAGCTTTATTTCTGTATGAAGGCGGAATGAGTTGGAGGGATGGTGTCCTGATAATATCATAGGGGGTAGCTAATCTTAACGGTTGCCAAAGTTGGGACTCCAGCCGCTTCATTGGCCGATGGGCAGTCTCTGTGGTCCGCTTCATCCCAAAGAGGCGGCTACGGGGCATCGGGAGATCCACAGTAGCAACTGCCATTTTAATTTATTGGATCAATCGCGCTGGTGCAAGTCGATGAAATATATCCCCGAGGCCTCTCAAAAACTACGAGCATTGGCAGCCAATGCATTGGCTGAAATCAACCAAAGTAGGCCTCCTCCACTTATGCCCTTGACCCTCCAGCTTCTGGAATCTAAAGCTATCGAGATTGCGCTTCTGAACACGCTTATAAAGATTTCTTGTATGAATATGCAAGACCGCCACTATGACATATATACTGAAGAGACGGCAAAAGACAATATCATCCACCGGCACAGTTATATTTTACTTGCATCTCGTTTGTCTGCAGAGGACGACAACACCACACCATCAGATCGTGTGCTGGGATTTCTTGCGTTTAGACCGATATTAGAGAACGGCAAAAGGCAGCTCTACATCTGGGAACTCCAAATTGATGCTCGTTATCAACGAAAGGGACTGGGGCAGATGCTCATATGGAGTCTGATAGACTTAGGGAAGAATGTCATGTCTCCCGAGAAGTTTTCCCTCTGCTTGACTTGTTCTAAACGCAACGAAGCGGGGTATATAGCATATACTAAACTGGGGTTTGCTCTCAACGGAGACAGCGAGGACGAAGATCCCTTTTGGATTCTTGAACTACAAGTAGAGTAGGATAATGCGTGCAATCTAAGCTTCAATCTTTACACGACACCTATGCTAGAGTATTCTCTCAGTAGGTGGATAAACATACCGGACAAGCTAAGCTAGCAGCTGACATCTCTAGGTCATGGCCCTAATCTCACCAGATACTCTATGATCTATTTATAAAATTATTGTGGCGAATAGTCAGGAAGATTGATACTTTTAAAACTCGAAGATGTACTCAAAGAAAACTGAGATGCATCATATTTTATAACAGCAATCGCGTATCTAATGATAGTCTCGTGGTGTAATAAGCACAGGTACTCTGATCTAGCTTTTTGTTTCAATAACCAAACACTTCATAAAATAAAGACCCACATGTTTACACCTAAGAACGTTAAACAACACGTAAAGCACATGAGCATAGTTCACCTGGTAAGGATGTATAATCACAATGTTGATAGAGATGGATATTACCCCATCGATGCTAAAGAGGCTGCAAACTTAATATTCTGGGCGCGCCTGTGGATAGGGACGGCTGTCGGATGCCTAGCTGGTTCCCTACGAATACGTGGCTACCTCCCTATCATATTTGCATTTCTGGCGCTCATGTACCCCACGACTATAATAACCAAAGCAGCTAACGTTCCTACGCACATTTTGAAATACTACAACCTAGCAGGTGGCCTCTCTGCGTTTGCTCTAGTGTGGATACTGTTATATTCAGCACAGTATACTCCTTAAGTGGCAGGTTTGGGTGCCCGAGTCTGTAGACCGCGCTATAGTCAAGACAGAAGAGATGTAGTGAATTCGGACTCTATATCTTGTTGCAAGTCATCTTCTTGGTGATATGATGCGGCCTCTTGCTGTTGTAGTTTAATGCGGTGAACTTTGTTCCACTCGTCGACGAAAAGAACGGTTGTATTAAAACGAACCCGACGATCTGATTTCTTTGGGAGACTGGCTACAATAGGCGATGTAGTTGACCCCGTCACCGTTTTGAGTTTCTTAGGAGTTCTCTGTGGAGTTTTTCTGGGCAGATCTGAGGGGGAAAGTTTTGCTACCAACTTTGAAAAGGCCTGTCGCTTATTGGGCTTCACCGGCTTCATTTTCACCGGCTCTGGTATGGAAGTGTTTGCACACTCTAACTCTCGCCTTATCTCATCCAATAAGCCTCTCATTTTGGTGTTAAGACTGGGCTTCCCGGTTATTACCTTTATTACTCTTTCATACCGCTCGGGCAAACTCTCCTTTGAGGCTGAAAATGATATCTTAGGCAACCTGTTTCTGGGTACCGTACAATGAGGTATTGGCAATGCTTCTGAACTCTGTTCTTGTAACTTGCTTGGTTCCCTTGGTCCCGCTCTTGCAAATTTGAAGCGTATTTTGGTAGGTCTACTCGACAGGAGACACTTGCTGACATCTATTGTGTTCAAGCTGGTCAATAAAAAGCGACTCCATTGCCCTATGCATACTTCAAGAAGCTGAACCACAGCCTTGCTATCAGCTGTATGTCTTTGAAGCATCTGTTCAGGTGATAGGTTCTGCTCCTTCTTAAGAATCATTTGCGGGAATACCCTAGATACAATCATCTCTCCATTGCTGGACCTGAACGCAAGTTTGAGAAGCCTATTAGTCAATTTATATCCCCATCGGAGACACGCTTCCAAATACCACTGCTCACTGTCTTCATCCTGCGTACTTTCTTCTTCTATATAGCTGAGTGACACGCCCGATAGCGACGGTGCAATATACACTGTATCGCTAAGTTCCAAATCTAGATCAGTCAGGGAGCACGCTCTCCAGTTCTCTCGGCTTGGCTGCAAACCTATTATAACCCGGACCTCCTTGTCATTAGTGAGCTCTTCTGATACTTTCAGCTCGAGCTTCATAACATGATCGTCAAACAGCACTCCAGAGTCTAGAGCAGTTATACGATCATTATGCAACGTGAGAGAGCGAGCTAGTGCACCCTTCAGCCAGTGCATAGACTGACGTACCGAAATAGGTGTGACTTCAAAGTATCCACTCAGTTGCTTTACAAAGTCTTGTTCTATAGAAGCAGGGACCCAAACAATTAGAGACCACGAAGATGCCACGTGAACAAAAAGACCAGAAAGGTATAGGCGATATCCCAAACGGGCGAATTGGAGCATAACATCTTCATCTTCTGCATCTAGAGGGCTCAATCTAAGCACAGCAATATCTATAGTTGTCAAACTTTGAGCGGCAATACATGGGAGTGTGCTACTCTCAACCGTACTCTTTGTCAAACGCTCCGAGGCGACTAGACTAAGGGCAGAGGTGAACATACCCACTGTAAAGGTTGTTCAGTTGCTACAGGGTAGGCTAATTTACAGTTGTCTCCTCCGATAAAGGGAAGAATTTCTTAATGATGCCTAGCATAACGCGAGGCTCGCGATAGCCTTCCACAGTTCCCAAGCACTTTCCGTCCTTGCCAATAAGGACAATGAACGGTATTCCCCTTCCTTGCTTTATATTGTTCTTGGCGCAGTATGCGTTAACGCAAGCCAGCTTGGCTCTAATAAGTTTGACTGAGTGCTCTGCTAGAGCAGCCTTAACTTTCGCATCGCTCCATGTATTCATTTCTAACTTGTAGCAGTGATAACACGTTGCTGCGTTAGTACCCACTAATAGTGTATTGCTCAGCTGTGAATCTTCCTTGACCTCTTCATACGATACCTTAAGCTTCTTCATCCGTAAGGTGACTAGACCCTGTATAATTACTTGGGCAACGACCATCACTCCTACAACAAGACCTATCATGACCCCAAGGCTAGGCCCGCCACTCGCCGTGGATCCCTCAGACATTCTATTTTATTTTCATTTCTCTTAGTACCCTATCTGGCACGTCTCTGGCATCTGTAGCTCAAACAGATTATCAAGGCCGTATGCGGAGGCAGCCGATGTTCTCTCAGTACTAACAGCAACGCGATTCCCTTCATCACCGACGTTCAGCGGTGTCAAGTTCTGCTCTGGCTCCAGTACAGTATATGCAGAATGCACATGTTGATTCCCTACACTCGAGCATCGAACACCGAGCGACAATGCACCAGACATGGCCTGAATACTTGCTAACCGATCATCAAGCCTCTGTAGCAAGGCCAAGCGGTCCCTTCTCCGTGCATCTTCTGTTGACTCAGTGTTTGCTGGCTCACTAATGGGCTGCCCCAGACGTCCCGCACTCTTGGAGCGAACGTCATGTATCTGCTTTGTTAGAAGCGAAAGACATGCGTGCATATTCATTGCGTTTTGTTCGTTAGCACAACACTGATGGGATCTGTGGGATCGCTTTTTTCTATGGACATGCTTTTCTTTATGACTCGGTACTCCATCTATACAATCGTTCAGTATGCGCATTTCAATAATATCATCACAACATGGGCACTTAACCTTCTCAAGAATTATCTGTTCCCCGTTTTTATATGCTATCTTCTGGGACTCCTTGTCCTTATCCCTGTTATATCTATGATGTCTATGCTTGTGTTTCCGAGATTGGTGTCTCCGTGCTCTTCTATGACTTCTACCCCCATGATTGTTTATGTCCTCTTCTTCTTGAGAAGATGAACAAGAAGTGGTGGAGGATGAGTAGGTGTCCGGTGTACTCATTGTACAGACAGAAGATGGTCTGTGATGGACGCTCTTGTGTAACTCAGCTATACGCTGAATAATAAGATCTTCTATCTCTTCGTCACTCAGTCGTTGATGTGGGGACAGGGCATGCTTATGTGCCTGTGTATTTTTCTCGAGGTGAGATATGCCGACATTTCGTGTAATTGGCTTGGTATTGATTGCAACGCTTTCACTGCCATCTTTCCTGGATTTAGATGCTGCATCAATAGGAACAGCAGGTACAATGCTACACTCATCAAATGGAGCATATATTGGGGTTCGTCCGATAGAATCTTCTTTATCAACAACTTGAATAACAGTGCGTGAATTTTGCTGAGGGAGGTGTTGAACAGTGTCTAGTGGTTCCCACTTCTCTGGTACGGGCGGTTGAAAAGCTAGTTGAAAATCGCTAGCCACAGATGTAATAAGAGGAGCACCACCAGACGTTCCGATGATCTGTGGTTGCTTTACCCCAGACTTTCTAGGAACATTTTGTACACTATATATAGGTGGGGAAATGGGAGCTTGTGTCTTAGTTAAAGGCTCTGGAAGAGGAGGACTCTTACTTTGAGTGACTACCATTGTCTCGACAACCGTTGGCGAACTTGCTGTGGCTGGCACTGAGGTCTTGTGCTTATTAATTGTTCCTGGACTAATGAGCATCTTATACTGTAACGGTTTTTTCTCTGAGTTTAGGTTAGCACGCATTTGCTCTGCACATTGTGCACAGTAAGTGGGACCCTGGTCAATAGCATCAGTAGCCATGCCTAGAAATAACCCGCAGAGCGAACACTTGATTGGGTATTGCTTTTGCTCTGTCTCCACGACGCAGCTGCTTGGATGTTCAGAATACTTGGAAGCTTTATGCGGCTGGGGCTCTACAAATACTGGTCGCTTTGGGTTGATAATCTTTTCCAAGGCATCGGTGGCTGCTTTTATGGCTGCTGTTTGCTTCGTTGTTCCGAACTTTGTAAACGGAGAACGTATGTCTGCAGGAGAAGCTATTCTGGCTTTGTAATGCGCCATATCTCCAATGAGCTCTGAGATCTGATGCTGTCGGATCTTTTGCTGTTCTTCCTTTGTCTTTGCGCTCTTGAGTTTCCGAGCAGTTGAGTAGTTGTCAAAGGATTTATCATCAAATGTGGCCAAATCGATGCCACTTTTGTATGTGACATCGGTAACAGCATTTATAGCTGCCCTAATATCTTTGTTTTGCCTCGACATATCAGCAGTCTTTGAAGTTGAGCGTATAGTTCCACTGCTACTACTACCTACACTTGATGTAAGATCAGATGCTGATAGCATGGACCGTGCTTGCTCAGAGTGCGACCTGAACGGATTTGAGTGGCTTATATTTGAGGACGACCGTCCAATAAAGCTATGGTCACTAAGGGTTGTAGTATCATCAAGAGCAGCATTGACATGTGCCTTCGCTTTGTATGCATTAGCCACAGATTGCTTATGATGAGACGGAGCCGATGCTTCTTGTGGCTTCTTGACGCTTTGCGTAGCCCGTGATCGAGCAAAAAGCTCAGCACGCTCCTTTGTGGTGTACGCATGTACATTAATTGACGATTTCGCCGGGGCTCGCAAGCCGGTGCGACTATGACTTGATGCTGGAGGTCCTCCTAGATCTAAATTAAATGCAGGCCGATCCGCTATACTGGTTGGCGCTTTGGCAGACTTTGTCGGTTTAGTAAAATCCTTTTCCTGCGCCGCTCCTCTAGCACTTTGAATTGAGTTTCGGGATTTCGGGGCACTGTGAGAGGCTGTAGAGGCCCGCTGAGGGCCAGTTCGTAAAGCAGATGTCGCGCGGCTATTTGAAGAACTTCGAGTTTTAGAGCTAACAGCCCGCTGTGCAGGTTGGTTAACATCAGCAAGACCAAGATCTTTGTTGGCTGGCTTTAACAAGGGCCTAGTTCGTTGAAGTTTTCGCTGTGACATTGAAATCTAAATTTTTATAGATGCATCCTCTCATATCTCACCAACTCTATGACCTCATGTGGCAAAAAATCCCCGAAGAAAGCGATGACAGTACAGAATATGGCCTGACGTCTTTATTCTTGCCAGATACGCTTTTAGTTGAAGATTCAATCATCAAGAATTGGTACTTTACGTCTTCTGAGGACGGAACAATCCTACGAAAAAATAAGGCTAATATAACAAATAAGAACATTCTGAACGCATTTGCATCTGGAGTGCATCCAGAGGCCGTGTGCGCACTAGTGGCATATATAGACCTGAGTCCCAGTTTAGATGTACACTATACTGTACGCTATCTTGCACCAGCACAGCTTGAGGTTCTTCTCCTGGACTTGAAGAATTACTACTTTACGGGTATAATTCAGAGCCTGACTCGGTCTTGGCCTTTCGGACGGAGACATTCGCGTCGACAAATAAGCTCCGCAGTCAGCTGTCCTTCTCGCGAATCTTTCAAGGAATCACAGATTAGTAACTTAGCTGATAAGTCTCAACAAAGAGATTGCCAAAATCTGCCACGACCAACCTCTTCGCTTATCACAAAGCCCAATGAAACAGAAGCACAGAAGCGACGTGGAAACAGAGACTATGGGACTACAGAACAGAGCTACTCCTTGATTCGAGTACTTTGGAGCCCAGAGAGTAGCTGCGTAGAGGCTCGCAAAAGCAAAGCAAATTTCGATGGGTATCGGTACTCTCCAGATGTACGTTGCTGCACATTCTTTATGAGTGGTGCCTTCCAAATGGTGACTGTCCCCGTGTCTCTCCTATATAAGATAAATACTGTCCTCACTCATTTGGCAATACACATTTCTGCACAAAAGCAAAAGAAGACAGTTGATAGACTGGTAGTATACTTGCACCCTTTTACTTCTCACAGGGGAACTACAGAGCTTTCGTTGGTATTAGGCGAAGAGATAGTTATAGGCGGTAAGAATATTGATGCAGATCTTTATCTACAATGGCAGCAAAGGGTGAGGCGAGAGTTCCGGCCTCCACTTATTCTACATTATGATCTATTGAAAAAGGTTTATATTGCAATCACCAATCCGCTGATTGCTCAACAAACGCCTGCAGAATATCGTGACGTCTACGAAAGGGTCTCTAATTTGGGATATGAGGTGCAGGATGGCGAAGCGCGTGTCAATCTGCAACGCACAGATGCTGTACGGCACATATTGAAGTGTATTAACAAAGATATTGGGACCAGGATGCAGAGCAAAGCATACAAGTTCATATCGGAAGTGGCTTGTTCTTTTGCAAAAACTCTAGAGCATGCAGAGGAAGTCTCTCTGCACGTTCCTGAGATCGCGATTAACAGACCATGTGTGCGCTGTCAGGCTCCACGATGTGCCCATCGCCTCCCGTTCAAGGTCCTGCTTAGTGAGCCGTTTGCACATATATCCAATAAGTACCAAGTATTCTCTGCATTATATTCTGAAACGTCAATTGCCAATCTGTATCGTCTATTACATTACATTCTAACTAATGATAAGACCGTTTTTAAATACCGAGACGCTCTTCTTATAACGATAAGCACGTTATTATCAAAATCATCCATTGAGCCGGCATCCTTACCAGGTAGTCAAATCAGTATGGACCTGATGGCAAACAAAGATCGCTTAATAGATTTATTTTTCAGTGTACATAAGACCCGCGATGACGTGCTTCTATCCTTCGACAAATTGCAAAACTTCTTTGTCATGACAAGTATAACAATTTCATCATGCGTTCCTGTACATCTCCTTCGGCGCTGCGGCATACCTGAATTTGACGCCCAAGCGTTCTTGAAGCGACTAGACGAAGACTACTTTATCTATAAGCTTTATCCCGTATGCCAGCAATGTACAGATGTGCTTTTTGGTATACTCAAGGATCTCACGTGTTAAGGAAGGCGATCCGCCCCTCATTACCCTACAGCACTCCGATTTAGTTAAAAATTGATAACTTGAATTTCTAAAAATGTCCGACGACGAATCTGAGCAGCCCATCTTGAATATAGGGACATATACAGGCCCTCGGAACGAGTTGGGTGAGCGTCATGGCCGAGGAAGGTGTGTATTCCCAAACAAAGATGTCTACGTAGGCGATTATGAGAATGGCCTCCGCAATGGCAATGGAACATACCGCTGGGCGTATCTAGGCGTAAAGTATAAAGGTGAATACAAGAATGGTGCCAGAAATGGGTATGGGACAATGAACTACACCAACGGAACCGTCTATGAAGGCAATTGGGTAGACAGCAAGCGTGAAGGAAATGGAAAGATCACCTATCCAAACTTGGATTATTATTCAGGGGAATTCCACAATGGTCTCCCACACGGAAAGGGTGAGTATTATTATAAATCATGCGATGTCAAAGTTAAGGGTCAGTTTGAATACGGGCGGATAGTCTTCGGCGAGATGATTCTGCGGGACGGATCTAAGTATGAAGGTGAGTTTCGCCTGAACCAACCTTTTGGTAAGGGAGCGTGGATAGTGAATGGATGGAAGCAGGATGGCTCGTACATTGAGATAAACCCTCCACCCAAAGAGGTCGACGACGAGGGCATCGATGAAGAGGCAGAGGAAAAGGAAGAGGCGGAAGAAGAGCAAATAGAGGACCCAGAAAAGTCCATTGAAGAAGAGGCTGACGAAGAGGCTGGGGAGGAGAAGAAGGAGGACATGGCCACTGATCGAAACTTGCAGAATCTCCTTCCCCCTAAGCGTAAGCGTAAAACAATCAAGATGGTACTTCCGAAGATGGAGCCTCTACGAACACTAAAGCTGAAGTGGGTCCCGAGAGGTCTTCCCGTTCCGATAAATGCGTAAATTGATAAAGTGTTTCTATGGCAAACCTCCTCTTCCCTCCTGTACCTGGGCCTGTCAACTATCTCGTGTGGCTGGTGGTAGTCCTACTAATGATGCTTTGGCTCGTGTATCTCCGAATAGAGTATGGGCCTACGGTTGTGCCTATAACCTCTGAGCAAGAGGTTGGCGAAAAGCTGCAGCCGCGGGACGTTGCTAATAGCAGGAGACGACAACGAGGACTTGGGGATTTGGATGAGGCCTACTTCGCTGACCTTCAAGCCAAAGCTTTTCAACAACTCCAGATGTCAGAGCCCTTTCTTGGTAGATGGGTTGGCCGCAGTGTAGAAAAGATACGCAAGCATCGTGATTGTAGACGGAAAGAAAACTAAGTAGCGACGGTTTACTCTTGTCCCCACCTCTTTTTCACACGCTGCTCAGCAGGCAAAATACAAAGAGTTATGCAAAGCTAATATTTTAGAACCTTTATCTTGTCAGATACAGCTTCAGAGGTCCTTGAAAAGCATGCTACAGCAAAGTCTGGGTGACACGTGAGTCCGTTGCTAACTAATTTGTATCCAGCACTTCCAATTACCTTTTCTATTACTAGCGATGCGCCCTTATGAGCGTCCATCTTCTCTCTGGTCCTGTAAATGGCAACATACTTTGGTAGTTTGTCTGTGTCGCCTTGGAAGACTTCCTCATAGTGCTTTGCTGTGGATGCCTCCAAAATGACAATAAAGGGTTGTCCCGACAAAGCTGATGAAGGTTCAAAGGGAACATATATTAAATTAGGAGCTATGGTAGTAATCAGTGGGGGCAGCTGAGGTGCAATAAAAGATGTCTCCTCTGCAATTACAGTGAATGTCCCTGGCTTGAGTGCATCAGGATGTGTAATGGGATCAAGCACATTGAAGATGATATCAATACATGCTAATGCGTGCTTCTCGATTTCCTGGGGTGTGCCAGAGACGGGTGGGATCACTGGCTCATTGGTTGTTATAAACACAGCTGTGTAGATCATTCCATGTGTTTTCCAATTAACCATATCTGCGATATCCCATCGGGCACAGGATAGCTTGAGGCCAGCAATCGCAGCGCTCAAGCACAGGGTCGCATACCCAAAGAAGTAGCTCCTTGCAAAAGCTACGAAGCTCTCCCAAGTTTGCTCAGGGTTTTCCCAAATAGAGCCGTTGAAGGCGCCGTCATGAATATCCAGCAGAAGCCTGTCGGCGTTTGACGTTGCATCATGTTCACGAACAAAAACGTAGCCATTGGGCTTAATCCAAGACCGAGCGTTTCGTAAGACTGTCTTCCAACGTGCTATATGATGGAGCGTCATGGATATAGTTATAAGATCAAACGACTCTGGTTCAAATGCAGAGGAGTCCAAAGCACTGCGCTCATTAAATACAATCTCCTGTGACTGCGGGGGTCTTATGTCCATCCCAACAATTTGTTCTTTCTTCAAACCATATGCCTTCCCCAACGCCTCTAGTATATAGCCATCTGCACACCCAATATCTAGTATGGACGACGGCCTAAAGGAAAACTGATAAAGATTGTCTCGTAAGTTTGCTTCAGTAATGCCTCGTAGATTGGTGCTTCCAGCGGCTTCCTCCACCGCAGATACTATCTCAACTACACGCCGAAGTTGACGGTGTGCCAAGTTAGGGGCAGCTATCTTTAAAGGTTGAGGGCGCTTCCTGCTTGTCCAGAGGAGCTTGTAAAGTTCATCATAGACGTAGTCATCGTATTTTCTGGTGTTTAAGGCTAGCTGCTTTGTGTTCCATTTCTTATATATCTTATTCAAAAGATCTTTTACCTCGGCCGCCTTTTCTGTTAAGCGGTGCTTTTTAACTGCAGGGCAACGCTCCACTATCCATGTAGCAAAGTATCCAACATGTGATTGATAATTCATCAGCTTATAGATCTGTTCTCCAGAGGCAGGATCTGGCCTTGCTCCAGGTGTATCAGAGATCTGCGGAACAGATTTCTTGAAATTGGTTTGAATGTTAAACTGTTCTATATTAGTAAACGATTTGCAGATAGCGACAATTGGAGAGTTCTCTAACAATGCAGAAATAATGTGGGCATTAATCGGAAGTGAACTAGAAGAGTCGGGTGTGTCTGATTGCGTAGCCCATGTTGGGATATAAATTAGAATTGGTGGAAGGGCTTTAGTTTCTGGATCAATGAATATTTTCGTGCAGAGCTCTGGAGTAACAGGAGAGGCCGTCAAGTCATCAAGAGATAGGTCACTGCATTTTCGTACCACAGTTCCAAAGTGGACATTAGTGATGGGTATGTTTTCATACCTGAGAAGGATACTTCTGTACTGAGGCATTCTAATGGTGCGTAGCTCATCTATTGTGAAGTTAACGAGAGTCTCACTCTCTGGATCATACTTGATCACTATGATATCCCTATACCCGTCATAAACTCCAAATAGTGTCGGATCACAGCTTTCTTCACGCATTTTAGCAATGGCTATCGCTGGCGTGTCACCCTTCTCAGATCCCTTGCTCATAAACAATGTTTTTGTTTAAAATAAATGATTGAATTTGTTCTCATATTCAACGGACAGAGCGAGATCCGGCTGCTCAAGTGGTATAAGGTCCTACTGGCAGCTGAGCAAGCCGCCGCAATTCAGCTTGCTATACGGACTGTGAAGCTCCACGCCTCGCTTTCTAATGGGATTATCGACTGGGATAGAGGTTCTCTTATCTTAAGGCAGTATGCAGACCTTACGATTGTCTTTGCAGTTGAGAATTCAGACAACAAGCTACTAGCACATGAAATGATCCACTTCTTTGCTACGTGTCTCGATAGATACTTTGGAGGTGTAAGCGAGCTTGACCTTATTTTCAACTACCTTAAGGCATATCATGTCTTAGATGAAATAATAATGAATGGGCGCTTTTGCGAAGCATCTACCAAAGCCATCGTCAAGGCGTCAACAGCGCACGATCAGTTTGAGCTTGCAAATATTAATTAAGCATCTACAGTTAAGTAAAGGGAACTCTAAGACATTAGAAGTTTGATATAGTGATAATTTGCAGCGCCTTGGTTTACTAAAAGTTAGGCAATCAGCGAAATGGAACTTGTCTAGAATTAGAAGTAGAGATGAGGACAAGATTAAAACGTGAAAGTAGTTGGCGCTCTCAGAAGGCTGTGTCCAAATGTATGTTGTTATTTAGATCTAAATCTTTTATTTTGAAGATTGAACACACGGTTAGTTTTAGCAATATTTAATAACAATCTGTGCAAGGATCGTCATAGCAAATGCATACAATTTGTGACTACTTTTAAAAGATATCAGATATTCACAACTCTATGAAGAATTGTGGAAACGTCATGAGTATATATCAGGGGGACACTCAGCTGCGGGCACACACTCGGATCTGTCCAGTGCCGGCAGGAGGCCCCGCTCGCACCAGCACCTCCGCACGCCGCCGGACACCTCTCCCACCACTTTGTCCCCGGTGCACTCCCCTAGGCACGACTGCCCGTCCAGGCTCACGAGGACCCACCACAGAGGACCCACCACAGAGGACCCACCACAGAGGACCCACCACAGAGGACCCACCACAGAGGACCCACCACAGAGGACCCACCACAGAGGACCCACCACAGAGGACCCACCACAGAGGACCCACCACAGAGGACCCACCACAGAGGACCCACCACAGAGGACCCACCACAGAGGACCCATTATGGAAGACAAAGTGGTCGGTGGGGGGCTCGAACCCCCGACCTTCAGCTTATCAGACTGACGCTCTACCGACTGAGCTAACCGACCGCGGCCCCTCGCCGGACCCCCCGCCGGCCCAGCACCCGCCTTCAGCTTATCAGACTGACGCTCTACCGACTGAGCTAACCGACCGCGGCCCCTCGCCGGACCCCCCGCCGGCCCAGCACCCGCCTTCAGCTTATCAGACTGACGCTCTACCGACTGAGCTAACCGACCGCGGCCCCTCGCCGGACCCCCCGCCGGCCCAGCACCCGCCAGCCCTCTGCGCACCCTCGAGGTCTGAGAGTCCGAGCCTTTGGGAGAGGCCCAGACGGGAAGCCGCCGAGGAGGGCTTGTAGAGGCCCGAAGAAGAGAGTCTAGAGAGCAGCCGATAGAGTGAGCAGGGGGCCCGCACCTCCCTGTCATGGAGAGCGGCGCATGGTGGCAGGCTCTCAATGGTCCCAATGGGGTCACTCGCTGACTACACGAACTGGCTCAAGGATGCTGGAGTTCACTAAGAGACTGCACCATCGGGGACCTCCTATGCGATCCACAGCACGAGGAGCTGCCACGCCTCCTTCACATCACCGGAGGGCCCTGAGCAGCACGTCTCGGGAACCCTCCCCGTCTGAGCTCCTTCTGCAGCCTTGCGACAGACAGACGGTGCCAGCCCATGCACCATGCCCCGGCGCCCGAGTGCGGTGTCCCTCGTGGGCCCTCACCGTTGCCTGCCGTGATGCCCCGGACAGAAAGCATCGGACCGGAGCGCTTCCCGGAGGTGCCCAGGCACGACCCGTTATCTGCTAAGACAGGTCGAGTGTGCGGTTGAGAGACCAGCGACACCAGAGCGCCCTTGAGTTGTTCGCGGCCCGGTGGAGCCAGGCCAGCCCTAGCCTCAAACAGGGGTCCCAGTCGCTGGCTATCCCCAGAGGGTCGTGGAACCTGCAGAACTCTACAAGGGAGACGTCGCCCCGGACACGCACCAGTGCACCGTGAACCCCACCCCTCAAGAGGGATAGATCAGGTATCACAGCGAGAACGAGGACCTTAGGAACCTGACGGAGAGGAGCACTCTGCGCTGGAGCGGCACCGGGCGAACGCCAAAGTAGTAGGAGCGGAAGAGCACGTGCCTGTCCTGCGCGAAGACCCTCCGCGGCGAGGCCGTCCAGACGTATGCAGCACGGACACCGGATGCAGGGTGCTACTGAGTGGGGCAGCGGGGATGGAGAAGGACGTCCTCTTCAGCGCCCTTCGTGCGAACGTGCTCAGGGGAGGGTACCTCCCCACACAGCGGGGAAGCGGAGGAGCGGCATTCACCACCCCACTGCCCGGCCTGAAGCCTCGCCTCGAGGGGGAGCTGCCCCCTAACAGCGCCACCGACGACCAGCACCTTGCTATCCAGAGGGCCGGATCAGGACGGCCTGGCCCCTGAGAGACAAGAGCCCCCTCAGCCATCGGAGAGCACGGACGGCCAGTCCGCGGGGCTCGAAGTCTCCGGGCCTGCGCTGGCGAGCCCATCCGGGTGCAGGCCTTCAGCGAGATCCTCGGCGCGATCCATAGGATGGAATGCGTGCTCCGTACGGTTCCGTCTAGCCCTTCCCCAGAGACAGGGCAGGACAAGCACGATGAACGGACGATCATGATTCGCTCCACAACACAGTTCCAAGGAGCTGCGTCGAGGCCTTCCTCCGGCTGCGACACGCTGCACCCCTGGACTCGGTCCCTCGGGACCCTGCGCATGCTTCTGTGCTGCGCGGGACAGAACCTGCTCGCCAGGAGCTGAGGAGATGCCCCGCTCACTGCCCGTGCCGACGACAGCGACGCGACGGGGCAGTCACAGAAGCGATAGGCCCGGCGAAGCGATTGGCTCGACGGTCAACACTGGGTGTGGGAGCACTGAGGAGCAGGAGGCCTTCTTCCTGGCCGGTCTTAAGGAGCTTCCAAGGCAACGGAGAGCTTGAAGCTAGTGATGGCACTAATCACTCACCACGCTGGTCGAGACGGACCCACACGTGACCCATGTGAATCCCTCGACAGGCAAGTCGGGATCCTTGGAGTGTCTGGCTGGCAGAAGTGGACTAATCCTGCCTGCACCGGAGAGTGGTGGCGGCCTGGGCCACTTGCTGGGCGCTTACCACAGCAGCTGCGTAATCCTTTGACACCATCGAGTAGACGGGTGCCGGTTGTAGAGAGAGACGGCCTGACAGCGAACCGGTCCTGATCGCTTCTGATGCTTTGGACGACGCCTCGGTGGACCGAAGCATCACCCCAAGTGTGCGGTGTGAGGATGGACCAGCCCACACATCACTGAGCCAGACACACTGCACAGGGTGAGCGTCGACATGATCTCGTGCTGGGTGACGGAGCACCTGCAAGAGCGCCCTGCGATCCGTGAGCAGAGGGCCGAGCCTCCTCCCCGACGCCAACGTATAGGAGTACTCCGCCGGCATCCACGAACGCGTACTATGACTCCAAGACAGAGGCGCACGGGGAGCGCACCCTCCGATCATACTCGGGACTGATGACTCGCTTCATGAGAAGACGAAGAGGCACCCCGAGGAACGGGGTAGGCACCCGGGGTCGTGGCGTATCCCATCTTCGTCACGGAGCGCCAGAGTCAACTGCTCTGAGGCCAGGTCCTGTGACCGACGCAAGGCCCGGGACAGCGGGTGCTCACTAGATGCCAGACGATGGTTGGCCCCGACGGGCCAGAGAGAAGGAAGTCCTAGGGGGCACCGCGAGGAGCGGCAGCTTCTAGGGGAGGCGGGCATAGGAGTTCTTCCCCCGAGATCGAGGGCATCTGATCTCAGACTTCAGACTCCAGTGTTGCTCTACCGACTGAGTTAGCCGACCGCATCATCCGTGGGCCTCAGAGGCTGCTTGGGCTGGGATGCCCGCGGAGCAATTGAGGAGCGCACAGGCTTAGATGCGTCAGTGGGACGATACGTCGCACTATATATTATCAGCGACCCGCCCCAGCCTTCAGACTGGCCAAGCATCGAACAAGGGCCAGTAACACAGCACCGGGCTCCTCCCTGGCGGTCGCCCTCGAACTAGAACTCTCCCTGGAGGAAGGGGCCCGCCCAGGCACTGCTATCGCCAGGAGTCGGTGTAAAGCCCAAGGTATACTACAATGTTGGTAGTAGAGCTTCTATTCGTGCTGAATGTGCTTGCTGCAAACTGCGCTGGAGGCACTAGAAACAGTCGCGCAACTGGCAATCAGTGCGGAACAATAGAGGGAATAAGCAGTCCCATGGAATGCGCGGAGGGGCACGCACTGGACGAGGCCGCAAACGCATGCAGGGCCCCTCCGTCTTTCCAATGCGAGGTCGACAAACTGGTAACTATAGGATCAGCCCAAGCGTGTACACAATGCAAGCAGGGCTTCGCACCCATCGACGGTGTCTGCACGGCGTTCGGGGACGATCTCGTCACAAAGACGGCAAAGTGCACGCAATCGGGCGGAGCCGCAATAGAGGGCACGGACACCTCGTGTGGTAAATGTGGCGGCGACGGGTACTTCCTCTTCATGGGCGGCTGTTATAAAACAGGGGCGTCTCCCGGAGAACTTATATGCACCAATGCAGTCGGTGGGGTATGTGCCGCTTGCAAGGCTGACGGAAGTGTTTTCCAAAACAAGGCATCAGTTAAGACACCGGGCAGCGAGTGCATTCTGTGCTCAGACTCCGTTGGTGCAGATAGCAACAAAGGAGTGGCAAACTGTGCGGCCTGTGATGCGCCGACAGGGGACACGGGCACAGCCAAGTGCAAAGCATGCGCGGAGGGGCACGCACTGGACGAGGCCGCAAACGCATGCAGGGCCCCTCCGTCTTTCCAATGCGAGGTCGACAAACTGGTAACTATAGGATCAGCCCAAGCGTGTACACAATGCAAGCAGGGCTTCGCACCCATCGACGGTGTCTGCACGGCGTTCGGGGACGATCTCGTCACAAAGACGGCAAAGTGCACGCAATCGGGCGGAGCCGCAATAGAGGGCACGGACACCTCGTGTGGTAAATGTGGCGGCGACGGGTACTTCCTCTTCATGGGCGGCTGTTATAAAACAGGGGCGTCTCCCGGAGAACTTATATGCACCAATGCAGTCGGTGGGGTATGTGCCGCTTGCAAGGCTGACGGAAGTGTTTTCCAAAACAAGGCATCAGTTAAGACACCGGGCAGCGAGTGCATTCTGTGCTCAGACTCCGTTGGTGCAGATAGCAACAAAGGAGTGGCAAACTGTGCGGCCTGTGATGCGCCGACAGGGGACACGGGCACAGCCAAGTGCAAAGCATGCGCGGAGGGGCACGCACTGGACGAGGCCGCAAACGCATGCAGGGCCCCTCCGTCTTTCCAATGCGAGGTCGACAAACTGGTAACTATAGGATCAGCCCAAGCGTGTACACAATGCAAGCAGGGCTTCGCACCCATCGACGGTGTCTGCACGGCGTTCGGGGACGATCTCGTCACAAAGACGGCAAAGTGCACGCAATCGGGCGGAGCCGCAATAGAGGGCACGGACACCTCGTGTGGTAAATGTGGCGGCGACGGGTACTTCCTCTTCATGGGCGGCTGTTATAAAACAGGGGCGTCTCCCGGAGAACTTATATGCACCAATGCAGTCGGTGGGGTATGTGCCGCTTGCAAGGCTGACGGAAGTGTTTTCCAAAACAAGGCATCAGTTAAGACACCGGGCAGCGAGTGCATTCTGTGCTCAGACTCCGTTGGTGCAGATAGCAACAAAGGAGTGGCAAACTGTGCGGCCTGTGATGCGCCGACAGGGGACACGGGCACAGCCAAGTGCAAAGCATGCGCGGAGGGGCACGCACTGGACGAGGCCGCAAACGCATGCAGGGCCCCTCCGTCTTTCCAATGCGAGGTCGACAAACTGGTAACTATAGGATCAGCCCAAGCGTGTACACAATGCAAGCAGGGCTTCGCACCCATCGACGGTGTCTGCACGGCGTTCGGGGACGATCTCGTCACAAAGACGGCAAAGTGCACGCAATCGGGCGGAGCCGCAATAGAGGGCACGGACACCTCGTGTGGTAAATGTGGCGGCGACGGGTACTTCCTCTTCATGGGCGGCTGTTATAAAACAGGGGCGTCTCCCGGAGAACTTATATGCACCAATGCAGTCGGTGGGGTATGTGCCGCTTGCAAGGCTGACGGAAGTGTTTTCCAAAACAAGGCATCAGTTAAGACACCGGGCAGCGAGTGCATTCTGTGCTCAGACTCCGTTGGTGCAGATAGCAACAAAGGAGTGGCAAACTGTGCGGCCTGTGATGCGCCGACAGGGGACACGGGCACAGCCAAGTGCAAAGCATGCGCGGAGGGGCACGCACTGGACGAGGCCGCAAACGCATGCAGGGCCCCTCCGTCTTTCCAATGCGAGGTCGACAAACTGGTAACTATAGGATCAGCCCAAGCGTGTACACAATGCAAGCAGGGCTTCGCACCCATCGACGGTGTCTGCACGGCGTTCGGGGACGATCTCGTCACAAAGACGGCAAAGTGCACGCAATCGGGCGGAGCCGCAATAGAGGGCACGGACACCTCGTGTGGTAAATGTGGCGGCGACGGGTACTTCCTCTTCATGGGCGGCTGTTATAAAACAGGGGCGTCTCCCGGAGAACTTATATGCACCAATGCAGTCGGTGGGGTATGTGCCGCTTGCAAGGCTGACGGAAGTGTTTTCCAAAACAAGGCATCAGTTAAGACACCGGGCAGCGAGTGCATTCTGTGCTCAGACTCCGTTGGTGCAGATAGCAACAAAGGAGTGGCAAACTGTGCGGCCTGTGATGCGCCGACAGGGGACACGGGCACAGCCAAGTGCAAAGCATGCGCGGAGGGGCACGCACTGGACGAGGCCGCAAACGCATGCAGGGCCCCTCCGTCTTTCCAATGCGAGGTCGACAAACTGGTAACTATAGGATCAGCCCAAGCGTGTACACAATGCAAGCAGGGCTTCGCACCCATCGACGGTGTCTGCACGGCGTTCGGGGACGATCTCGTCACAAAGACGGCAAAGTGCACGCAATCGGGCGGAGCCGCAATAGAGGGCACGGACACCTCGTGTGGTAAATGTGGCGGCGACGGGTACTTCCTCTTCATGGGCGGCTGTTATAAAACAGGGGCGTCTCCCGGAGAACTTATATGCACCAATGCAGTCGGTGGGGTATGTGCCGCTTGCAAGGCTGACGGAAGTGTTTTCCAAAACAAGGCATCAGTTAAGACACCGGGCAGCGAGTGCATTCTGTGCTCAGACTCCGTTGGTGCAGATAGCAACAAAGGAGTGGCAAACTGTGCGGCCTGTGATGCGCCGACAGGGGACACGGGCACAGCCAAGTGCAAAGCATGCGCGGAGGGGCACGCACTGGACGAGGCCGCAAACGCATGCAGGGCCCCTCCGTCTTTCCAATGCGAGGTCGACAAACTGGTAACTATAGGATCAGCCCAAGCGTGTACACAATGCAAGCAGGGCTTCGCACCCATCGACGGTGTCTGCACGGCGTTCGGGGACGATCTCGTCACAAAGACGGCAAAGTGCACGCAATCGGGCGGAGCCGCAATAGAGGGCACGGACACCTCGTGTGGTAAATGTGGCGGCGACGGGTACTTCCTCTTCATGGGCGGCTGTTATAAAACAGGGGCGTCTCCCGGAGAACTTATATGCACCAATGCAGTCGGTGGGGTATGTGCCGCTTGCAAGGCTGACGGAAGTGTTTTCCAAAACAAGGCATCAGTTAAGACACCGGGCAGCGAGTGCATTCTGTGCTCAGACTCCGTTGGTGCAGATAGCAACAAAGGAGTGGCAAACTGTGCGGCCTGTGATGCGCCGACAGGGGACACGGGCACAGCCAAGTGCAAAGCATGCGCGGAGGGGCACGCACTGGACGAGGCCGCAAACGCATGCAGGGCCCCTCCGTCTTTCCAATGCGAGGTCGACAAACTGGTAACTATAGGATCAGCCCAAGCGTGTACACAATGCAAGCAGGGCTTCGCACCCATCGACGGTGTCTGCACGGCGTTCGGGGACGATCTCGTCACAAAGACGGCAAAGTGCACGCAATCGGGCGGAGCCGCAATAGAGGGCACGGACACCTCGTGTGGTAAATGTGGCGGCGACGGGTACTTCCTCTTCATGGGCGGCTGTTATAAAACAGGGGCGTCTCCCGGAGAACTTATATGCACCAATGCAGTCGGTGGGGTATGTGCCGCTTGCAAGGCTGACGGAAGTGTTTTCCAAAACAAGGCATCAGTTAAGACACCGGGCAGCGAGTGCATTCTGTGCTCAGACTCCGTTGGTGCAGATAGCAACAAAGGAGTGGCAAACTGTGCGGCCTGTGATGCGCCGACAGGGGACACGGGCACAGCCAAGTGCAAAGCATGCGCGGAGGGGCACGCACTGGACGAGGCCGCAAACGCATGCGTATCTAGCGGCGGTGCCGGTGGAAGCGTCAATAAGGGAGGCCTTTCCACAGGCGCCATAGCAGGTATCACCGTCGCCGTGGTGGTCGTCGTCGGAGGCCTTGCCGGCTTCCTCTGTTGGTGGTTTATTTGTCGGGGGAAAGCGTAGATGTACTTAGGTAGTAAACGCGTCAGTGATGGTTAGTGCTCAGTGGATATCTGCTATCCATCTACCCGGTACTGCTGCGCATCAGTGAGCGCTGTCCCTTCACTCTGCAATTGCATACCAGATGGGTCTGTATGGGAGGTCTGCTCCACCCACTGGCACTTGTCCCCACAAACCGACTGATAACTGATAGTTGATCGCCCGTACTGGCGGGTGTTAGGGGCGGCATGGCATAGAGGCAGTAGCCTACCCTGTGTACGATAACGATGTCTTGTAATGCAGAGCAGGCTGGTTGCTCGTGGTAATTAAAAAGCATCAGAGGCAACCATCCGCTTTAGACTCTCATCGAGGAACAGGCCGTGGTTCATAACAAGCACATGCCTGACTGCCAGAGTATGCCCTTCTCGGGTTAGCTCTTGAACTGCGAAATTAAATCTTGCATCCGGATTTCTTTTTTATTTTTCTGCATAATGTAAAAAAGGACTAATAGATTGGTAACTATAAATATAACAGCGGGGCATGCTATCCACAAAGATACACTGAGTATGTCTGGAAATAAATCACTTTGCGTACTGAGTGGCCCAGGTGGGCTGAAGTTCCATGGGTTCAAAACATTAGCCCCAAAAAAGTTTCCTACGCCCGTTACAATGAGGCATCCACATGAGATGATCCCAAGGACTGCATCTAAGCCTAGGAAAAAGTTACGTTTAGTATCTAATTGAAGCTGTCGAAAGAAGATTGCATCTGTAATCTTCTGCTTCAAAATGATAGCAGTTGACCCGATGCTCTGCACTTCGAAATAATACTTTTCTAGAAACGTGAGAATTGCATCTAGGGGGACAGGATAGTCTTCGTCACTAATAGATTCTGAGCTATCGGATGTCTCACTATCTGTTTGTATGCCATATTTGGGAAAGTGGAAGGGTTGATTTGTCAAGGCATTATCACGTTCTAGCTTCTTTCTTCGAGACACTTGATTCTCAAAGCAAAGGGCAAGGACTTCTAGATCGTCGTCGAAGAGGTACTTGAAAGCATTGATAAGTGAAGATGCTTGTCCCCCAAGAGAATTGATGTCTTCCACTGACTTCTTGAGATCATCAGGGACAACCTTGGACAGCTGAGTGATGAGTTCCTGTGCTTTTTCTAGCGAGTTCTTCAGTCGTGTAACTTCATATCGCAAAATCGTCCCTATGTAGAGAAGCTCTGAATACTTTCTGAGCTCGGTGTCATACATGTTCTTAACTTCTTCCTCGTATGCACGTTTAAGTGCTTCGCTCTCGAATTTTTTCCCCATATGGACAGCGTCCTTCTCTGACATCCCCGCAGTCAAAACAACAACTGTCAGGCAATCACGTTTCACAATATAGCTGGTATAGTTAATGGAGATGATGACATATTTATCTCGTGGCTCAATTGTTGTGACATCATGTTGAAAAAGCTTTAAGTCTGCTCCACTTATCCCCATGGGGTAAGTTCGCTGAGATTCCGTTACTGGTTCGTTCGGCACCAATTCCAGGGGCGAAAAGACGCCAGTGTGAACATCTTGAATGCACTTAAATGAATACACAGAGAATGTCATCTTTAAAGTTTTTCTGATGCCCCGTTACATCTCTCACAATAACTATAGCGACTATAGTGATGATGGTTATGACGACTACGACGACTATGATTGTGGCAGGCTGAAGAAGAGCGGGGGAGCTGTGGAGGGAAGACCTGCTTGGCAAAGCAAGAAAAGCTCCACCGGCTCTACTCCATCAAATACTGGTAGCACTACTTGTTCTACACCAAAAACAACGTTTGAAACTGTTTCGACCCCCACCCCAATAACACCATCGACCTCGTTAAGTTCAGTAGCGAACATTGGTACCATGAAGGCAACTCCTTCTCAGCAGCACATCGCTAAATTCATAGCAGATGTTGAGCGTAGTGAAGAAGTCATCAAGGGAGCAGCAGGGCTCATTAAATCAAGGAATACAATTAATGTCCTGGTCGTTGGGCATGTTGACGCAGGAAAGAGCACCATATTTGGACATCTAGCTGTTCTATCGGGGTCTGTCTCCATGCGAGAAAGGACACGTACGCAGGCGCTTGCAGACACTTATAATAAAAGTACATTCTCCTACGCTTTTCTCTTGGATACTAACGATGAAGAGCGTCAGCGCGGGGTAACGATGGATGTGTGTAATCATACCCTCACACTGGCATTCCCAGAACTCGGTGATAACTACTCTGTCCCTCACACAGTTTTCCTGCAAGACTGTCCTGGACACCGAGACTTTGTTCCATCACTTATTAGAGCCGTCTCTCAACCGGATGCAGCTGTCTTGGTTTTAGATGCATCCCCCAAGGAATTTGAAAAGGGTTTGTCAGATGATGGTCAAACACGTGAGCATTTGCAATTGTTAATGATTTTTGGTGTTAAGCATATCATGGTTGCAGTGAACAAGTTAGACAGAACAGACTGGAACGAGGGGCGTTTTGTAGAGATTGTAACTGTATTAACTAAAGTGCTTCGTAAGGACATCCAGTTTGGCGGAGAAGTTACCTTTATTCCTGTAAGTGGTATAGGCGAAGATGGCTCTCATAACTTGACGCCAGGGAATGCAGGATGTCTTCCAGATTGGGTTAGAAAGCATACGAGTTTAGGCGAGGAGATTTATAAGACTCAGTCGATTCGTTCAACGTCTCAAATTAAGGGAGAAAAAACAAGTCCTACTATCATTCTTTTTGATGTAACTCCAGATACGTATGAGGGGAAAAAGGTCTTTGCTGCAAACTGTGTAGTAGAGTCAGGCATCCTCCAACTCAGCGATAGCATCGTCCATCTACCGTCTATGTATCTGTTTCAAATAGTAAGCATCATGGTAGATGCTGTGGAGGCAGATAAAGCAGTTGCCTATGATACTGTTACTCTGTATTTGGCACCAGATAAGCGTGCTACTAAGCTATGCAATAATTGTGATAAGCTCGACAGTAGTGTTGTAGTGAAGGAAATGCCTCAAGGATCTTGCTTTGTCTTAACGGGGATCCTTCTTCAACAGGGACCTGTGTCAAAGGGTGTGTGGATAAACAACATGATCCTAGCTACGACTGTCAAGGCCCTTGTTCTGGTCCTTAACACCCCTCGGGGAATTAGTGTAGGAGATGTGTATGATTGTTATGTCGGAAGTAGCAGAGTAGAGGCTAGGGTACATAAAATAAATGCTCAAATAAACCCGTCAACCCAAGAAGTTATTAGAAAGAACCCGCCTTTGGTAGGAAAGTCTGCATATGTTCGAATGACTCTTATCTTTAACGTTGCTGTAATAGTGAAAGAGTTTAGCAAGAGCAAACTTATGGGAAGAATGATTCTCCGCAGCGACAACAGATCTGTGGGGCTAGGAAAAATAGAGCGTATAAGTGAAAAGTAAATAGACAAGTATGTCTGGAGATAATGAGATCACCTTTTCAGGTTCATCAGCAGCCATTAAAAGAGGCTTACGTGAGCTTGATAGGGCAATCCAAACCCCTTATAATAGATTACAGTCTATTCTGCACGATCGCGGGATAGTTTTGAAGGAGTTAGATAAAGTCGGTCTCGGCACTACGCCTGTCTTTGGCAATGCTAGAACAGGCTGTTGGTATGCTCCAGATCCTGATCAAAGTGTTTTGTTCAAATCCACTGACGGCCACTACGGCACATGGGACTTCAGTCTCAGAAAGCTGAATCTTCAATTTCTTCTTGGCCTGCAGACTTCCAAGGCGGCTGTCATCGTCGATGCCACAAAAGCAGGCAAGAGGTATCCTGATGCCATAAAGCGAACAATTCCCATTTGGTGTCTTGTATGGTCAACGGTGCTCAGTGGGTCTAATCCCAGCGAGCTAGATCTAAATGAGTTTTTCCTTCCATCCATTACTCTGAACGAGAGAGATCTTATTTTGCAGCGGGCTGAGAGACATGCTAGTAGTTTGAAAGAGCTTATGGGTTTTATCTTAGGTCTAGATAACCGTTCTGGGTTAGACTCTCTCTTTCCAATCCATAGTATACACTGCAGATATTGGTACGTTGGTCAGAACGGTCTCTGTTCCGAACACTCTAAGCATACACCATATGAGAGAGATGGTGTACCCTCTGCGTGTACAATTCACCTTGTCTCAATATCTAAAGAGACCCCTTATCCAGTCCAGGTTTTCGATGAAAAGGAAGCCCCCTTTTATTACATTCAGGGTGCTGCAGATGACGCAGAATCGTGGCTTCCCTTAGCTTTGACTCCTTCTGTCTTTGTAGCCAACTCCTCCTTTCTCTGTAGTTCAGAATTTGCAAGTCTAACTACCAACGAGTATAAGACAGCGATCAGTAGAGCAATTTTGATTGTTCCTGCCCAAGAGGTACTTGCATATATAAAATGCCCCGAGCAGCGTCGTGTTATCATTACGAATAGCGCCGATATTATGAATAAAGAGCCGCTGGCCGTCTGTATTTCTTTATGCAGACCTAACCAATCTCTGCCAAACAATCTTTCTAATGTAATTTCTATACCAGTCTGTAGAAATCTAAAATACACAACAAATCTTTCACGGGTTTTAGGGTCTATTCATGCCACCTTTCAGGAATTGCGCTCTAATGGCACGGTGATTTTTTATTCCGGTCAAGATTGTCAGGTAGCGCTGGCTGCCTTTATTTTTTCGATGGCTTCAGAAAATTTAGTTCCTCGCATAGCTAAAAATGAGCAAGGGCAGGTAGAGCTTATTGCTATACCTAGTTCTGAACTACACCTAGTGGACGAAGGCCCCAAACAGAGAATTTTCCTTATGAATCTCTGGGAGAGCTCGCTGTCTCTTATAGTTAAGGCATTCTTCCTCCAAAAGAATTTGCGGCAAGCAATACACTCGTTTACTTGTGTCCGTAACAAAAACGATGACATCAGCAAGCCCGAAACATGAAAAACCTACGGGTGGTAACAGCTATACGCCTTGTAGGTTCGGCGCCAATAAACAGACTCCTCCACTCGCATAGGAACCCTTTCGCATACATAGCTCACCATCCCAGTAATATTCTTCACAGATGCTAGCTGACTATTGTAGCGATATCGCCTATTAATGGTGTTTGAAATAACTACGATCTCTGTGGAACGGTCACTGGTGCAACTGCCCGACGCACATGTTATCGAATGGGACTCTAGCATGGGAATGGAAATATTGACATTCTGACTAAAGAACTGTATTCTATGACCTTGTTTTTCGTCATCTTCAGCAACAGTGTCATACAGCTCCATGCTGTCGTACAAGCCATTATACACATCAACTGAACATGCCTTTTCATCGTCAAAGCACCAAAAAGTCACGTCGGTGTGCGCAGTATATGTTGGTAGAGTTAGTGCGCCCGGAACGTGTTTCATGTTCTTGATTAAATGATCATTGCTTGGGCGATTGCAATAGTAATATACAGGAACAAAGGATGCAGCACACGTAAGAAGACCTATCAAGAAGCGCATCGGTGCCCTCCTCATCAACGCACCGACATGACCAAACACAAAGGCCAACACCACAGAAGAAGTGATAATCACAGAGAGTAAGATGCTTCGAGTAGCCTCGCCTGTGAGTGACCAAATTAGTCTGGAATGTGCAACGCTATTGAGCAATAGATGAATGCCGTAATAAATGGTAGGGAATGTTAGTATGATAGCCCCCATTATCGTGATCCCATGTACCAGCGAAGGATATGTAAATCCAAAACGTTTGCGGAGAACGTCTGAGAGGAGCTGTGAGGAACACGAAAGCAAGGAAATTTGAAGAAGTTGCAGTGCCATAGCATCGGCCTCTGGTGCAGCAGAGGAAATAGCCAAAAGGATGGGCTGAAGCACGATCAAGAAGAGAGAACCTTCCAGAATGGAAACTGGGATAGGCACTAATGGGAAGACACCCCATATAGTTATTGAAGCACCCGTTACAAATAAGATGATGGCACTCAGCAGACCGCGATGCATACCTGTAACAAAATTAAGTGCGCTGGAGTTGCTATTAAAATCAGGATAAAACGTTACAAGGAGATATCCTGCCGATGCCGTTAAAGCAATAACAAAGAGCCGCGAAAAGATTCCTATGAAAAGCCGCTTCATAAGGAGCCTCTTGCTACCTTGGTGATATTTCTTCGCTGTATGCAGCAACACAAACAACGTGGCGGCCGAAGCTACTGGTATGGCCATGCGTGGCACATGCACAGATCTACCTGTAACAAGTAAAAAGGGACGCATGCTGCTCTCAGTGAGATCAGCCTTTGAAGAGATTGCGGTAAGTAATGAAAGAAGCGTGTCCACGATGCACGTTGACAAGCTTCTCACGGCAGAGCCTATCAGGACGGTGCTGAAGGTGTTCGCATCATCTTCAGTCCGCTTCCATCTACCTTCTGGAGGAACGAGGATTTCTGTCCCTTTAAATCCACCGGTAGTGGTCGAAGTAATCACGATTCTTCTATTGTCCTTATTGCCATAAGAGGCTGATTGGATCTGAGTTCTACGTTGGTTGGCAGCTTTTAGTGAGATGATCTTCTTTTGCTCCATAATCGCTAGGATCCATTCATACAAGTAGGTAAGAAACCCCTGTTTGCAACTTTTGCATTTTCGTAAAGGTGCACTTAACAAGTGATAAGCCTCTCCATCCTTTACAGAAAAGAAGTCAAGAAATTGGAGACCCGACCAGCCAGTGCCTGGCTCCAAGCGCAGAGAAAGTGCAGAGCTCAAGGCATCCTTTCCATATGTTTCCAGAAACGCGTGCTCAATAGAAGCATATGTCCGACCAACTGCTAGAACAACACCCATGTGTAGACTGCGCGAAGATAGCCTAGATGAGCAGAGAGCGTCGGCAGCTGCGGCAAGCGTAATGCGGAGAGACTCTTCTGTCCTGGAAGATTGCTCTGTGGGAATGGCGACCAAAATACTTGGCTTTGCATCCGAAACACTCAGAATATTGACGTAATCATCAAAAACATATGTGTGAGCTGGTGTGAAATGACCGTTGTAAACACTGAGCTGATCATCGACATTGACTTCTTTATATGATACTGAATGGACAGATTTCAGAGAAAAGCACTGAAAGTACTTATCATTGGTGGTTTGGAGACCCTCAAAAAAGGTAGTGAGATTTGTATGTGTGCTGTTGGAAGGCAGCGTGGGGATGGCAGGAATTCCTGTTTCTTGCAAAGAGAATGGGGTCGCGAGCCTGAAGAAGAAAAAAACTGCGTAAAACAAGGCCATTAAAACAGTAAGGAATTCATCCAGGCCCGTTATCAGCTTCGGCCGGATCCCAATACGTTCAAGGAGGCTATCGATCCACGCGTCGTAATTTGCAAGAATGCTCTTTTCCTTCTTAGGTGTACTCCGCTTTTCCGAGTATCTGGGGGCTGAAATCCGCCTGCGAGCCATTCTCTAAGCTTTTTTAAAAGCGAAGCCGAAGTTATACACATATATCGAAGAGCGCAAACAACCCAGTACATAACACCAAGAAACATATCAGCATACCGCCACGGTGCCGTATATCATTGTAGTACCGTGCTACCAGTTGTGGCAGTCTCCTACCTGTAGACCCTACCTATGAGGATCGCGCTGTGACCCCTCAGGACAACAGCATTTTATGTAAGCGGCTAAATGTAGAACAGTAGATTGAATAAAGATAGACCTAACTCTGTATTTTAAGCTGTCAAGTAATTACACTACAGACGATTATAAAATGGTGGATCCTAAGCTTATCGAGCTCAACGAAGGCGCAAAGCACATAGCTACTATCGCGTATCTGAACGAGAAGGGCTATCCAGATAGCGAACCTACGACTGTCCTGTACACGAAGACACTTGACAGACTCGTCACGGCTGTCAACAAGAACAGCGCCAAGGTCAAGGCCGTGACTAACAACCCCATGTTCACCTTCAAGATTGGCCAGCCCTTCGGTGACAACGCCCTTGTCATGGCCAAGGCACGCATTATACCCCAAGGTCAGGAGCCCCAGGCCTTTGCAGATGTCTGGTGCGATCAGATATCCAAGTACTTCAAGGGTGGTGCGTCTGACCCGGACATGGTGCTGCTTGTGGCCGAGATCGAGGATGTCGCCTGGCGCATCAAGAATTGATGTGGAATGAGTAAATTCATTTCATTAATTGCAATGCCGAACCTCGACGTCTCCTACGTCGACTCCCTGCCTCCGAGCTACTACCGAGTCTTGACAGCAGTTGAGATGGGGATGAAGAACCATGACTACGTTCCTCTTAACCTGGTAATCAGCCTTTCTGGGATTCGCCACGGGTCTATACCACACATTGTGCAGGAGCTTTTAAAGATAAAGCTCATCTCTCACATAGGAGCACCGATTGATGGCTACGCTTTGACGTATATGGGATATGACTACCTCTCGCTCAATGTCATGAAGCGTCGCGGAGTCATTTCTGCTATAGGATCCCGAATCGGTGTTGGAAAAGAAGCAGACGTGTACATGGCTATGCGTCCTAATGGTCAATATGTTGTGCTCAAACTTCACAAGCTTGGTCGCACCAGCTTTAAAACAGCCAAGACAAAACGGGATTACATGGGACCCCGGAAGAGTGCTTCTTGGATGTACCTCTCTCGACTTGCTGCCGTTAGAGAGTTTGGATTTATGGTTGCATTGAAGGAGAGAAGCTTCCCTGTTCCCGATCCCATCTCCATCAATCGCCACTGTGTGTGCATGTCCTACGTTGAAGGAATACCAATGCATGCGATTAAGGATATCGACATAGAGGCTGCAAACTTGCTGGCCAAAGATATACACACTCAAATGGTGCGGATGCTAAGATACGGGATTGTACACGGAGATTGCAACGAGTTCAATGCAATAGTCCAGACCTCAGATCCAGAAAATTGCACCCCGGAGACTACCCGTGTAGTGATCATCGATTTTCCTCAGGTGATACAGTCGATAGCTCCTGAAGCCGAAGAACAATTTAATCGCGATGTAATGTCTGTTGAGGGTTTCTTCAATCGAAGATTTGGAGCAGACATTGTGCTTCCACGCTACAATGAAGTTATGCGTCAAATTTCTGAAGAGGAATTAGTGGGTCAACGGATTGATGCAACAGAGGCCTTTGTTAAGGAGATGGTGGCTAAATATGATCCTGACGAAGAGCTTGAGATTAAAGAAGGTGACGAAGCTGTTGATGAATGTTCAAATAGTATGGTAGATGATGATGCAGATCCAGTTGACAAGTCTAAGGAGCCTAGGATGAGGAAGGTAGTAGATATACGGCAGGCGGTACAAAGACAGTTACGGAAAGAGCAATGGCGGCGCATACAGCACCAGCGACAATCTAAGGGGACTGAGAAACATCGCGATAACTATCGGCGTGACTTGTAGCAATTGTCTTGAACAAACGGGATCACCACACGGAGAATGTACTTCTCATTGACTAGTAAAGAGTGTGTCTGGTACTTTCAGAGTTGGACATCCTGACGTGGGAGATGGCAGCCATCTAAGTACCCTATAAGACGACTCAGTGACACCAGTTGATGCGTTTACTACCTAAATCACGCCTTTCCTCTACACACAAACCACCAGCAGAGGAAGCCCACAAGGCCAGCCACGACAGCGATCACAGCCACGGAGATCCCCGCGATGGCCCCTGTGCTGAGCCCACTCTTATTGACTCCCGCACTGCCAGAAGACACGCACTTGTCACCCTCTAATTTGAACCCATCGCTGCACTCCTCGCACTTATTAGCACCGCTACAATAAACACAGCCTTCCATGTTACATTCAAAGCATGCTGCGCCTTCCTTGTTGGGTCTCTTACCGTCTATGCAGGCGGAGCACGTAACGAGGGCAGCCCCTGATCGGCCACTAACCAGAGCACACGTGGCGCAATTGGCAATTCCGTCGGTGCTGTCATTACAAGGGAGGCATTTATTTCCTGCACTGCTGTCATCCTTGGGGAAGAAGCCGTCTTTGCATTGGTCTTTTTGTACGCACGACGTGCCTTCGCTTGTGGTTTTCAGGTAGTTGTTATCGGTGCATTTTGTACACTTGATCTTCTTAGATTGCTCATCGTAGCTACAGGTGTCGCAATTGGCAACGCCACCATTGAGGTTATCGCTGCAAGAAACACATTTGTTGCCATTCTCAGGATCGTCAACGGCAACGAGCTTGTTGGTGTTACCAGAATCGCACTGGGCTTTATCTACGCACGTATTATCCTTGAGATACTTACTGACTCCACACTTGGTACACGTTGCAACCTTGCCGGCCTCAGCGCCGGCTGTTGCGTCAGGGGCGCCGCACTCTGCGCAGTCAGCAATGCCCTTGTATGTGTTTCCGCCAGCTGCTATTGTTACTCCAGTTGTATCGCCACATGCGACCACAGATTGTTCAGTGTTCGCCGCTCCCACCGGAGCAAAGTACCCCGGGGCCGCCTCGGTGCATTTTCCCTCAGAGGCTTGCGTGCACATGCTCTGTCCTGGTTCAGTGTCCTTTGAATAACAGCCGTCCTTGTACATGAAGGAGGCGCCTCCGCACGTTGTACAAGCCCCGCTGGCGTGTGCTTTGCAAAGAGCTTTTTTATCCTCCTGCGTCTCCACGTCCTCACAAGCACCGTTCACGGGGGCGTAGTTTGCTCCGTTGCACTTAGAACAATACTTCGTTTGGCCAATAAGAGCATCACATTTCTCACAAGTTCCAGGATCGCCGCCGCTTTGTGCTTGACACGTGGATGCCCGCGCCATCTGCAAGATAGCGATTCCGAGGAGAATTTTCTCGAACATTAGCCGATTGATGTGTGCCTGTGTCCAGGAAGTAAAGACCGCTACCGGGACTTGTAACATACCGGACTTTGAATCGATGACATACATTGATAGCTCGCGTGCTCGTTGGTGTGGAGTGGACCCATGGGCACCGGTGAGCAGGACCTCCGTAGGTGGATGACAGAAGGTAGAAGCCGTAGGACTGGGTACAAGGGATTACACCGGGCTCAGACGACGGGCCGGGTGCAGCTAATAGGATTAGTTTAGTACACAAAAGTACTCTCTCACACTAGAAAGTGTGGGCAGAGCAGTGTAAAAGTTGAATGTTTCACCGCGAAGTGCAGCAGAGAAATATTAGCCAAGTACCTTCAGGGAGAACGTCCAAGAATAAAACTAGGCCTTCTTCTGTAAGGTACGTGGCCAACGCGCCTGCGACCTCAGCATGGCTGGATGCTACCGCCTTCTGAAACGTGTGGCAAGCGTGGAACCACAAATTTTCACAGCTCTTGCAAACTTTGAGAATAATAATTGCATTTTGAGATGGGTAGAAAGGGCCGATCGCATAGAGATTCTGGCAAAACTAGACGCACAGGAACTGTGGATCTCTCGTCCATGACATCATTCACAAGCTACACGAATTCGCCACTACCACGGACGGATTTGGAGCGCAGGAAGAAGCTCTTCTTCAGCAGCCCCAAGCAGCAGAATTCTCCTCCCACGGAGAAAGAAATTCGAAGCTTTGCGTATAAGATAACCGAGGATTGGTTCAATGGTATCGCAGGGGACATCCAAAAGACTTTTGTCACAAAGAAGGTGGGGGGAGGTATTCAGGAAACGGTCGATCTCAGGGAGATCCTTCCTATTTCGTTTGTCAAGGACGTCCTAGCTCTTGGTACCCGCGTGCTGGCGTCCTGCCCCAACGTTCTGGAACTAACAGTCCCTCCTACAGAACTCAAATCGTTCAAGAAGAAGTTGCCTGCTGAGTATTCCAAGAATATTCTTAAAAAGTGTACCAATCTCTCAGAAATTCAAAATATTTCCCCCAGTGCATTGGAGGATCTGGGTCCAATCGATATGGGATGTAGCAGCGTTGTTGTGCCATGCAAGAGGCTGGTAGTCGTCGGTGACACTCATGGAACGTTTGAGGTCATAGGAAAAATCTTGGCTACAGAGGGATTTCCTACTGATAACGAGATTGTCTATCTATTTAACGGAGATTACGTTGATAGAGGATCGTTTTCCATCGAGATATTCATTGTTCTATTAGCAATAAAGATAGCCAGACCAGATGCTGTGCATCTACTGAGAGGAAATCATGAAACCGAGAGCGTCAATAGTAACTATTCGCTACCTGCTGAGATAGAGAAGAAATACGGAAAAGCTCTTGGCGAGGAGGAGTGCAAGCTCCTTCTTGCCATGATGAATAAAGCCTTTCAGGCACTCCCTCTTTGTGCAGTGATCAACGATAGGTATTTGGTTGTCCACGGAGGGATCTCAGCATGGCCGGACTTCACCCTTCAGGACATGGTCAAGCTAAATCGCTTCCGTGAACCAGACCAAGCAGATTTCACAGACTATACCTACTTTGATCCCCTTTCAGATATCTTATGGGCTGATCCTAGCACAGAGGACCCCGAGTTTTCCTTCAATTATCTCAGAGGTACATCTGTTATTTTTGGAGCAGTAGCAGCACAGCGCTTTTTGCGTACTTCAGAACTAAAATATATAATACGGTCTCACTCGTGTGTCGACGAGGGTTGGCAGGTTGAATATCCTGGGGTCTTCACTCTTTTCTCTGTCCCAAATTACGCAGAGAAGAATTTGGGAGCTTATGCTGTCTTTTATGGGCTCTATGATAAAACCGAAGAGCTATCGTCACTTGACAAGGAGGTTCTGAAAGAGGACGCTACCCCAAAGGCTAAGTACAACCTCGCTCCCTCAGAACCACTTGTTTTTGTTAAGAAATTCACTTGCTCTCAACACTCAGCCATGGTCAACCAGCCTCTTTTGTCTGATGGGCCGTCTTCTTTTTTCGAAGCACCGGAAGAAGACTCTATTGATATCTGTACCATAATCAAGAATAACGAGGAGATGAAGATGAATCTACTATCTCAAGTTATCGAGGATCCTGAGCAGTGTCTAGTGGCTGTCCCAGAAAAAGGTGGAGTTGTAGTGCCACATCTGATTGGTGCAACTATTGGGACTCGGATCCACCAGGACAAAAATAGCAATACTCGATTGAAACAGCGTATTATTGAAACCGCAGAGAAAATCCCCGTACCGGATTCCATTCCAACTGACGATCTCGTAGAGGCGCTGGTTCTCCTCACGGACACTATGACTCTTACTACTCCTGCTGTCATAGGCGCGTTTCCTCACGAGCTCCACGGGAAGCTTCTTCACATTCCATTTGACAACGATAGCTACTCTTTAGAAGAGCTAGGCCTGACAATTCCTGGGTCTACGTTCCCTCCAATACTGCCTGTGGAAGTGATTAAGATTGTTCTTTCTTGCTTGACAGATCCAGTTAAAAGAGACGGTAACTGGCTCGAGGAAGCCGGTGCTAGAAAAGCTATGCAGATCTTCCGTGGATTCCACGACTTTGATGTTCCCATCTCTAAAGAAGATAGATTCCTATTGCAACTCATAAAGACGGCAAGGTCCCCGCCCTTTCTGCCGCCGTTTTCTAGGCCATTCAGATACGCAAAACTTAAATATTAACCTCATTTTTCTTATTAAGAGGGGTGTAAATTCTATTTCTTAGCACGAGAGAATGCTTGTTTCTGTCCCTTCTCCTTTTGAGTAGAAGCGGCATCTGACCGTGCTCTTTCTACCAGCTCTTCCACTTCCTCTGAAAGCTTTTGCAATACCTCGGAGCGAAGCTTTTGCAAGGCCATAGTATAATCAAAGGCAGCAAACACTGAAAAGATGGACTCCTCAGTCACGTCATGCAGGCCTAGTGAGCAGATGTGCTTAATATTACGGTAGTATTTGTATCTCCCCGTCTTAATGTTGTCGTGATGCAGTGATGAAAGCCCAAAGAGATAGAACACGCGATTCGAAACGTCTGGAGAAAACGTCCGCTGGCATGAGGCCACTGGATCCTTCGGAGTGTCTCTCTTGCCGGTGTCTGGAGTAGCATCTCGAGTTTTTCCTGCAGCAGTTGATCTGGTCGATGCTAGTGATTGTGTAATACGAGAAGGGGAGGCTGGAGGTTCCTCCGATACAGAGTCGTCTGCGAGTTCATCCGTATAGCAGAAGCAAAGAAGCATTTGGATAATAAATTCCAATACACGAGAAGGCGTAACCAATATATTGGCGAACATGTTAATGAAGCTCATTCTGAACAGCTTATTATACTCATCGAGGCTTAGATTGGTATTCAAAGCCAGCTTTTCAGCCACCGGCCCAGATGGAAGAGACTTATAGGGACCACGAGTGAAAATACTTGAAAAGGCTTCATGAAGAAGTGTATATTCTCGAGTGTCTTTGAATAGCACAGGTGGTTCTGCAGGCTCAGCTTCCTTGGGAGCAGACGCTGGGTCTGGTAACATCTCCTTGATGGGAGAGGGAGCCCGGCTCCCTTTTTCTTGCTTGGTTGAGGGAGGCGTACTCTGTTCTGTAACCACTGGAACTGGCGGTAAAAGAGTGCAAATACTATCTCTCTCAATGCCAAGCGTGCCATAAATGAGGCTCACCATAGTACAGAACTCCTCCATATCTAGTGGGATAAAGCTGTTGCGCACTATAAATACAGGCCACATGATATAATAATCATTAGAAGGGACGGTTTCAGGAATGTCTGCTGGCTTTTTACCTTTGGCAGTAGATGCAGCCGCCTCTACAAGCTCATTATACCTTTTCCGCTCGTCTGACAGGCACTCGAGTGCACGTCTCGAGAATACTGCATTCCAAGATACGGCGCTTGATGCCCGCTTTATCAACACAGAAAGCTGTTCACGAGCTGCAACCAGGGACTCGTTGTCAAAGTCTTCCGGGACGGAGATAAGTGGCAGAAGATCTGTGCAGTCCTCGCCAAATTCTACAATAAATGGAGATGGCTTACATGTCTTAAGCTTGGTGCAAAATTCATCGACTCGCAATACCATGGCAGAGCAGCTAGAAAATGGCCCAACACCATCTATGTAGTGCTGATAGTAGCCCAAAGGTCTTTGGTCAGCAGTCATAAAGAGTGTTGCCTCTGCTTGAGGATTGCTTCGACTCAGAAGAGGCTTCAGTGTTTCCAAGAGAATTAGCTCGTGTTGCAGCGTTTGAGACCCCAACTCAGTCAGGGCTGTTTGCGGAAGCTGTCTTAATAGTGCAGGAATGTCGCTATTCTTCTCCAACAAGTCTGCCAAAATAGACCTGACACTGCTGAGCGTAGAAAGATATTGGTCGCATATTACGTTGTCGCAGCGAGTCCTTGCATCTGAGAAAGCGTGAAGGAGCGTGTTCATCATTGCATCCCCATTTGGCTTAATGAAGGTGTTCAGGAAAACGTGAAAGTTTTTCAGCATGATCTGAATCAGATCTGCAATCTCATTTTTGGAGACCAGTAAGATGTGCGCAGATTGCAGAGAGGCAACATCAAATAGATTCTTATAGTTAAGGTTGGAAATAAGACCGTAGTAAAAGTCTTCGAAGTACGTGTCTAGGTTGTATCGCTCGTCTCTGATGACTGTATAGTCCATGTCTGTCTTAATGAATGTCTTGATATTGTAGATCTTCGACCTTGCAGACCGCTGACGTGACGGATTCGTCGGCGCGACTAAGTGGATAATATTAGTGAGAGCATAGAAGGCCATCCCAAATAACTCTACAGAGGCATAGACCAGGTCCTTGAACATATTAAAGATGAGGTTTGACAACATCTCTGTGTAGCTGGAAAGTTCAGCAATTGGTTCAGTCCTTTGTTCCATTATATATGCGACAATCTGCTGATTGAAAGCCTTATTGATAAGTGATCCAAAGTCTTGACATAGGGCTTCTGCCTCTCTGAGGGTATCATCATAGTTCTCTGACAGGCGGCGATAAATGTTAAACAAAGCACCCATGGGCCGCATAAACTTGTACTTTGTATGGATATCGTAATAGAAGAAACTAGATGGTATGTTCTGCAACTGCTTTATGCCTGGATCCAGTGTCGTAGCAAATGTATCAAACGTCTCCGAAACTAACTCAATTGGTGCACGAAACGTATCATCCTCAGTGTCTGTATAGATCTTCTCGTAAAGAAGCTGCTCCGATCCGTGCCGCCAGTCATGGATTGTGTTGTCCAACATGGTCCTAAATTGGAAAACATAGCTTTCGAGCTTCTCACGCAGCTCTGCACTGCTTTCACCGCCACCTGACTCTAGTGCAGCACATATTGCAGCAGAGCTCTTAGAGAAACCGGAGAACTGTGAGCACAGCTCCTCTATGAGGCGATTATGAGTACACTTGCAGACCTTTATGCATTCAGTGCGCATATTGACAAAGTGTAATGAAAACATACGCAAGGCGTTGTTTAGCCTTGGTACCAATGAAGAGACAGCGCTTTTATATGAAGCAATTGCATGCTCTATCAATTCAGAGGCCCTGTTAATTAATTGACGCTCAGTCATTTTGAAGACAAGGTCCTGAGGAACGCGCGTTTTACGGAAGCACTTGAACAAAATGCCTTCCAGGGTAGGAGCAGAACTCTTTGCCTCTAGCTCATCCTCAAAGAAGCTTTCTATCTTATCCTGAGTAATCGGTACAGCACTCTCTAGAGCATCCTGAGTTACACCTCGGGGGTCAGCCTGTGATGTAGGCTCCTCAGGAATCTGCACAGGGTCCATATTATCCACATCATTGTTAGATTGACTAGCCTTCTGCAGTGGAGAATCTGTGGGCATGACTCCATGCATTTGCGACGGCGAGGTAGCAGACATACTCCTCGTTAGTGGCTCGCATGCGATAGCTTCGTCCTGTGCACAAGGAGCCTGGAGGTAATCGCCATAGCAGCGTTGTAAGTCAGCAATAAGCATATCAGACGATGATTTTAGGACAGGAATACACCGCACTGGGGATGCGGGATCTGGTTTAGGTCCCCTTGAGTCCGGCTTACCTTCTTTTGTCCGTGATGTCTGTGTTCGCGATGTATGAATTGCAGATGTCTCACTGACTTGGGGGGCTGCTTGAGTATTTCCACTCGTCTCAACGGTATCTGTAAGCAGCTGCAAATATCCTCGCGCAGCAGAATAGGCGGAGGCAAGCTTGGAATAATCAGGGTCTTCAACCAGTTCAGAGCTGATTGTAGAAAACTTGCTCCATTGCCAGGGGCTCAATCCGTCCAGGTTCAATGGTGGCGGTGGGTCCTTCTTAGGGTCTCGCTTCTTGACGGATGCATCTTCTCCTGGTTTAATCACGCAGTCGTCACTGCACGTTATGAATATAATAGAGTCGAAGACAGATGATATCAGTGCACCCTTGGGTGGATTTTGAGGTAACTGTGGGACGACTGCATCGTTGATGGTGGTGTATATTTGATGTCTCAACGTGTTCATTGGTTGAAAAGCTGTCTCCAAATCTGTAATCACTGTAGCTGCCTTCAGTGGAACTACAAATAAGTAAGAGCTATTCAAAAGGGAGGTGAATCCTGCAGCACGCTTTGATGCGGCTGATGCTGGGACAGATGCAGCACTAAAGTGCACTTCAGACCGTAGGGGTGATCCATTTGTCGTAACAGAGACATGGGATGATGGCCGTAATTCAGGTGTGTTTGCAAGCTCTTCTGGGGCTAAGATGTTTACGGATAATATTAGATTAGTTCCAACTGAATCTATAATGGGTGAATTAACAATCCTCATGCTGTAGTGCGTTTTCAACAGGTAGTAGGCGCGCATATACATCAGGGTAAAGATATAGGGATCTGGGGGTTCCTCTGTCTTGTATGGTGTGTTGAGGAGCTTGAGAATGCGATCTGCATCCTTATAGTCACAAATGCAGGCATACTGATCTGCTAGCTCGAGAGTCAATCTAATTGGGTCATTATTTTCCTTTTTCCACGACTTTATCTGCCTCTCAGCCTCTGCTAACTTCTGCAGCACGGTTGCATACGACGTAAATTCCTTTTTATAATCAGCAAAGTTAGAAACGAAGCTAGTGTAAGATAGAAGTGTTGCACCTAAATAATCTGCAGCTGAAGCGGCCAAAGACTCTGCCATATCTGCTGATACATGTGTAGGATTATATGAGAATAGAGTAAACAAGGGAAGATCGTGGCCACTGACAATTTTCGGGCCAGATGAAGTTGGAATAGATATCTGTAGGCTAGAAAAGAGAAATGGAGTATCACGGCTGTGTAGGTAATAATCCGTGCATTTAAGACGACGAATGACAGACTCAATGGTGTTAAGGAACGTGAGCTTTTGAGTACCGCCCTTGTCTGAGGCTTGAGGTGCTTCTTCGGATCCCTCATAACCCCCACCAGACTGTTCCATCACCTGATTTTCGGTAGTACTTTCGTCGTCAGTACTAGCATCGGATGCATCTGCATTTCGGTAACACGGTGGAATGGATAAGATAGCATCGTTGACAAATTGGGTAGAGCGTGTAGAATCGAGGGATAAATCATTTGGTTTAGTAAACCCTATGCTTGCCTCATTAAATATATTAGCAGACATAGAATCTATCAGCTGCATTAATTCAATGTCACTGGGGTCACAAGGAATATCATTCTTATAAAGCTCACATTCGTGGAAGAGTAGTTCTCTTATTCGAGCAATCCTATCTTTGTATTCTTGATCTGGTGCATATTCACAGTAAAGGAAGGCATTGGTGAGACGTGTTCGGTCTGCAGCAGAAAGCTGTGGACCAGATGTAGCAAGTTCTAGTGCCAGCGAAATAAGATCATCTACATCACGTGCACAGTTGGCCCAGACGATCTTCTTGTTTACCTGGGCATACTCTTTATATTTTATTTGGTGCAAGGTAGCTTCAGCAGGTGCCGTCTTGTCCTCTCGTTCCATCTGGTATCGCGTTGTTAAATACATTATATCGTCTACTACATTTGTGGCTCTATTCCGATGGTCAGCATAAGAGGATTCTGCAGCTGCTTGATCAGACTCATCTCGGTGAAGCACATCTACCTCAGGCAGGCCCACGTCGCTCGATTCCTCCAGATCATCAAAGCGACGCATAAGTTGCTTATCATATGCAGAGTTTGGATCGGAATTTTGCCGCTCAAGATGCTCAAGAGTAAGTCTTGCCACCGATTTATCTGCAGAACTTGCAGTAGCAGACATTCCTGACGACTGAGGTCTGGAAGAAGATGGAGATGCAGCCTTGGAATTGGCTATAAATGCAATGTTGCGTGCCTTCTCCTGCTTCTTTTCCAAAAGTTCTTTTTCACGCTCTTCACGACGAGCAGCTGCTCGAGATTTTATGGTGTGTGCTAAGTCCTGGCTCGAAATATCTGCCGTGTTCACCGTTTGCTTATGACCTTGTTGCCGTTCGATAAAGTTAGCTATGTCAACCGTGGATGCATGTGCTATGCGTTGGTTTAAGCGCGCGCGAATCTCTTGGTGGCGTACATTGAGTGAAGCTTCAAGACGCATGTCCTCCTGGAGAGCGAGTCTTCTTCGTTCACGGTCCTGAGCTGCCATGGCATCTATCCGAGCTGTCATGGCAGCCCTTGCTTCTTGGGCCTGTCGTATCTGGTTTCTATTTTCGCTTGTGCGAACTTTGACTGCAGCCCGTGTGCCAGCATCAACCTGCGCTTGCCCTAATGATAGTCTCTCATTTGCAAGCATCTTGCGGGCTTCTGTAGCAGACTTGTGCGATAAGGTGGCACTGCTGCATGAGTTGCTGCCTTGGAACGGAGCGCTGGCTGTTTGCTGCTTAGGATTCTGCTTCATAATTTTTGAATTTGGACCAGAGATGTGCGCAAATGGCACTCAAACTAGGTTCCAGTCCCGTGATCTTTGAGTAATCACCGAATTTCATACCCAGACTTGAAAGAAGGTGGAAAGTTTAATCAGGCACATCTCTATCCTACTTGCAAGCAAGGACAACAAAAGAACCATTGCCCAATGATACGAAGGTCAATAAAGATCGATAGGTATAGAGCAATATTAAATAAAAAGGAGAAATGAGCAATTAGGCAAGTCAGTACACTGCGTCAATCTTATGATTTCAAAATCTGCGTTCCCGCAATTCATTTTTTAATGCAGCTCGCAGGCCAAAGTCCTCAAGTACGTCAACGGAACCCGAAGGTTCGCAAACTCGTCGATCTCACCAGGAAGTTCTTTGCTATTGCTTGTAACCACGAGGAGCCTTTTGGATTTACTATTAAAGAGGTCTGCGATAAGCTGGCTATTGAAAGTAGACGGCTCTACGATCTGATAAACGTTCTAGAGGCGCTCGGTATTATCATCAAGCAGCAAGGGCCCCACTATGAATTTATCGGTCTCGCCTTTGTAGACCAAGCAGTCCAGGCCTTTGTAAGCCGGGCGGCGTCAAGTAGCTCTACCAGCCTCAATGCAAACACTCGCTTTAAGCTTCATGAACTGTCCATATGGTTTATGAGCCACATAATTAAGGCGGCCCCAGGAAACGTCTCTCTGGCATCCATTGAAAGCACCCTCGGATTGAAGTCGAGTCAGGTGCGTCGACTGTATGACATTACCAACATATTAGAAGGTATGCACCTTATTACCATTATTAACCAGCGTGGGTCAAAGCCTAGCTACTCCTGGAATAACGAGAGCCTATCTACAGTATGTCGAGGCATCATCACAAAGGCTGACCAGATGGGGCTAGGCACATCTCTCTCTGAGAAATCCTTCAAAGATGTACATGCGTCTAGAAGTGGGCATTCTCTGCATAATGTTGACCCAGATTGCTATCCGCCTCGCAAGCGGAAACGAGCTTTTTATAGGGACCCCAGAAACGATTGCTCCAGCACTAGCAGCAGATCAGAGTCGTGTTCTGCGTCCAGTGACTCTGCGCTGCTTAGCTGTGACTCTGCAGAGGTTGGTCTTGCAAGTCCGGTCACTGATAGATTGCAGCCCACGGAAACTGTGTCTCAATCTTCAGTAAGTGATAGTGTCTCTCCTCGAGAGGGCCCAGGCACAATGCACATCGTTACCTTGTCTTCTCCGTCTAAGGCAGTGCTAGTCTCTGACCATGGGTATTGGGGAATAAGCCACGACACCCCTCAGACAAGGCGATTCTTCAGCAGTCTTCTTAAGCTATCACAGGAAAAGGAGAACAAACTCCCGCCTCTCGCCGTGCCTTCTAGCACGACTCCCACCCCCTCCATCACCCCGTGCGGAACTGTGCTGCCATTTTGCAAGGGATGCGTGGATCAAACACCGCATTTACAGAAGCTCTACACTGATATCCGCGAAAGCAGTGTAAGTACAGAGCTCACACCCCTAGAGATTACTTTAGATCCGTGTGCCCTGGAGGCACACGCAAACGGAGCACACTAGCAACAAAGAATGGATGAGGAAAGCATACCTCAGAAACTAAATACAACTGGCTGCATGAGTAAACCTTGACATACCAGAACACGCTATACATCGATAATGCTACACGCAGCAGCAAACGATTGGTCGGAGCAGCGCAGACATGAAAATAGAAATAAGGAAGAAGAGCTCAAGCACGTGAAACAGAGCAATCGTCACTCCGGTCCAGAAGGAAAAGGGTTCGGACAAGTCCATAGCGTTGATCTTAAAGAGAGCAAAGATGAGCCAAATGTTGATGCAGTATCTGACGACAGTGACCATTGTCCTGATTACATTCAAAATCATTATGTTGTAACTACTGGACTCACGACGTAGACGGTGCCAGAAGCTGATCAGGAGCATAGGTCCCTCGAGAAAGAAGAAGGCCGTCATGGTCGCCAGAGCCGATTTAAACTGAAACGTGTTTGGCAAAAGGTAGATTCGAGAACACCCTATGGCTCCGCAAATGGCTAGCACCAAGTACAGGATTCCGTGTACAAGGTTGTTGACAGCCATTTGGCGAAGATAGCGAGGCTCTGTGCGAATCTTGTGCTCCATAAATTGTCAGATTTTTTTATTTATGTGCGATCCATCTGTTGAGGGTATCCTTCAGACGTCGGGCACAGAAGACGTGCGATCCATCTTACACCACCAGGATTTGTGCATGACCCCTGAGGACAGAATTAAGCTGCTATGGCAAGCTTTCTGTGTTGCTGCCTCTCCAAAGCAGGGGACGGTCATCTGGCATCGTACCAGATGCATATCTATTGTGCTACTGGAAGAGCTACTGCTGACTAGGTATGGACCTGATCAACTAGGAATAAGCTGCGGCCGCACTTTGCTACTTCAGGACGCCGATTTAGAAGCCTTTACTTGTCTCTTACAATACGCGTTTCAATATCAGAATAGCTCGGCTGTTAGGGCTGTTGTTTGCTGGGGGCTGTCTACATTACCAATTTACATGCACAAATCTCTGTGGGAAACCATACTGGCACATCTACCACAGATCTGTCTCACTTGCCCGCTACTGTTGGTTTGGTACTGGCTTCTACACTGCTTTGAGTACAGCAAGACAATAGGTAGCCTATTTCTAAGGCGCCTTGACTCGCTAGCGGACTCGGGTGGGATAGATGCGGTTGATTACTACCTACTTAAATCTCTCACATACACAGCTCTGCTTGCGAACCAGCCAAGCTTTCCCTTCAACAACTATATTCACATTGTTAATTTATCAAAGGAGGCGCTGTTTCAATCCGATGGTGAGTTTATTTTACAGATTGTTAGCAAGCCAGTAATAACTACACTCATGCGCTATCCAGACGGACCGTTTCGCTATCTCGCATTTCTAAATAAGTTTGAATACATCAAAAGGTCCACTAATCCTTGTCCCTTACTTTCTCATGGTTTGACCAGTACTGGGAGTTCTGCGGATGATGACCCGCTTAAGCATGCAGTCAACCATCCTTTAGTACCCTCGATACTTGCATTGATTCGTCAAGTAGTTGAACTATACACCGATCCGTATTCGTTATCGACATCAGATAGCATAGAGGCTGCATTGCAGGAAGCCGCTTTTTCTCCTGAACACATCGGCTCAGCTCTTGTGGCCTTGAAGGCTATGGATTTATTATCATCCAACTACAACATCTCTAGCTTAACTGTTAATAATAAATTTTGGATCAATCCCCTCTGTAGACCTTTATGGAAAGCTTTGGACGAGGTCCATCGGTATCACAGCCTTATCAAGCTACTTGTCAGCTTAATGAACCAAAAAATGGAGTGGAAGCGTCTCAAACCGTGGCTGGATCTCTTTGCTTCTGTCGCTGGTGGCTTATTGTTCGATCAATCACAAGCACAAAAGAGCAATTGCAACGCTTCATACAGAGCAGTTAACCTCATAGATATGTTAGGTGCTTTTCACCCTGCTCTTCCTATAGCTAGCTTAGTGTGTGCAACCTCACAAGTATCCACGGAAAGCACTGCTCCACTGGTGGCAGGGCTTCAGACACTGATCTCCTGTGGTTGGATTTCTGTGTTTCTAAAGGAGGAGGCCTTTTCGCGCAGTTCTGGGTCAGCGCTAGATGCTGCTGATGAGCGCAGATTTGTGACTGACACTCTGTGCTCCCTTCTGCTCCCTGTGTTGAGGCACCCAATGTTCTATATGGGGCCCGAAATGCAGCTATTTGATAGCCTCATGGTTCAAAGACTTCTGAAAACACTCATTCTTCAAGTGCAATGGAGTGGAGCAAATAAGCACGTGACTGAACTCATCAAAGTAGCTATTATCAACGAGTGGCTGACAGATAGTCAATGGAAGGACATTACTGCTCATGCGTATCAGGTGCTGCGGGCAGGGACAAACCTTTGGTCACTAAAGAGCGTACCCATTCTGGAAAGCATGATGCAGGTTGGCCTATTCATATCGGATATTCGTCCTAGCAAAAGGAAAGAGATCATAAACGACCTACTTGATCAGATAGCTCTGTGGTATAGAGAGCTTCAGCCCGGCGAAACAAATGCAGCTACATTCATAGCCACAGCAATAAAGACGTGTCTTGCAAAGATAGAGTCTAGCGAAGAAAAGGCTGATATGTGTCTCCGCATCCTATGCCGTGTTAAAGAGTTAAACGACGTCGCGCTTGCAGTAATAGACGTCATTCTCAGCTTAGAAAAGGTTGTAACTGCATCGACACGTGATAGATTGGCACTAGCATTGGAAAAGTACAGGATCTAGAGATACTTAGCGTGTGTAAGAATAGCTAGTCGTGAGAGGTGAGTGGCTTCAGTGCAGCCCCGGTGTATCTTGTGCGCCATTGTAACATATTCATGCTCTAGAGTTTTAATTAGCTTGGAGACAAGATTCAGCATCCGAGTCGACGCGTATGAAAGAAGTAGCGTTAAGGCTTTATGCAAGTATGCCAGAAGCGCAGTAATAAATGCAAATGTGGAGTCAGATGAAGTAGCAATGGTCCGGATGCTCTCCCTCCTCTTTGTTATGTTGAATATGTATGTTGTGATGCTCTCTGCGACCATCTCGGCAATTCCATCGCATGAATTAGTGAGGCATAGTTGAAGAATGCACAGTTTTTCACCAATAGGTACACATGCAAGTGCATCTGTCAGCTCCTGTCGAAGGTGTGCTGCAAATTCTTGAAGAACTATATGCATAGAACTCTTATGCTCTTCCATGGTTAAGTTGAAGAAATCCGGTGAGACAGACAACAGCTTGTTCCATAAGGAGTCTCCTTTCTCATATGCACTACAAAATTCAAGAGCACTATAAATGTACACGACAAATGGTTTAGAGAGGGAATATAATGACTGACACCTTATAACTAGGTCTTTAACTCCTGCGTCCATGATGCTCTTCATAGGAATGTCAACAGAAGGATTTTTCTTCAACGCTGAACTAGGTCGTTTACCGATCAATAAATCTACACTGTTAGGAGGATAACGAGAGATATAATCGTCAAGTTCGGTTGTAGCGTGCTTATGATCAAGTGGATTAAACTCAGCAATTGCGAGAGCAGCGACAAAGCCTTCAGAAGGGTCGTCAATCTCGTGGTCAACCTTCATATTGGAACAAGGATTGCAGACATGTGAATCTCGCAGTAATTGATCATACACCTCCCTATATCCTACTATGATAGAGTTGAGAAAATTCTTCTCTGAAGATGCAGAGGCGCTGCTAAGCGTGGAAAGCTTTGCAGCGTAATTACTCAGGCTATTCCCGTTGACACAGATCTGCAATGACCCTGATTCTGCACACAATGATGAGATCAGGGGCTTAATTGATCTGCAAATGCTACTATTAAGTGTAGTACCACTTGAAAAAGATTGCAACTTAAAGATACATGGGAGCATAACCCCGTGACACTTGTTCATCAAAGAAAGAATATTTGTCAGTATCACTGGCTTGAGATACAACAACACTATGACCGTTGAATAGCAGGCGGTGAGACCTTGCTCAATATAGTTGCACACAGTGTTGAGCCAGGGAAGAATGCTCTCCCTGGCTTGCTTGGACAATTTTTCAGGATCAAGGTTAGCCAGTGCTGACGCTACAGAAGAGAGCACATCCGCTGCGGGAGACCCCTGCCAAGATGTCAGAGATACCATAGAGTAGCTATGAAACGAACGCGTCTTCATCTTGGATGACCACGGGAAAGGCGGAGAAGTGGTGAATAGCACACTATCTGTTGTTGCAAGCTTAGGAATAAGGGCCTTTACCCGATAAAGATACTCTGTGAAGTGCTTGAGCATGAACCCTTCCACGTCATAATACCTATCGACAGTTCTGGTTATGAGCTGGTGTATCTTAATTATCCGCAAGTCTGCAGTGTCGGTAAATATGTCCGATGCCAACAGGTACTCTCTGCTGACTATGGAGTTTAGATACTGTGCAAGACTTTTTGAGAGCAGCTGCTTGAGGTTCAGTTTTATTATGTGTCTCACGAGCTCGAGGGCTGCTGTGTGAAAGCTTACACTGTTTAATGGATCGACAAAAAGGGACGACTCGCTCTCCAGTGGCAATAAGTACTCATTTGCCATCTGAGTCAGCTCTTGTATAGAGCTCTTTTGGTCGGCGACGCTGCTGAAGGCCTTTGTGACGAGATCGTTAGCCTCCTTCATGGAGCTGCAGCGTGCAAATATAGCATCGGCGGTGTGCTGTAAAGACGCAGAGAAGGCAGTTAGAGACTTCTCGCATGCACACAGATGGGTGAATGATTCAATGCTCTTGCTTATCTGGGACAGGGGGACCATGGGAACAGGAGGTAAAGCCTTCGCCTCTGGTAGATTTTAATTTTTACGAACTTCTGTAGAGTATTTCAACCCTAAGAATTGAATTAGTAGATGTACTTCGTACATATAATTGGGATTGGTGGTTGATCCCGAGGGGTTACGGAGTTCCTTTACAAGCATCGCGTAATATGCTTGAATGGATAGTTCAAGCTTCAATTTGTCAGTAAGTTCCAGGGTATCCCAAAGATTGCTTGAGCACAGTATATGTAGAAATATTAAAAACTGCGTCTGTTGCATTGAGGATTGGGGGTCCGACAATAGAACGATATCCATGCACTTGAGTGGATCCTTTATGACTAGGTCAATCTTCGCGGCTATCAGCTGCAGTATTTGATTATATAATCCTTGATTGCGCTGCTTTGTAGAAAAGATAGCCATACGAAAGGTTGTGTAAAAGACCGCCTTGCCGTCATCGCTCGCCCAGAGTAAGACGTCCAATATCGCAGACAAAGCTTTTACAGAATCATAACCGCACTCCTCCAAAGAAACTATAGCTGCGGGCAGAAGGTAAGTGAGTGCAGAGTAAACCTGGAAGCTATAATCTGCAAGTGACCGGAGTTGAACAAGTAAGCTCAGTATGCAGCACTCTGTCTTGATAATCTCCCGTAAAATAGATGCACTGGAATTTCCAAACACAAGAGGGGGACTGTCGGCAGTGTCGAAGTGTCTAAGTACACCCTTACCAAGATAGCAAACTCTTGCCATGAGCACCTGCACAGCATCGCTACTTAGTAATGAAAAGTCTCGTAAGTAGTCTGTGATTTGGTGACTCACAGTGCCTGAGGACAACAAACAATCTTTGAAGAAACCAGGAAGCTTCTGCAAGTCAATGAGCAAGTCGTCACGGAAAAAGTACACCGTGCCTTGTTGTAGATCGATCGTCTGCTCACTGTGCATCGCTGATAGCGGAGACATAGCATAGTAGTTATTCACAGTCCTGGTCAGGGCTCTGCGGCTAGCAACGATTAATGTATCTAATTCTTGGGATGATGTCTCATCATCTGACAAGTTATTGTCCTGCAATATCTGCGCCAATTTGCAGAGATTCCGACTGCTCTGGATTAGCTCCAAATTTACCATTTAAATCCATATACAAGGAATCCGCGTGGGGAGAGTTCTGTCAGTGCAGGGAGGATGCCTGCGCAGAGCTGCAGCGAGAATCTCTCGGCTAACTCTATCAGCCCTGCAAGCCGGTCCATTAGAATAAATGTTTCAAAGACATGGCCGCTGACTTTGCGTGCGAGATAGTGTGCCTGCATTGCCCACCTATATAATGTTGCATACTCTATTGCGTTTCGTGCCGTTTTCTGGTGCTCTGCGTCTGTTGAGCTGTCTCCAGCAGCAGTTGAACAAGATGCATGCTCCAGCCTAGCGCTCCTTTGCAGATCCAGCACTATGGCTTTAGCAAGGCTGGCGTTGTCTCCACAGAGAAGCTCTTTCAGATCTTTGTCTAGAGTCCGCTTGACAGAAGTGGGAGACTGCTGTCGTCTTGCCAGTTCCACAGTGGCGCGGGCCCAATACGATTGTATGGTTTCTATTACCTCTGGCCAAGTGAACACACTATCAGACGCAGCATAGGTGAGAAATTCCCTCGGAATAGTGTCGGCATGATACTCTCGAAACATCTCCTTGACTTTCGTTGCAGAGAAAAAACCGTTGATAAGAGCAGATCCTTGGTCACTGATAGGGAATGTATCCTTTGTGAGATGCCCATAGCAACAAGGGATAGTAAAGGCAGATGTGACGTCCTTCTGCATTAACATCCTCAGCGCAATAACAGAGAGAGGACCACATGCATGCAGACCAATGGCTGAGTACTGCCGACCTGTGTCAGCGGGGCTCAGACAGGGGATTGGTGGAGTTATCACAGGACTTGTAGTGAGTGATAGATTGGGGAGCTGCGCTCCTTGAATCACACTGCCACGTATGTGAGCATTGCTCTTAACTCTATGGACTCTACCAGACAACTCTTGAATTGGCACGCTCACTGCTTCAATCCTTGCTCCTGAGGTACTGTCATCCACATATAGTAGCGCCACCCGCAACATACTCAGTGATACAGAGACAGTTGTACTTCTAGTGGTTTGTACTGCTTCGTTCGGCTTCACCCCTGCAATGTATCGACACAGTCCTTCGGCATGTTTTAGGCTGCCCTCAATTGCTATCATCCTTCTGTCTAATTCGATGGCTTTATACACACTGTAATAGCCACGTCCAGCACCAAAGTCTAGTTCTGTCAGTTCCGTACTAGGGAACTGCACAGAGCAGCCTTCACGCCACTTGATCAATGCAGTTTTGATATCTTGGTAAAACGATATCTTAGAAAGAATATACGTCCGTGCATCTCGCATTTTACTGCTGCTAAGGGCTGTTTCCTGCTCTGTTTGCACCTTCTTAATGAGCTCTTCACGGCATATTAAGACATCGACAATAGTGCTGAGAAAGAAGACCTCCAATGCTTTCTTCTGTGCACAGTTGAATAGCAGAGCATTAGACAGAGAAATGTGTCTTATGTACCTAATTATAGACTCGCATTGATCCGCAGACAATGGATTGAAGTGAGCACGGGATAGAGACAGATCTCTAGCAAGTTGAAGGAACTCTAGAAGAGAAGCACTGATGCCGGTACCGGCTTGCTTTAACTTTTCCAATTGAACTAACGTTAAATCCTTCAATTCAATCGCTCCAAGAAATAGGGCTGGAGTGCTATGTAAAAATGCCATATCACCCTCCCACTCTGGTGGGAACAAATGATGCTGCTTTCCACCGTAGATTTCTGTGCAGAAGGCTAGTGAGATTGCATAATAGCGTTCCAAAAATAAATGCATTTTCTTCAAATAGGTCTTGTAAATTTCCTTGAACCTGTTCACATGTAGGTAGGTAACCTCGTCTCCAAAGCATCGTGGAAGCAAGGTTGCAATACACGATGATACAGGCATTTTATTAAAAGGAATGCCCCACATAATCCTTCCCTCCCTCAGCTCTTGCAAAACGCTCACCAAGACCGAAGACATGAGAAGTATGATCAGAGACATAGAGGATGCCTTGTCTGCCTATCCACAGGAGTGTTCTGAGTTGAGCTTGGGAGTCCAGGAATCTCTCTGTATTCTTATCACTCAGCTTTTAGATGAGAATTTCCGCGCCGCACACCTTCCGATTCTGAACCTAATCATTAATACTGTACAATCTGGGCCTGTGACTCTTCATCTGGAGAAAGTCTTGGCGAAGGCCTTCGTTGAGCCCATTACCATGCAGCAGAGATACGCGGCTGATGCCAAGACAACACTACTGGTTAACACACTTTTTCGTTTGGTCGACGCGGGAGTTAAGCAGAAGGCGTTCGGTGCGATAGCGACAGGGTCTGCTCTATGCTTCCTCTTGTCTATTTACAATGCCTCTTCTGTAAAAAACGTTCCCGTGTGCTTGCGCATTGAAGCAGAACAACGCATTGTGAGGCTCCTGCAGATGGAGTTACCAGAAAATATTAAACAGAAAGTGCTAACGCCGTTGTTAGATGATTGCATCCTTTGCCTTTTATCCACGACATCGTTAATGAGAATGCTACGAGAACCTGTAGAAAGTATTGATTCCATTTTATGGCTAACTGCATTGACTTTAGAGCAAGCCATCAAATATAACTTTGATATAGACTCTACATTGGTAACTGCGCTCAAGGTACGAATACATAATTTCACGTCAACTAATTTCTCTGAGTATAGTCGTCCAGAGTTTCAGAACGCAGATGACGTATTTGCACAACTTACTGAGATGTCTTCTGAAGAACTATCACCGAGCCAGTACTCGCCACAGTGTCTGTTTACATTTTTGCTATCTGCTATTTTGATGAATCCGGACAACCCTCTAGCTCCTTCGTCTGTCACTCTTTTTTTACTGACATATATTTACTCTTTCAACATGCTTCTGAGCATTGCAGTTTCTTTGCTCAAGTATCACCAATCGTCCCAAACTCTTTTGATAGCACTGCTGACGTTACGTGAGGCAGAGTCTTCTGGATACTACTCGACCAATAGCATACCAGAAAAAGCCTTTCTTCCCTTACTGCAAGCCAGATGCCTTGTCACCCACACTTGTCTGGCTATCACCTCGCACATCTTTCCTGTGTACGAGGCAGATCTTGAGCCTGGTCCACATTTCAATTTGGCGCCCTTACTCGATGCTTTGACTACTGCACAATATAATATGTTATTGACTAATGATAGTGTGTCATTGAGCACTGCAATAGATACAGTAGAAACTGAGTTTGGCATATCCTTTGAGTCATCAGAAAGCATAGGCAGCACGGTGCAAAACTTCTCCCTCTTCAAAGCTCTTTATTCTCTATCGGCTAAGGATTCTAAGAATGTAGGAAAGCAGACAAACGTTCCAATGCTATATATTTGTGGTTTTTCACTTATATCTTGGAATTGCACAATCAAGAGACTCATCACCAGTGAAGTATTCATTAATGCCTTAACTCCATCAACCGTTCTAGCCACAGCTCTATCTCTCTATCGCTTACTATCCCATGATTATTGTCTTCCAACCGTTGTTGAGGACTCTGCTAATCGCTACCCTCACTCAAAGATTCTAGACCTTTTACGTGCTTTTGTAGAAAGTGCGCTGCATGCTTCTGAAAAGAAGGAAGATCTTAATTTAGAGGGACTGGTTAGAGCTATTTCAGCACTACCCTGCCTTTTGTGTCTTTTATCTCTCGAAGCAGGTCGGAAGGATACCTGCAGAGTATCATTTGCAAGCGTCCAGGCATTACTTCATTGCAGTTGTGTGACTCAAGTGGCACAGCAGACCAAGGAACCTGACTGTTCCATCCCTCTTCTCATCGCTAATTCAGAGTCTCACCTGGGCTTTAGCTTATTCTCCCACGTCATTTGCACCTCTACGTCTTACTCCACTACTGTCTCTAGGATGCTCTCTCATGTAGATTTTCTCATCGATCTTCACCGTCTTCTTCTATCCCACATTGGTGGATTGGTTGCGTCATCCACTGGAGCACAATGCGTCTCTGCCCTATTGGCATCACTTGCTGGAATACTCCACTTCCGGCATGTGGCTGACTCTGTGCAAACTCCGTTTCCTGCAGAGACCTTGTACAGTATACTTTATACTCACTCGGACGATAGCATTAGTGCAACAACTATAGAATTATATGATCCACTCAACGAAACAATATTATTGGGACAAGAAATATCAAGCAAATTGAATTCGAATTCATTGGATTGCAATTCTGTTTTATTTTCAGTTATTGATGAACGAAAAAGAAAAAGTCTTCAGAGGAGCGCTTCGTCAGTTGAGGAATTCACCTCCATCTGCATTCAGACTCAAGCACGCCTGCTCTTTCGCATCTCCCACGATTCAAAGTGGCCAGAGTGGCGACAAAGGTTGCTAGAGTCGGCTGCCATGGCACGCGTATGTGAGTCTTTCAATGCTCAATTTTATGATGGATTGATTGAGATTAACGAAAAGGACCTATCGTTGTTGTTTGGTTATGGACTGCTTCTGGGGGCACTGACATTACGGTCTCTTGATGAGTTTGATATGTCTTCCGAGATAAAGGAACAGCTGATAGATTCCTTAACTACTCAGTCTCTATTTGGACGTGATGATCTGCTGCTTCTGTTCCCGTCCTCATTCAGAAAGCTTCATTCACTACTCGGATTGTTGGCTTCCACAGAAACGTTTCTGTGCACGCTTTCACAGTTGTGTCTGGCGCTAACAGATGACTATAAGCCATCAATGACTATTCTTCCCAATGCCACCCCTGGCAGTGACTCTACGGCCGCTAATGAAAGCAGGATTCTGCTCCAATTAACGTTAGTGTCACAGATTATAATGTATATACCCATCCTTTGTCAGGACAAGCTCCCAAGTCAGGCTGTGATGAAGATACACCAGAATTGTGTAGGCCTCCTAGCCTCTATATTGAGCAATTACCATGCGCTCGATCGAGTTTCTACTTTTGCAGACAAATTCCTGCATGCCTACTTCCTGATACTGCACAGACTTTTTGATTTCTTGGATTCTAAACTGGTGGATGCTATAGAGTACTTGCAGGTATATGAAAGCGTTTTGACATGTTCTGGATCTCAAAGTGACGATTGCTTTAAAGAACTCTGGTGCATAGGGCTTCTTCGTGTCGTTCGTCTCTGCTCTACACCTATTTCTGTTATGCGCATCAAGATAGTCGAGCTTCTTTGCAAAATAGTGGGGAGCTACTTGTCTGTCTGTACTCCAGTCGATATACTGGTCCTGACACGCGATGTGCTCTTCAAATCCATATCAATCTTGATCACTTGTTCTCCCAGTACATCTCGCAAGGCTACCTCGTCCCCGGCTGCAACAATCGTTTCTTGCCATCACATCTTCTTCACCTCCTGCATGAGTGTAGTATCTTCTGCAGCCTATCCCTTGAAGATACAAGTGATTCGTGCATTTATTTCGCTGACGCATTCACTCTCTGTGGCTACGGGCCTGTCCATGGTGGATGACTCTATCAGACTTTTCTGTATGGGCATGAAGCCAGATGACGTCCAGTTGATGCACAGTGATGATGGTGTCACAAAAGCCACTAACTTATCCTTTGAGGAGCTGTTCTCCAGAATTATGCAATATCCATTGATGGACTCATTTTTCCCAGAGATCTTTCAAAAGAGCCTGGAGCATAGTCCTTGGCTTTCCTTGCTATCAGATTTAGGGGACGAAGACGCTATGCTGTCTCTGACGGCTCTTCTTGAAGACATTCTTTCATTGCTAGTTATCGATGGAAAAGCAAGCTGTCAGTCGTCTGCAGTGCTGTTAGACCTTTGTTCCACAGTTTTCTCTCTTCTTCCACGTCTTACGGAAAGCATTGAGATTGCCACTCGAATAATAATCAACGCCATTACTTTGATAAGTATGATCATATCTGTAGAAGAAGGGGCAGAGCAATCTCGACCTGAGATTGAAAAGGCGCTCAATGAAATTCCGGTGCGCTTAGCCAAGGAGCTGGTTTGCAAGTGCAACACTCAGCGGCAAGATTCTTATCTTAAAACAGAAGCATGCTTGAGCACGCTCTTTTCATATGCGCTTTCCAATGAGGCCGTGTTCACCTCCATCTTTACTTGTCTGTACGAGCTTCTGAAACAGTCTTCGGACCAGGAAGGCCTTTGTAGGCTTCTATCTGTGCAACTGTCTAACGCATTTGTTTCTTCGTGCTCTGTGGGAACATTTGGTCCCAAAACGTTGTCTTTGTGTCTTTCTATTATACTTACGCTTTATATAAGCCTTTTATTGACCGAGGCAGGCAATTTAGCAGAATCACTAAGCATAGCGGCTGTTTCATGTGCTGTGCTCAGATTAGAGGCATATCCACAGCTGCACCTCATCCTCACACTTGCAATCTACAACAATTATCCTATGTTTAAAGATGTTATCGACGACGATGTTTTGTATTTGATAATCTCTCGCTTTCTACCCTACTCAAATCGCTATTCAGCGGACGCTTCCTCCAATAATAGGGCCCAATCGACCTCTGTGGTCTCATCTTTTGAATTATTTGCTTATGGAAATATAGACTCTGAACTGATCTCTATCATAAGCTCCTTTCCCCAATCCAAGCGCGAAGAAGCTGCATTGGCCCTGGAACAACTATCTGTGTTTTACTCCTACAATAAATCTAATCAGGAGTTCCTTGTTACTATTGACTCTACATCTCTACACCAGTTTCTCTTCAACACAGCATTATTTACGCTTTCACTTTATATGGAGTCTGTGTCAACGCTGAAGAAGTGCATTTCTCTCATCAAAAACGTTCTGGCGCACGTAGAATACAACTATCTTCACTTCCATGCCATCCCTCCATCTGAAAAACTATACAAGCACGTGAGCACCCTACTGCAGTACATTATTGAGCACACCTTTCCACTGAGCGTTGCTTCATCCATTTTGCCGCATGGATCCATGCCTCTCTTGTACTATACTAGCGATCGTGACTCAGTCTTCGCTACCACTCTAATGCGCCCTCAGCTTTTTGCCCTTCAGACATCATTCTTCCATTTCTTTAAGGTTTGCAGGGACCTACCCCTGTCCAGACAAATAGAGCTTATCTATCTCGAAAGCCTGAGTGCTGAAATGAGAGTCATGTGACCAGAGGTGTGCACACATGCACTTGTGTGGAGAACTGCCTATTTACATGATCTACTCTATCTGAGTTGTCAGCGTTCGATAGGGTCAAACATCTAACGCGTCAGCGTCTAGGATGATTGTATCTGCCGCCAGATCATCTCCAAGTGGCTCTGGCTCTTCGTATACCTCCTGCGCCGTTTCCTCCATTCCCTCTAGGGAATCATAGATAATGCGGGCAAACCGCTCCCATGTTGTTTTCTCGAACATATGGGGGCTATATCTAATTGTGTAGGGATCTTTGCACTCAAATTGGACTGCCTTTGTGAAGTTGAAGAAGACGTTGAAGAGGTTACCCTGTGTCTTGCACCTGCGTACGTCTCGTTTGCTAATTCGTTGGTCTTGGTGATAGAACCCCTCCCCCACACAGTGTTGTGTGTGTTTGGCCATGTCAACCATTTGGCACATGATGTCTTTCTGTCTATTGGTATCCCTCTTGTGGCAATGGTACATATTCTCCATATCAGGGCAGAAGTGCATGATATCCTCGGTGGAAATGTACCCATCACCGTCAACATCCATAAGCGAGAAAAAGTAGTCTAGTGCAGGGTCTGAATCCTTATCCTCTTCTGCTAGAATAAACGGAATAAAGTCTTTGTAGCTCATTTTGCCGGGTACATTCGACCTGAACGGTCTAGGTATTTCTGCAAAGATCCTATCGACAACTTTGGGATTGTACACTCTGTTACACATGCACGTGCCATCAGTTTTTCCGCATTTGCAGATGTACGGAAATGGACAGGTGTGTATTCCGTACCTATACAGATCTTGCGCTGAAATAAGTTGGTCGTGATCGGTGTCTAGCTCCCAGAACTTGCAGAATATGACGTAGAAGTGCTCATAAGAGAAATACTTTAAGACACGGTTAATGTCTGGCTCTCGTTGAAGAAGCCAGAGCGTATTTATAAATTTATTGATAGTAAGATCGTGGTGAGTTATATGCTGCTTAAACGTCCTGTCAAGGAGATAGAATATGCGGGTGACAACCGTGATGGAATACTGGACCTGAAATTCGGGAGTAGCACGAAGAAATTCTAGAGCCGGATGGTACCTGCACACACCTGCCATGAATGCCATCAGATCATCCTCCACGATGGCGTGTGCTTTCCCTAACTTAAGACAGTTAAAGAGCCGTGTATTCGTCGAACGCCCCATGATGTTTTCGGAGTAGAAGGCCCTTATTTGGTCTAGCGTGACAGAGTAGATATTGAAGTTTTCAGCTTGTTTGAGGAATTTATAGCTTGTCAATTTTGTATAAGTGTTGTTCTCTGCTGGCGCGTCCAAGAGTATCTGAGAGCGTATAGTCTCCGGAACAGGAAACTTGTCTATGTTATCTAGATAGCAAGGATGCATGTGTCTGTATTCAGAGCGTATTCTAGCAAAGAGAGGGAATGCCAAAAAGCCTGGAACGCCAAAGATGCCCTCGCATATAAGTTCAGCCATCACCAACATGGCACCCTGCTTCTTGTCTTTTTGAGACCGTACTCCAGGCTCGGTCACGGGTCCATCGCCCTGAATCCCCATGGCCTGCTTGCAGTGTAAGAGAGATGGCTGCACAACCTCCTTCCGAAAAGCATTATCACTGAGCCCAGCCATTGTGGCAGCGCACTTATGTAAGAATGAGACATCTGGTATCTCGTAAATCGTTACAATGTCTGCCATCAAACGCGAGTACATAGAGTCTAAGTCGGGTGTAAGAAGCTCGCTATCAACGACAGAAAACAGAGAGATCCCTCTGTGAAAAATCTGCGACAGTCTATTGATACAACTCAGCTCAAATTGTGTTCTATCTGTACACGTCTTACAGAAATCAGGGGCCGACGAGCGATGAAGCTTGAGCTTACTGCATCTCGAGTTGTCGAAGCAGAACCTGCAGGAGCGCACTATTTCCTGCTCCGATGGTCTCCTGATATGATACTTCAGACGGAGGTCTGGTATCTCTGCAGCGTCAGCAGCGAGCTGCACAAGTTGCTCGTCTGTAAGATTCAGCTCCACTTTTGCGTAATGATGGGAGTAGTCTACATCGTCCTTGAGCTCTATGATCTCTGTATCCTCGGGTGCAGTGTTAGCATGCTCATCTGTCGTAACGAGGTGTTGTGAAGATGTTAAGAAGGACATGGCATTGTGGGACTTCTTCAACTCGTCTGTTTCTTCGTATATCCCCCCGGAGAACTCTACTTCTATCGCCTCTGTTATAGTGAGGCTGTCAGCATTGGCAGATTGACGGGCCGGACTTGCGCCAGGAAAGAATAGGGGAGAGTGCATGGCATCATACAACGCATCTGAGCCTCGCTGCAGAGGAGACGCAAGCGATGCGCCCTGACTGCTTGAAAGAGAGGCAGCCAGTGGAGAGCGAATGGAAGTAGTTGACGAACTGAGGCGTGCGGGTGTTTTGGGCAACGGAGACCTAGGCACATTTGCATCCGCCTCGGATGGAGGAGACAGCATCTTAATTGTCATGGACTCTCCGATAGCACAGCCTTCGACAATGGTGTCTAACATGCCAAGAACATGGGCAGTGATAGAGGGAGACAGCGTGCAAGATGACAATGAAGCTATCTTGTTTAACTCAGAGCAAACAAGCGTATTATTTTCCTGCGCCAGTCGCTCAGCAGCAGACATAATGTCCTGCTCACTTATCATCATCGCACTAGTGATGCGCGGTGACCCCGTCATCTCATCGGATCCGATTTTTCGCTGAGATGCCCCCTTGGTAGGTGTGTTCATGATCCTAATTTTTGAGTTTTCAATGTTCTGGTTAACCTGCTAAGATAAGCTTAGCAAACAAAGGAAACAAATTAGTTCACACACAGGAGAAAAAAATACACAGGGAGCTTCATGTCGAGACCTACCTACACATAGGCCACAGCACTGAACGTAGTTCTAAGTCGTTTAAAAATCTACTGCTGTTTGCTGATGCATTGTAAAAATTCCTGATACGATGGAGCGAAGAATAGCTTGCGGTGAGGCTCGAGAGAATCATTGAATGAGGAAGAAATGAAGATGGATGAGTTAAGTCCCTGTTGATCCGGCGGCTCCAGTTTGCTAAAGTAATGGAAGTGCTCCTTTAAAGAAGAAGTTGATGCTCCGTATTTCCTCATGGCGCCGAACAAACTGTTTGAGAAGTTGTCCCTGCTTCCACGCCACACATCCCCAGCATCCTCTGTAATGACCTCAACGACGGAAAGAAGTCTATTCATGGCCTCTGTCGTGATGCTCTCGATTCTCATGCTACGTAGTAATACCAAGATGGCATCCATGACATCGGGGGCTCGCAGCTCCATAAAATCTTTTTGCCTCTATGGAATGAATTGACTCAAGAGGCGTTCAACTTCCATGGTAGCATCTATGGTTTGGTCACCAGACACAGCCTGGGAAGCGGCACGGTCCAGGTCGCATGCAAGGTCGTAAACAGCCTTCTCTGCCGAAGTGGTTGGGGGCTGAGCGTGAAGGCAGGCGTGAAAGAGTGACAACATGTCCACATCAGACTGCTCCGATGCTATGCACTGTGCCAAAACAGCCAGGCGAAACCTTCTGGCGCCCTCACTCGAGGGTGCTTTGGCAGATTCAAGTCTTTTATACTGTGACAAAAACGACTCTGCAGTCTCTTCCATTGATAGGGTAAGCAACGAGGAGGATTTGACGCCAAGTAGTAGGGCAGGTTCTCCTCTTTAGATGCACCCAAAAGGAATACTGCTTTAGAGTCTTTTCTTTGGAAAACTTGCAATTTATAATAAAATTACAAAGTAATAACAAGGTAATAATGCTAACGTGCTTGAAATGCTTAGGTAGACATGACGTTTTAACTTAAAATCCAATCGACTTTAATGCAGCCCATTATCACCAATTCTGCGGACGGTGCTCAGGTTTGGTCTTTTGATGGAAAAAGGCTTGTGTTGACACAAACACTGTCCCAGCAACAGGTGAAGTGCTCGGCCGCCATCACAAGATCCGACAACCTCATGTTAGTCTTTCTGACAGGGCAGCAGGAGATAACATGTCGCGTATACGAATCGACGCTCAAGCGAGACATCCTTCTGAAGGAGGTCACCCACACCATGCCTCACCCCATTGAGTCGTTCACTCTATCTCACTATGGAACATTAATCCAACTGCACTGCAATGTTCAGCGACCACTAGACAACTTCCTATTAGTGGATGCATTGAGCGGGACCATCGTTGCCAGTATGCATTCAACCATACGACTCGCAGGTTTCCGAAGTATGTCCTGGCCGTACTGCCTGAGCGAGGACGAGGACTATGTACTCTTTCAAGATGGTTGGCTTTTGTGCCTCAAACAATATGATCTGGCGTCTAGATCATTGAAGGATTACGGATACGTGAGTGCCATCCCGAGAGACCAACCATGGAGGCTTACTGCTTATCACTTTACCTTGTCCCTCAAAGTCCCGTCCGATAGCCTGGATAAGTATAGCGTCATTGTGTGTATCCCGTCGCAGGGGGGTTCGTCCGGCTATGCTATCGTCTACAAACTCTCTCAATTTGTCGAGCTCTCATCAGCAGAGGTCGAGACAGGTCGCACCACCAGCACCAAGCCAATGGAAATCGCTGACAAGATCATGGCAAAGCCATACATGTACTGTATGACAGCCACATGCGACGTATTTGTCTTCAAGCCAAGTGAGTCTGGCGCCTGGTTCCTTCTCCTAGAGAAGACAGACGTAGACACTTCAAAGGCCAACAATTACTACGGAGGCACGATACTGAGGCATTATTGCATTATCAACAAGGCTATAACATTGATCACAGATGGTAAAAGCTACGTTCATGATTTCAGCATCAGGCCCTTAGCCCCTGCCGATCGAAGCGCTCTGGCTTCGGGCAAGATTGACTCTCTAAAGGTACTAACCGAAATGTTCGTCGTGATCTATGGGGTGGTTCCCCCCAAAGTATGCAGCTATGTGGTTATGCTCACTAATTTGGATCGCAAAAACGCATCGGCAGAGCTTCAGAAGGACATCAATTTTGGCAATATGCCAACCAACTCAACAAGTTGGGACGTAGCCGGGAGGTACCTTCTTTTGCGAGGCGAGGCAGGGATGAACGGGGACTCTAGAATACTCCGGCCAATAATCAACAATGAGCCGAAGTATTTGGCGAAAGGGACCATCCACTCTAGGACGCATGCACTATTTTCTCCCAGAGGAGATGTACTCTTGTATCTGGTCACAAAGCCCAGATTCACTGTCGATAACGGCATCGAGATCTTTGATATGAATCTAAAATCACTGGCTGCGCAGCCATTTGAAGCTCTGTCTAGTGCCTACTTTATACCTTATTGTAAGGCAGACTATGCCGCAGTGGGGCTTGCTGAGGAAGTGGAAGGGGTTTATCTGTCGGCCATTAAGACAGAAACAAAGAAGTACGTTCCTCCAAGCCAGCGTAAGAAGTGAGTAAAGGGCTCTTTGTGCTAATCTAGGTTCTTGGTTATGTCTGCGCGGCGCTGCCGTGCCCTGTTGTACCTGACTAAATCTCGCCAGAACGACTGCACGTTGTAGTGCCTGATCGGCGGACACATGAAAATCATTGCACACCGCAGCATCCAAGGCATACAATTGTGGACTTGTGGTATCTGGTACTTTGAAAAGGAAAGGTACAGGTCTGGATACCCTATAAAGTGCCCAGATGTATCCATAGCCAGGCCATGAAAGCCCTCTACCATATTGCTGTATGAAAAGTCTTTTCCTGCGTATTGTGCCAGGTGCGATATATACGAGCCATGCGAATTACGAATGTCTAGTAACTGAATGATGGCATCAGCTCGAGAAAAATTGCCAGGCCTTGCTGCTGGGCTTAGCAGCAGAATGTTAAGCGGAGTCAGTAGGCCGTCACTTTCATCGTCACTTTCAGTGCTCTCTGCACCACTTTTAAAGAGCTGGGTATCCACTGTCTTAACGGCCAACGAGATGAATGGCGTATACCCTAGACGCTTCAATTCGTTTGTTAGTGACAGGAGGAGCGCATTTATTTCCTCAAAGTGCCAGAGCTCATGGGAAGAGTATAAGGTGAAAAGCTTCACGCCACCATCAATAGCAGCTGCGAGGATGGCGCTCAGGCGGCGCGCGTGTGATGCGCGCTTGCTCGCATTGTGATTGTTTAGCCCTCCTGTGAAGAAGATGTGCTTTGGCACGTGTGCGAGAGATCGAATTCTTGTATCGAGACTCCACATATATGGGTAGAAAACGTTTGCCATGCTGTCCAGGAACACGTACGTGCACAGCCGAACAGATTGGAGGAATGACCGGAGCCCGCTATAGACCCGAAAGACAAAGTTGATCATAGCTGAAGCTTAAATTCACTTATGGCAGTCATCCTCCTCTGAATTGCTAGATTCACGATCTGCATCAATGGAATCTGTGTCCTCCATATCCTCGCGTGCATAGAATCGTGAAGCACCAATGACAGCGCCCAGTTCGTCTAGTATTCCACTATCTGTCCCAAACAGTTTCTCCAGCTCTTCGGGGTCTAACTGATTAAGAAGTACAGGTTTGATAACTGCATAGTCTTCTGTCCGTAGCATGCGCTCGTGAACCTTTGGATCATAAACAAGAAGTCCTCGTCGAGAAACACGGACATTATGGAGCTCTGTCTTATATTTAGCATAAATAGAGCGGTTAAGGTATTGCTTCGCCTCCACAAATGCCTTTTCTTCTTTGCGCAAGACGCGTTTTGGAGCAGGCTCCTGGTCTGCATTCGCTAGGCTTTCTAAGATCGCTTCACTGTTAGCTCTCCACCATGCCTGCGCTTCCTGTAGCTCAGTGGCAAACATCTCGAGTATCTCGCTGTTGGAGAGGGCTCGAGCCCCCCGATACTCGACTCTGTTTCCTGTATTGTCACTGCTCTCTTCTGTGGTGGGCCCAGGGCGTGCGTGTGGGTCTTTTTCTGCGTACCTATAGCTGCCTACGTGCCCACGCATCCTCTTTTCCCATGGTCTCCGTATCTTTTTTATATTTAGCTCACACTTTGTTGATACACCTTGCATCTGCTGTTCTACACGCTCTGCTTCTTTAGCTTGAGAGAGCACTAATTCAATAAGAGATATATCCTGATCACTCTCTGAACCCTCGTCCTCTTCCACATTTCTAAGGTACTCTGCGAAGTTCTCTGGAGGGTTATAGCTGGTATCTGTTATACGGCTGAATATATTTGTTCCTATAGACTCAGAAACCTCCTTATCGATACTATTTACCACATACTCGATCCATGGACTCAATAAGTGCGAAAGCTTTTCCTCTGTGAACGGCTGGCTTTCGTAGGTCTGCTTGAGGCCTCGACGAATCCCATCTGCCCATACATCTGAGAAATGAATCACAAGGGATTTGGGAGATGCTTGTTGAACGATACGAGAGTTACTAAGCAAGACCAGAGAGACGGTATGAATGAGCATATTTGCCTCTATGGCACTTTCATCATAGTTGCTCAGTATTCGCTCTATTAGTGCATAGACAAAGTCACGGACAAGACGCATTACTTTCGACTGGCGCAAATAATCAACAGATGGCCATTCGCGACACAAAGTTTCTAGACCGCAACGAGCAAACAGAACGGCCTGGCCGCCGTAATCAGCGGTATCATCCTCGGTGTCCTCGTCCTCATCATACAAAGACCCTTCATTATCCACCCCTGCAAATTTCATAAAGGCTCTCTCCTCTTTCGGAGAAGGCTCAGGGAGCATATGAATTAGCCCTGATATCCTTTTGCAGAGTGTGAACTGCATGTCAACTTTATCTTCCTTCCATAAGAGATAGTACAGTCCCTTCCAAAGCCGCATCATTGCAAGATAGTCCAAAGGCTCTCGTCGGGTCTGCAACGCCAAACCGTCATATACAGTATCAAAGGCGGTATGCCGTATTGATTTCTTGTCGGAAGCTAGCTCCCAGACGAGCCTGTTAATGTCTAAGGACGGTATGGTTTCGCTGCTCATTTAATTGAAATTAACTGGTGGCATGAGTCTATGCATGCCAGGCCTACTAGCTTTCCCAGAATGGATAATACGAACTCTGGGTCCTTAGGTAGCAGAATAAAATGTTTGCTGATTCTACTAAGGTCAAGCAAGTAGCTTTAGTTTCGAAGGATGACTCTGGCGTGTCAAACATCGAATGGTTGGCTTCTTTATTAGCGCAAGTGAGCGCTGGGGCTCCAGAAGAAGCATCCAAAGTCAGTAGGCCAAAACTCTTCCGGGATAATTCATCAGACCCAATCCGTGCACAAATAGTTGAATCTCTTCTGTCAAACAAGAGATTGCAAGAACTATGCACCAGTCCGCTAAGCATTGCAAGTCTTCTTCGCCACACAAGCTTCATATCACTGTTAGGACAGGATATGAGCAATCAATTAGGTCTTTCCCTAAGCATCCCTGTAGACACACTTCCAGCTGTGGCGGAGATCGCAGCTCTCCTGGAGATCTGTGATGAGGAAGTACGTAGTACACTCCTGCATCCAGCGGATGGATATGCTGCCCTGTTAAGACAGCGTCACGCCATACAGCGGAAGCTTGAAAGCCTTGCCAGCTATGCTCGGGCTTGTTGCTCTATGGCTGACGCAATCCCGTGCCTAATGTCATCACGCCTCGACACAATTCTGGGCCACATAGAACAGAGGTACTTTCAACAGCATTCACTTTAAGTTGGCTCCAGTCTCAATCAGTGCATTGAAAACAATTTGCTCGTGATCTGGGTTATCACCGTTAATAACATTTTGGAGCACAGAAATATCATATGTCCCTTTCAGCGCTGCGTACTCCTCTCGAAGCCGTGTCGACTGATCGTAACCTATCAGAATGGTATCGGCTAACAATTTAGAATTCTTACTCTCAATGGCGATGTTGCACATATGCGCCCACATCTTGTGTACATCTATGCATGAATAGAAAACAATCAGAAATAAGTCAGCAGCGAGCCCAGTAATAAGCCCTTTTTGCTGGACGAGTGTGAGGAGCTCTTTTACGTTGAATCCCTGACCTTCAAGAGCTTTTATGGACGCGACAGAGCGGCCACAAAGAAGCTCTACAAACACTCCTACGACAGAGGCAGAGGCGTTGGCATTCAACAGCTGTGATCTTTTCTCGGTCACGTCGCCATAGTCATCAAATGAGTCGTCGTCCCGGGCGCACGAGAGCAGAGATATGAAGATACGGGAGACCACATTTGAATCAGGGATGTTGGGCGACAGTTTCCGTAGAATCTCATAAATATCCTCTGTGATGTCGGAGAAGTACTGCTGCTTATATGCCACAACGAGCTCATAGAGCTGTTTCTTACTGAGTGTACACAACACTAAACCTAAATGCATGATCGCGACAGCAGGTTCTATGCGCTTGTCGCTCATTGTGACTATATACTCGTGGATAATATTAAGCATCAAGAGCTGCCGTCTCATACATAATCTAGCAAGAATCCGCCTATAATTACTTTCCGTATCAGTAGTTAAAATCTGTTCAAGACTACAGCCAGTCATGGCCTGGTAGCGGAGAGCAACCTGCACAAGGGTATGCTGGGGGACAGAGCAACACAGCTTTATTACTACAGAATCCTTAATTGCGTGGCCGTTAAGAGCGTCGTACAGATCATTGCAAAGTTGAGTAATGCTTGTCATACTTTTTTAATCGAAACGCAAAGCCATGCTATTCACTATCCTGCGCCTCCTCCGCACAGCCACACTCCTCTACGCCTCACTTGCCTATTTGTTTCTCACTCCACGCTCTTTTATCAATGGAGGTTCTATCTTTTCTAGAGAAGTTGCTACAGCTATCGCTCACCACCATCCGGTGATAGCCTTTGATGTTCTACCAATACTTCAAGGACTAAGCTTTCCAGACAATTACAATGCAGTAGCAGAGCTCCGCGCATTCGCTCTATCTGAGGGAGTAACTCCGGCCATAGCGCTGTTTACAAAGGGAACCCCAGTAATCGGAGCCACCCAGGACCTCGTCAAGGAATTTGCGGATAAGAATACAGGGAAGTATAAGAATAGCATGCGTGCGCTCGAAGGAGACTGGGGATTGGTACACACCCTTGGCCTTGACGCGATCCCCACTCTGGGCTTTCTGGCCACAATCGCGCACCGCAATGGGATATCAATTATCTCTGGGCTCTTGCTGGGGGATGCCCCGCTGTACGGAAGTGCAGGCAAGCCGTGGAGTATAGCAGGAGACGTGGCTTCTCTAAAGCATTCGGGAACGTGCAGCGTTATAAGGGGCATTTCACCGTTTGCAAAGCGTGAAGAGGTGCTTCAAAGACTCGATGAGGCACAAATTGTAGTAGTCACTTCTTCCGATGGCTCCTATGTCGCATTTGACACGGAGAAGAATCCAGCCAGCGGCGACAAGTTCCCAATTATCCCCAAAGAAAAGCAAGCTGCAGACTTGCTGTATGCCGTAAAGAAGACAGGCCAGGCAATGTTGTTCATTGTTCGTGAACACTGTTGCGACACCGAGGATCACAACCAAAGAAGGACGTTGAGGGATGACGTGGATAAGATACTTATGGAGATCGGAAGCACAAACTTGCAAGGAGCATCTGCTAGCCAATATTCACATGAAAAGCTAAGCAAGGTCGTTAAAGGAGAGCTCATGGAAAGCATGCGAATGAGTATTCGGACGGCCGCTGCAATAGCACGGTGTGCAACGTACAATTCACGAGGCATCCGAGGGTACTTCGTGTCTTTCTTCAATGTTGTAGCCCACACAGCATATGACCGGGACGACCTAGATAAGCAACCCTTCGAGTGCCGGCGTCTGCCGCTCTACGATACCCTTGCAGCATTCATCAGGAACCCTCTATTTGCGGGGATCTCTGCCCTCTACAATATGTACTTTCTAACAGAACACTCCTCCATTCTATTTTCAGCAGGTCGGTATATCGCATACGGAGTCGTTCTCAATGTCGCGTTGGTAGCATGTGTAAAACAATTTAAATGAAATATCCCCATTTTTTTTGAATTTCTAATAAATAATTGGATGTCCACTAGGAGGGTGTACTTCTTCGGCGAGACGCCAGAGAACCAGCCGGCGAATTCGGAGCTCTGCAGGAAGGTCCTTGGAGGCAAGGGGATTTCTCTTGCAGCCATGATTAAGCTCGGCATGCCGGTTCCTCTTGGGTTCACCATCACGTGCCAGACCTGCGTAGAGTACCAGAAGACAGCCTCCTGGCCCGAGGGTTTGAAGGAGGAGGTGGCCAGTAACCTCAAGCTCCTTGAGGAAAAGATGGGGAAGACTTTCGGGGACAACACAAACCCTCTTCTCGTCTCGGTTCGCTCTGGAGCCGCGGTCTCCATGCCTGGCATGATGGACACGATCCTCAACCTTGGTCTCAACGATGAGTCTGTGAAGGGTCTTGCTGCAGTGACAGGTAACGCCCGCTTTGCGTACGACTCCTACCGCCGCTTCATGCAGATGTTCGGCGATGTCTGCCTGGGGATTGACCACGACAAGTTTGAGCACGCTCTTGACGCAGTCAAGACCAGGTATGGCCGCAAGACGGATCCTGAGCTCACAGCCGATGAACTTGAGGAGGTGTGCGAGGCTTACAGGAAGATCTGTGTCGCAGCCACAGGAAAGACATTCCCACAGTGTCCGCATGAGCAGCTGGAGCTAGCCATCAACGCTGTTTTCAGGAGCTGGACAAACCCTCGCGCGCAGGCGTACAGAACTCTCAACAAGCTCGACCACAACATGGGCACCGCCGTCAACGTTCAGTCGATGGTCTTTGGAAACACAGGCGATGACTCTGGCACCGGTGTTGGCTTCACACGCTGTCCCAAGACCGGAGAGAAGTTCAGCTATCTCTACGGCGAATTTCTACAGAATGCACAGGGAGAGGACGTTGTTGCAGGAATCCGCACCCCCGTCAACCTCAAGGAGATGCCGACCATCAACGCGTCCTGGAAGGCGTGCTATGATGAGCTTTCCTTGATCTACGCCAAGTTGGAGGGCTATTACAACGACATGGTTGACCTTGAGTTCACTGTCGAGAACGGAAAGCTCTGGATGCTTCAGGCTCGCGCCGGAAAGCGTACGGGATTCGCGATGGTCCGCATCGCCATCGACATGTGCAAGGAGGGGATGCTCACGGAAGAAGAGGCGCTGCTCAGGATCGATGCCAACAAGATCAACGAGTTCCTCTTCAAGCGCTTTGATCCGAGCGTCAAACCAGTCGTCCTCGGAAAGGGCATCCCTGCTTCTCCTGGCGCTGCTGTCGGTGTAATTTGCTTCTGTCCAATGCGCACGTGTGAGCTCGCCGAGCAAGGTAAAAAGGTTATCCTCACCCGTATTGAGACATCCCCAGAGGACATCCTTGGAATGGACCGCGCAGTCGGCATTCTCACTGCGCGCGGTGGCCAGACATCTCATGCCGCCGTTGTGGCGCGTGGCATGGGCAAGTGCTGCGTTGCGGGGGCTGATTGCTGCCAGATCAACTATGCCACCAAGACGTTGGTGATTGGGGACAGGAAATTCAAGGAGGGCGACTTCATCTCCATCAATGGAACGACTGGTGAGATTTACAATGGCGCCGTTCAGACCATTGAACCAGGCATTACTGACGACCTCCAGACGATCATGGACTGGTCTGACAAGTATCGTGTTCTGAAAATCCGCACCAACGCGGACACGCCCCACGACGCTGCTGTGGCCCGTAAGTTTGGCGCAGAGGGCATCGGGCTTTGCAGGACAGAGCACATGTTCTTCGCGGCCGACCGCATCATGGCAATGCGCGAGATGATCTTGTCTGATGACGAGGGCGCGCGAAGAACAGCCCTGAACAAGCTCTTGCCATTCCAGCGCGAAGATTTCATAGGCATTTTCAAGGCCATGGACGGCAAGGGCGTTAATATCCGTTTGCTGGATCCTCCTCTCCACGAGTTTCTGCCACACACCAGAGACCTCCAGAAGAAGCTGGCTGAGGACATGAACAAGAAGCACCGCCACATCCACGAGAGGGTGGAGGATCTTCATGAGGTGAACCCCATGCTTGGGTTCCGCGGCGTCCGGCTTGGCATTGTGTACCCAGAGATCTCAGAGATGCAGGTCCGCGCCATTCTTGAGGCCGCGTGCATAGTCTCGCGTGAGGGCGTCACTGTTAAACCAGAGATCATGATCCCTGTTCTTTTCTCTGAAAACGAGATGGAGATCATGCATGCTCTTGTTAATAGGGTGGCAGCTAGCGTTTTCAAGGAGCACGGCACGACTGTTGACTATGAGGTGGGGACCATGATAGAGTTGCCGCGCGCCTGTGTCATGGCTGACAAGATTGCTCAGACAGCTCAGTACTTCTCGTTTGGAACCAACGATCTTACACAGACGACATTCGGTATCTCCCGTGACGATGCTGGAAAGTTCATCCCCAAGTATATCGACAGGGGGATCTTCAAGGTTGATCCGTTTGTCACCCTCGACCAGCAGGGTGTGGGTGCTCTGATGAAGATGGCTATCGAGGGCGGCCGCAGTACGCGCACTGACATGAAGATAGGCATTTGCGGCGAGCAGACGGATCCCGCGTCCATCCTGTTCCTGCACAAGATTGGCCTGAACTATGTCTCCTGCTCCCCGTACAGAGTTCCCGTGGCTCGTGTGGCCGCTGCCATCGCAGCTATCAAGGCTCGCACTAACCAGTGAATACCAGTGTGAATGTCCTGTTTTGCTTCAGGTTGTCGATGTTTACTCCGCAAGGGAGGGGTCTGTGAGCAGGAGGTCGACTCCCTCGTAGAATTCTTTTGAGACGGGGACTATGCGAGCACTAATAGGTATCATGAGCGGAAGAACGTAGACGCTCGTCGATGAGCCCTCATTAGCCCCAAGGTCATAGTCTTGACAAGGAACTCTATCAACTAGTCCCTTTTCAGCAGCTTGAGGAGGGCCCTTTTGCATTTCAACTGAAACAGCTTTATCAAACCCTCTGAGACGAATAGATAGATTATCTAATAGCTCATGCGGATAAGTCATTGAGAAGGGGCACCCGTACGCAGGAACATAGAGAGTAATCAGACGGTTGAGCTGGGAAGAAACAACATATGCTTTGACATCGATTCCCCCCTTGCTTTTGAACTCGGGTGTCTGCTGTATTAGAAGACAAAGCATTGCGCGATGGTTCATGGTCTCTATCATACCTATCTTCAGCTCGATTGCATTGATCTTTTCAACCATGGTGTTTATGGACGAAAAGGAGTAACCTATGGTTGCGATGTCAGCTTCAATCTGATCAAAAATTGCTTGGACTGGAGACTTTTTTGCAGATTGCTCTACTTGTTGCTCAACGTCAGACTCAACATCCTCTACAGAACGAATAATCGAGCTCTTATCGCTATTGTACCGACGCTCAATATCCTTGAGAACGGCTTTGAAACTAAAACTCTTCAAGGATGTACCGACTCGTAACCCTTCTGAAAGAAGCTGCTCTTCGAGAGCTTCCATGCTGATTGTGTCAGGACCAGACTGGACGTTCATTGCATTTGTGTTAGGGTGATATGCCGTTTTTGCTAATCTTAAAAGGGACTTTGGTGGCTGAAACAGGAGGTCCTTATAAATATCCAAGGGCTCAGTAATCACAAATTTATATGGTCTGAAGGTTGCAGCTTGCGAGCAGTGGTATTGAGGATCATCCGCATATACTTGACGTTCCAGCGCTAAGCCAAGATGAAGCAGACGATGGGCTATGTCGTCCGGATAACGCCTTATCGGAGATGTGAAATGCATGTACAGATGAGCGTGTATCCCCCAGTGGGTCAGCAATTTAAAGGGATGGGTGGATCCTACCTGGTAGATGGCCTTTTGCAGGCAGTTCGCCAAGAAGAAGTAGTTCGCCAACTGTACCCCATGCTCCTCACCATCCTCTTGTATTTTCTTCCCCAAGGTATCCAGCCATTTATTAGTCTGCATCAGGCTCTTTGTATCTATTTGAGGAAGCTTTCTATGCCTCAAAATCTGGGTCAATATTTTGCTCTTCTTACAGGTAGGGTGTATCCGAAGGATCGGCAAGGTCGGAAAACAGAGTATCAACTTTTGAGCCACCAGGCAATTCCCCAACAGCATAAACTCCTCAATGAGGTGGTGAGCCTCATCTTCTTCTACTGTCTGTTTCCTGCTGACAATGAGAGTATCTGGATCTATAGCGTAGCGCTCCTCAGGCATCGAGATGAGCAGTGCCCCATAGGACTTACGGAGCTTTCGCAGAGCCAGGGAGAGTTTGTTACTGAGGTCAACACTTAGAGCGACGACCGGAGCGAACCCTTCAATACACGGCCAAAGCCCAAAAATGGACGTTGTTGTCTTAGAAATCTCATCTGGTGTAAAGTCCTTGTTGATGATTCTTTGGGCTGCAGAATAATCCAGACGAGCATAGGAAAAGATAATACTCTTACCAAACCACACTTCTTGAGGAAGTAGCCTTCCGTCAACGTCAAGCTGGACAACGATACTGAATGCCATGCGTGGCACGGCAGGGTTCAAGGAGCAAATGATGTTTGAAAAAAGGGGTGGCAACATTGGGCACACTCGATCTGACAAGTAAATAGAAGACATTGTTTTCTGAGCCATTTCGTCGAGCCACGGAGATTGGTCCAGATAATATGTTGCGTCCGCGATGTGGATTCCAACCTCATAGCCTACAACTGTATAGTTCTTTGTGCCAGGACTGACATAGTTGCTCCAGTACTCTGAAATCGGGACGCGAATAGCGGGTCCAACTCCTGTGGAAACAAGCGGCGAAATGTGGATAGCGTCATCGAAGTCTCTGGCAGTATCGGGATCTATGGTGATGACTACCTCTTCACAAAATGATCGACGGCCAAGACTCTCAAGATCCTTCCTGAAGTGTTCTGTCCTAAACTTCCCAATGAGCGAAGCAAAGTAATCGCTGGAGAGAGACTGCGTGGATGTGACTCCTTCTTGCGGCAAGTTGCAGAGTTGGCTTAGTTGGGCGAGTGCAGAATCGTAAACGGGCTTGTAGGGATCCGAGCTATGATGATCGGGAAAGGTGTAAGGGAGTTGCTGGGAACTCAGGACATGGTTGCACAACTTATCTAAGGGAGTGGTACATAAGCATGGACTAAGTATGTTTATTGATCCGTTGCGGTTGTTGGGTAGGATGTGCCCCTGTGGATGAGAGTCAGAAAAACGCCATTGTGTTGCTTCTACGGTGAATACCATATCATGGGATTGATAGCTATCCTTTAAGGACACACTTATTGCTGGGTATCGCTGATCCAAAGGATGGAGCAACTTAGTCGTTTTATTCCCGCTATTGGGGAGCAGCTTACACTGCAAACAAAGATACCTATTTTTGACAGCAGTGTAATTATAGACAACAACACCCTCATACCGTTGGGTCACCATTACCAGTTCTTGGTCAGTGGGGGTGTTATCTAGCTTCCAGTCACATATAGTTTTAGATGTGCTCATCTGGTTCTCTAGGATAAATACTAGGACTTCATCGTCGTGAATGGAGCGATTCAGGGCCACTTTGGACGAGAGGTGGATGTTTGCATTGTGGTAGGTGCTATAGACAGTGCCGTGTCCATACTTCTTGGGGATTATTAGTTTTCCTTTGATGAACAGGGCTGGATGCTCTTTTAGCGCTCCATTGACGTCTTCAAGGCTCCAATACTTTGTAAACCCGGATGATTCGGAGTAGTCCCGGAGCTCAGAATCTGACGTATTAGATGAATCTGGTGGAGTTGCATGCGATAGCCCCGAGGTGTATTCTCGTGAGCGAGAGATTCCCTGCTTGTAGGTCTTCTCTAAGAAGCTCATTGAACTATATTTAAAACCAATCGGCGATTGAAATTAAAATGGCCCGGAAGAAGACAGACATTCCAGAAGACCCCGCCCTTAGGAATGAGTACTTTAACAAATTTGCCGCCTCTGCACTATACGATGCTGATTATATTGCAATCTATCTGGACGCCCAGCTTTCAGCAGAAACAGGAATACCGTCGATTTCTTCTCTCTTGACTCATCCTGCTTGTAGAGCTCAAAATCTGACCATCGATGCTTTTGTGACTACGCGTCCCTTCATGGAGGAAACTGTATCCGAAGCAGCCATTGCTTCTGGCAAACCAGGGGCAAATCTTATGCTTACCAATCCTAATCTGTTCTACGGATTTTGGGGCACGCAGTATAACTCCATAATGGATATAGATCCTGGAAGCTTCTACCCTACAGTTCTCGGCTGGGCATATAGCGTTTTGGGCAAACAACCCATACCCGTTGGAGATACTAAGTCGGCAAAGAAGCCTCCGGCTAAGTACCAGATAATAACAACGTGTGTCGATGGGCATGGGCTGAAGGCCATAGAAGCCTATGAACCCACCTTCAAAAGCAACTTTACTGAGTTAGATGGAAGTCTGACTAATTGGGTTTGCGCTCGCCCGTGCCAAAAGACCCCTTGGAGCTTTTACAAAGAGTTCCGATTTCCTGTCAATGACAATCTACTTGTCGAAGACCAAATCATCAGGCAGGGGCGCGATCTATCGGACCCTGCACCTCAGAGCCTACACACTATCACGAGCTTCAAACGGAAATATGGAGGCTCTGGAACTACCAACACATCTATAGAGAGGATACAAAAGCCCACCAGCGCACACCCTCGTTGTCTCCAGTGTGGCTGTCTTGCTCGACCACAACTTAAACCGGCAAACCCAAAAGGTAGCCAGCTTCCGACGCCTATAAAGACATGGTATACAACAGTATGTAAGGATATTTGGCCTGAGCTAGATGGTGAGGCCATGGACATCATTCTGCGACATCACTACACGTACCTACCTGCCAATAAGAAGCCCCCCAAACCTCGTGGGGGATGCCGGCGGAAACTGGTCATAATAGAACTGGGCTGTTCCTCTAAGTCAGCCCTTATCCGCGCTGAGCACGACAGGGTTCTAGCAGAAGGCAAAGGGACTGTTAATTTGATCAGAATGGGTAAGAACGAAGGCGATCTTCAGCGAGATACATCCATGGATGAGCAGGCGATTGAGCAGGCGAAGGCAGAACGGGTTGAGATAAACTTTGAGGCACTATATTATCCCATCGTCGCCCCCACAATAACGGACGGAATTGCTACGCTCCAAGAGTTCATTGATACACGTGATAGCTGGATTCAAGAGTGGGATGATCCGAAACGCCGTGCTTTGAGATACTCCAAAAAGAAGTGAATTATATGGATTACCTGAGTCCTACCCTGAGCTTCACTGCCAAACTAGTAGCCGTCCTTCCTGCAAAGAATGACAATGTCTATGTGCGCCTGTCACATTCGTATTTCTTCCCCCAGTCTGGGGGCCAACTTGGAGACGTGGGGTCCATTGGAGGCCTTCCTGTCATCACAACTAGTTGTGACGAAGAACATCGACCTCTTCACCTTATGGCCACGGCTCCTCCGAGTGATATAGAACTGGATTGCAGCGTCAATGAAGTGTATCGTAGACAAAATAGTATATCCCATACTGGGCAGCATATCCTTAGCGGTGTTGCAGAGCAATGCTTCCAGGCAACCACGTCTTCATACACGATGGGTCCAGACCTTTCTACACTGGAGTTAAGTGTCAAGCTCGACATGGACAAGCTTCTTGAAATAGAAAGTCGAGCAAATGATATCATTAGACAGTGCATACCAGTGAAGAGCATCTTGATACATTCGGAAGAGGAACTTGGAAAGTATTCGGAACTATCGAGGCCCAAGCTCAAATCTCTCAACTTTCCACTGCGGGTTGTGGATATAGAGGGCGTCGATACATGTCTTTGTTGTGGAACACATGCTGGCAATACGGGTGAGTGTGGTCTAGTCAAGGTTTTTGGATGCGAGTCTAGCAGAGGAGGAGTTAAAGTGCAGTTTGCTGTTGGTGACCGAGCCGTTTCACTTATAAATAATCGGCTGAAGACATTATCGATCATATGCGCGAGTCTCACAACTGGACACGATGCTGTGGCTAAAAGTGTAGAAGCGCTCTTAGCGGAAGGCAAAGTCCTGAAAACGCAAGAGAAGTCCCTTGTTAAGGCAATTATACCGCTAATAACACCAGTAGGGACGTGCCTTTGCATGGGTACGGAGTTCTCCGTTTTTAATACCCACGATCTAGGCGTCTTGACTCAATCAGACGTAACGAAGATCGGGCCTGCACATACGGTCTTATCTATAGTTGTGATTTATAAGACTGGCACATGCTCGTGCGTATACGTTAACTCGCCTGATGATGTGGTGGCCAGCACCCTTGCATCTCATATACAGGGGCTGATAACAGATCCCAGTGCTTTCGTGGGAGGAGCTAGGGGCCGTTACAGCGTCCGTTACGTGCGCGTACTCAAAGACTCTGAGCTAGCATCCTTGGTCAGTTCATCATTGCAGATTGCTTTAGTTAGTAAATCCTAGTATTTGGAGATTCTATCTACTAACGTCACAATTCAGATTGGTGTATATTGATAAAAAATATTGACCAGAATCATTGTTGCTTCGCACTAAACCCGGTATCTTCACACCTAGATGATTAAGGCACTACGCATACATCAAGTGATCGGATTGTAAATTAATACATTCAGATTCTGTAACGTGTTATGAACGTGTGTAGAGCTGCTGGCTATGTTCAAAGCTAGTTTAAAGTAACAGTAACGACATGAATAATGAGATCACGAGGTAGCGAGTTAAGAGTAACTTCAGAAAACAGTGTGCTCCTTAACACTAAAGGCATGTGATAACCTCTGCACAAACGTTACTGTTGTGAGCTACAGAACTAATAGGATGTTCTACAGAAGGCTTGCTTATCTAATCTTACCCTAACTCTGTCCATTTAGTCGGCCAGCTCCACCACATGTTTCATGGCAGCAATCATCTATCTTGAAATAGCACCAAACGCAGCTACAACAGCATCTAGTAATCTATTTCCAGCAAATAGCTTTGTTGATGCTTCATACAATTAAAGGTGTTAAGACAGTTTAAAATTTACCTATGCCATTTGACTTCACACCTAACTATGACGTCTTCCAGCTGGATGACTTGGCATGCCACCTCATCATGCAGCGTAGGACTGCCACAGAAGGCGCCGAAAAGACAGGGTCTGGTCGCCACTCCCCAGCCTCGTCTGAGTCCTGGGATGACTTTAAACAGATTGCGGATGTAATTTCTGATGACTTAACGGCAGACCTCCGACAGATGCTCGCCGAGCTGGATCCATATGACCAGCCCTGGGTCGCTGTTTACCGCAGCTCAGACTATGCACGGTTTCCTCGGGATTGTGCCATTGTAGGAAGCCGTGAGCGGCTCTTTGCCTATAGCGATCGACGAGTCTTTGATCTCACAGAGTATGTGGAGAGTCCCTATGACCTGGAGGATCTACGATTTCAGAACTTCTGGCTGTACCAAACCGAAGCAGGCGACTACTTTCTAGTATGGACACTTGCATGTGAAAATGAGAAGATAAGCACAATTTACACGGTGTTCCTTTTTGATGCAGACGATAATATAGTTGTCATAGGCCAGGGGAAGATAGATGCATTCGTCAAGAAAATGAGCCTCCAAGGCACAAATATAGACTTTATTGACAATGAAGGGGAGCCAGGCTCAAGTAAGCTCAACGGTACCATCATATGAATTTACTACCCTCGGCATCCCTCTGCGTAGGACAACTAGATGTTAGACTTGGAGATGCACGAAGTGAGTAACGCACTTGCGAGGTCGACAGCCTTGGTGGCTTCTTCAATAAATTCCGTGTTTGAGGTCCGTTCTCTTTCAATCCGTATTAGAGTGCCCGCGCCCTCTTCGATTACAAAGGGCAGATCGCCGTTGATGATGAGCTGGGATAGGTATTCCTTTGCTTCCTCTTCACTCATATTAATGAACCCTGAAACGTGTGACAATTCGACACGCTTGTACGGCCGCAGCATCTTCAGAATAAAATTCAGTGTTTCAGACCTTCTGATAATTTGAATAACAGTGTAGACCTCAAACGCTGCATTTTTCACCGCAAGCACCTCGTCCACTAGCGTGTTAAGCTGCTCGAGGAGGAGCTTGTTAAGCTTCCCATCAAGGAGTATCCCCAGCTTCCGAATCTTGGGTAAGATTGCATTGTCTGCGTCTACCATCCACTGAGGGAAACGGGCGATCTTCTCTGGGGTCGCGTACTTCCGTCTATTCTGCAGAACTGCGTCTACCTCGAAGAAACGTCTCTGGAGTGTCTTGACCAGAAGGAGCTGCGAAACACAGGGATACCCTAAGTTGGATGCCTCTTGATAGTAACCTGCAGCACCCGCGTAGTCATCGCTACATATGCAAACGCATCCAGAGACTGCGTCCATGCGAGCGTGCATCTCTGGGGAGAGTTTGATGTTCATGGCGCGTGCAGACATCATGTAAGATCGGGCCTTGCTATAATGCTTTATTCGTGTGAACGTCTCTGCAGCCAGGAGGTGTGTCCTAATTAGAGCGGCCGAAGGGTCTCGGCCCCGAGCCTCTGTTATCAAACTATCAATCATCGAGGCCGCTTTTACCCAAGTGTGCATGTTTTCCATGCGTAGAAGGCCGTCTACCTGGTCCTGTACGGCCCTGGTAGAAACAAACTCAAGATTATGCTGCCTGCCCCACTTTTCTAGCTGCTCCTGGAGGTGGACGGTTGTAGAATAATCTACTGTCTCTGCTAGATAATGTGCAATTATCTCCTGTGCCAAAGAAGCTATCCGAACTACTGGCAGGGCCGGAGAAGGAGTCGTGGCCAGCAGAACAGGCAAAGCCTTCTCTACAAGTTCGGGCGCTATAGATGTAGATAGCTCAGACCACTTGTGGCCCACATCTACGTCCAGCAGAACCCCACTAGTCAGCTCGGTGAGCAAGTCTTCGCCAGGACAAGCCGTTGTAGTCACGGCTGAGGTGGCCATTTTTTTAGATCAAGGAAACACATGCCACCCAGCGAATGCATTCTGCACCGAATATGTAGGCACGCTGGATTCAAAGACCCAATGCCAGACATAGTGTCACTGCATAATTTTGGCAACAAGGAGGAGCTCTATCTGGAGTTTCTCTCCATTGTCTCAGACGTTCTCTCACTCGAAGACATTTATGTGGACGGCTCTAAGGAGCGAAGGAGCCACACTAGAGAGTTTTCTCCGCAATATACTGAGAAGCTCAAGGCGTTCGTCTCCATAGCCAAGCTGATGAAAACCTCTGACTTTGACGCCCTGTGCCGAGAGGCGGAAAGGAAAAGTAGTGAAAAGCTAGCCGAGCTTAATACGTTTCTCTATCAGCATAGGATAGAGCTAGGGAGAGAAAATCCAGATACGGACGAATACTACGTTCTTCGGCAGGGACCACGAATGGATAATGTACTCCGAAATGATCCGGTACAGAACAACATCCTCATCGATGCGTACCAGCGTGGGCTCGTTGATAACAATAGGGAGATATCTGCAGAGCAGGACCATCGACAAAGTGGCGTCAATAGAGGTAAGAATCTCACACAGAGCGCCTTCTACAAAGTGCATCGAAGCAATCTGTTCTCTCAAAAAAATGACAGCGAGAATAAATGATCTGTTTAGTCTTATTATCGCTATTGCTGAGGGGGTATCACGGGCTCTCCTGCATCAAGCCTAATGCAACGCTGACGTTCCTGCTCCAGAATCGTGAAATACAAATTGAAACATGGCCTCCCAGTGCCGGAGGAGATGAAAGCTGCAAATCATTGGTTGGAGAGGTAACTTTAGGGGTAATCACTCCTGGCGGCAGTTTCCGCCTTACCAGAGAGTACAACCCGTTCTCCTACCAGAGTATAACTTTTAATTGTTCTGCCTTCACAATTAAGAACAGCAACTGTACCTCTGTTTTGTCCGACCAGACACGGTCAGCGACCCTTGAGCTGCGATCAAGTCAGCTGGACACCGCTCTAATCATCTCAGAGCCCATAACAGTCATTAGAACGGTCAACCTGGACTATTTAAATTGCTGGAACAGCTATCAGTTCACACACTCCTACAACGAGATGGAAAAGGACTACTCTGTCTGCCTCTATGTGGTCCCAAACTTCTGTTTGTTTCCAAAGGCGGCTACCCGTGCCGCAACAGCTACGTTGAAGATCGTGGTTAATGGTACAGCAACGAGCCTGCAGGTACCGCCCAAGGTCAATCCTCCTATCGATGATACTGGCTTCACGATCCCCTACAGCCACACGAAAGTGCATAGCTACTGCTATAACTGCAGCTCTATCACAACTGAAGCAGATCGAGCCAAGTGTCAAGCCTTTGTCGTCTCCCTCTTGACTACTACCGAAATGCAGAACACATTCACCTTGTCCATGGAGTCCATAGAGGATACTAGCAGCGTTGTTATTCCTATTTCTCTATCTCTAACTTCTTCTTACATGACGGCAGCTCAATACAGGGACTGCTTCTTAGATGCAATTCTTTCTATTTACAATGACCGTCTTTCCGTCACGCTTACGGTAGATACCAATAACCCCCTCTGCAAGCACCCCTCTGGGTACAGCGTAGGGTACACTCTTCTCAATATCAAATCAGCAGAAGGAGATGATTTATTTTCACGTGGTCATGAGCTAGACGACTTTGATTTTCTTCCGTCCTACCTAACGTGGTTCATCTGCAGCAACCAATCTTGCATTGATACTATCAATCAACTCATCCCACTAACAGATACCCTCACGTCGACTCTCAGTATACGGATGTACAACCAGTTTAACGAGCTCCTCAACGCAATGACAGTCCCTGTGACCAAGTATGTTATCATGTGCTGGAGCGCAATTAGCTTCTACATAGGAACCGACAATATCAGGCTAGAGTTTGAGCTGACTACACAAGGAAACTGTGAGGAGGTAGAGGCTCAAATCAGCTCCATTCCAGCCGGGCAGAAGATCCCAATGAAGGTTATCCTGTATCGAAACGAGTACTCAAACGTTGAACAGCGGAGCTTGACGGAAATAGCAACGTTTTCACGCAAATTAACACACCTCAACCTCAGCGAGCCGCAGATCATGACATGCGATAACTGGGTGCGGAAGACCCAGGGGTCCTCGTGTCTCGCCGACCTGGCCACCGTGCGGAATCTGATCAAGGCAAACCGACTCATCGCCATCGGGTTCCTGGCTGACTCAGAGCTTGTAGCAAGCAACTATTATAAGGCCGATCGTACAGGGATTAACGTCGCCACTGGATGCTTTGTTGGGTTTGCTCTCATCGCCGGGGCCACAAGCGCTTCAGTTCTTTTTTCACGGTTCAGAAAGAACCCCATGCCTGCTGATGAGGAACTAAAGCTGCAGCAACAGCGGCGTGAAAAGCGTAAGCAACAGAGGGCCGAAAAGAAACGAAAGGCCAAGGAAAGTCAGATCATCTAGCCTTTGCTATTATCGACTTTGCAGTACCACTTCTCAGGGCGTGGATGGGAGTGGTTCATGTGTAGTCGTCGAGTGCGTCATACGTGCCCTAGACTCTAGACACTTCTTTTACATTTGCTAATCCAATTAAAAAACGTTCTGCACATCGTCCATTAATAGATGGGGATATCTGGTCTCTTAACCGCTATACGGAGAGCACAATGGATTAAAATCACGCAGCTACGCGGAAGTTCCTTCGTTATCGACGGACACTGCTTTCTACATGCGGCAGCAATATTAGACCCAAAGGCGTTAGTTCTGAAAAATAACATTAGCGGAGTTATAGATGTGATGGTTCAGCTTGTAGGATCCATCTTGCCATCTGCAACGTTCGTTACCCTTGTGTTTGATGGAGGTTCCCTCCCCAGTAAGACCTTCACTAACTCTCGGAGAAAGCAGGCCAGAGACGCGAGTCTTGCACTTGCAGAGGCCTATTCCTCAGCAGGTGACTCAGAAGAGGCTGAAAACGCCCTCAAAAAAGCAATTTCATTTAGTAATCTGCAGGTGTCACGAATCGCCAATGGTGTCTTCAAACGGCTCGAGAAGCACGACAACTTTGCAGTGCTGATCGCTCCTTATGAGGCAGACGCTCAAGTGGCCTACTTGCAGAAACTTGGCATGGGGGACGTCATTGTCACTAACGACTCAGACATTTTGCTTTATGGTCCTAGGAAGGCATTGTACAAGTACAACTGGCGCACAGGTACAGGTTTCCTGTCTACCATAGACGATCTTTATCTAAACGGCTTTGAATCCCTTAATACACCTAAGGTCTCTTCACGGGTTGCTGCTTTGGTCGACAACACGGAGCCAAATAGAATTGCTACTGGCACTGTTCTCGCCAGGCATCTACGCTTTCAGCAGGCCTGTATTCTCAGTGGATGTGATTATACCCCAAGTCTGGTGGGAGTAGGCTTGATAACGAGCGTGAATACTGTGGGAAAAACGGATGGGATAGTGTCAGCGGCGCAGATCTTGCGCTATGGCCACCACAAAAAGCTTCCAGGAGATGTGGAGTCCTTTGATGAGTACGTTCACTTAATTCTACAAGCGTACTTGACATTTAGGTACCATCATGTCTTCGATCCTCTCTCCTTCGAGGTGGTTCCGTTTCACCCTTTCAATGAGGAAGATGGGCAACTCATCAAGTTTCTCAATCAATGGTGTTACGGCGCGCCGTTTACCCCCTTTGAAGCGTGTCTAGCGTGTACCGGCATCCTTCATCCGTTGCCCTTTACAAGATCAATAGATAATAGCTCTCCAGAATGTCCGCCATCCACGTCGCGCAAGCCACGCTCTGATCGCTCTAATCTTCCAGTTCCCCTTGCACTACAATACCAAACACTAAAAGAGGCCCAAAACGACCTGAGGAAGCGGTCCACAGACGATAGCACATCCCCAAGTAATGCAGCAGACCTCTGCACTGTACTGTATAGACATCAGCTTGACTACTTTGACGAAGGGTATATAGACAGGTGCTTTCGATCTCTTCAGCGGTTGCACTATGCTGCTGCACGATCGGCGCTGAGAAAGCCAGTGTCAGACATGTCTTTCCCGTGTAGCACCACTGTTTCTCTAGCCTCTGCTGACGGACTACAGCTACTCAATGGATCTGTCCAAAGTTCATCTAATTTATATACGGATCCCATAAATATATTATCCTTCCGAAAGGCCTTTTCAAATCCTTCATCTGACCAGCAAGCAACGCATGATCCTCATGCGAAAATGATCACCGCTTTTAAGTATGACGCATTTACATCTGAAACAATTACACACAACACTGTAGTATCTCACACTGCAAGGGATAAGCTTGCAGCGGTTGTTGATGAGTGCTTCCAAACTACTCAGCTACATAATCATAGTGCTCTTAGCAACGAGTTATTCACGGCATGTTCAGTATCACCGAAAAAAGATCCTAGCTCGGGCCGGAAACCAGACAATATATTTTCTTTACTAGAAACGTCAGAACGAGAGACCAGAAACTGCCCTACTATTTCATCCAAAGCCTCAACCGAGATTCTATCGTCCCCTCTAGCGTACTCATGCCCTGGGTCTTTTCACAATGATGTCAACGGCCTTATTCTGGAATCGTCTGGATCGACCAATCCGGAGTCCGTTAAACCTTGTGAGAACGGCCTCCCTCCCCCACTTCAATCCGATGATAATAGCTCATGTGGCCCTCGTTTACACAAGCAGGGCGGATTCTTCTCTGCTGACCTACATGTTTTTGACGAATGAGAGTTCAATAGAGAAGTGCACGGGCACACTGCCTTCAGTTTTCTGTGAGAAGCTCTTCGGCGATATCCACATCCCCGAACAGATCTCCGGTATTAGAACTTACTCTATTATTGCTTGCCTCGAATCGATCCTGACCTGCTCTTGATCCAGGTCCAACGGCAGCCACTGAGTTCCTTCTCTCCTGCTTGACAAATTCATCGAGTTCTCGGTCTTCCGTTACCTCTGGTACCTTATTGTTAGTTAGCTTAGTGAGCTTTTCTGCCCACTCATCTGCTTCTTTGTGCTGTCCAATGTTGTTTAGTGAAGAGATCAAGTGGGTCATGGCAGTGGTGTTGGTTGGAAATCTCTTAAGAATATGTTTGTACTCGTAGATTGCATCCCTATATTGCTTTGACTTCCGCAAACAAGCGGCAACGGCAAGAGACCATTTGGGCGTCGTCGTGTCAACTCTGCTAGCCTTCTCAAAGCACACGCGCGCCTGTTCATACAGCTCATTCTTGATATAGTGCGACCCCAGCCAGTTAATAACTGCCAGACTGAAGGGTACAAGCCTGTGCGCCTCTTTGAAATAGTGTGCAGCTTGTCCCTCGTCGCCGGCTATTGAGTAAAGCTCGCCCAGTCTTATGTAAATACTGGGGTCATAGGCTTTGACTGCTGAAAACATTGTAACCAAGTTGCTGAGCATTTGGATTGCCTCGTCGATTTGTGACATTCTGGCAAGGCAGTCTGCGCTCATGTAAATAGCATCTCCATAGCTTGGAAGTTTGCTGGCAACCTTCTGGAAGCAGGAGTATGCTGTTTTGTATTCTTGTTGCTTGAAGTAAACCAGCCCTGCGTTGTAAGTAGCTTGAACGGACTCCATATTGATCTCCTGAGCCTTGAGGAATTCACGCAGAGAGAGCTCCCACTGGTTAGTCTTACTGTAGGTACATCCAAGATTAATGTGGGCAAAGGAATCGTAGGGGTCTATTTCTAGAGCAATCTGGGCGTGCCTTGCGCTCGCCTCATAGTCTCCCTTGAGGTAGTAAATAAAGGCGATGTTAGTATGGACCCCTCTGGGCACAAACGCTGCGTATGGCTGCTTTTTGGTCCCATTATCATCGTCAGTTTTTAACATGTCCACTTCGGGTGCCCCGCGGCTGGCAACTGCATCCCTATCGACGACGGATTGTTGATTTGCCAGAACACTGGGGTCTATTCCGAGCAAGTGCAGATCACTTTCCTGGTTAGTCACAGCCGTCGCAGCTGCAGTGAGAGAAAGGTTACGTGTCTTCTGCAAAATAGACAGCGGCACGTTGATCCCCAGAGCAAGGGCGCTTTCGAGTCCTTCGCGATCAATGCGAAGCATGATATCTGTGGCTTTCTCAAACTCATTCCTCTTGAGAAGTGTTAGCGCCATCGACATTTGGACTTGCAGAGAGATGCCATGGTGACCCTTCTCCCGGAGAATATCGCTGAGCTTCGCGTAGCCCTGGGACTCTTCCCATGCGATAGCTGGTGCGAGCAGGCGTGCACTGATTAGAAGCTTGTTTGTATGCTCGTGTCGAAGCGTCGCGTTGTAGCGGCTCAAATCATCCAGCTCGTCGTCATTGCTCATATTGCACAGCTCAGCATCTGCCATTGCTATCTGCTTACTACTGATCCCGTTGTGATGGTCATCAATCTCGAGACTGTCTGGGTGGTCGCTAATGAGAATACTAGAGTCTATTAAGCGAGAATAAGCATCGATCATCTTCTCTGGAACACCTAGGGCATAGTATCCTATTAACACTGTGTATAACGGATCAAAGCGGGTCGTCATCGCATAGAAGTTCTGTCTTTCGACGTCAGTACCCACCGAACTGGCCAATGTGTACTGCTTTATGAGATACTCCTCGATACGATCTACTGCGTCCTGCCATCTGTGTAACTTAATGCATGATTGAGCCATGTGGCTCGCTATCTTTTGTCTAAAGCGGGGTAGGCTGGGGGAAGCCTGATCGATAGCCATTCTGAAATTCTTCAATGCTTCGTTATACTTTCCAAGGTTGTGATTTATGTTTCCCATGTTGAACCGTATCTGGGCGAGAGTTGCGCCTTCCGCTGTCTTGACAATCTTCTCATACGTCGAAAGAGCCATTTCCGGCTGCCCGCCAAGAGCCTGAATTTGAGCCCAATGCATCCATATACACGTACGCAAATCCAAGTTAATGCTATCAGCAAGCCCGTTCATGGTTCTGTGCTGTGATACCTTTTGCTCCAACTTGATCGCCTCACGAATTCTGCCCAAAGCAGTAACATAGTCTTTACAACTGGCAGCACTCATTCCGTCGCGAAGCAGCTTAAAAATATTGATCTCCATTTGATCGGCCTTCTGTTCTGGAGAATCCTTCGGGGGTTCTGGTGGGAGTTTGTCAAAAATACTCGCTACCCCTGCTGTTGCCAAAGGATTCTTTGTAAAGCCAGCTGCAGTCATGGAAGTCATAGGGCGAGCCGTGCCGGCAAACGTCATGGTCTGGAGCCTACTCTGCGGACGCCAATTCTGCGTCATCTGGGATTTTTTTACTATAACTTTATCTGTCTTAGCGAATGATTCCATTGGCCACACCCAGCCTGTCATCCGAGGCCCGGCGCTCTCTGCTGCCCTTTGTATTCGTTGCTACTCTCTTCTACCGTGCATCATACCCACATGCAGAGGTCCTGCAGGGGTCAAGACGTGGGAGGCCAGAATAATAACTTATAACGCATGCACGGATACGAAAGCCGCTAGCGAGAATGCACAATCATTCCTTGCTCCTTGTTGCCCGTGAAGTCCGTTACACACCGAGGAGCACTTGTACCCAGACCCACGAAGATGGTCACTGAGCAGGACTCATCTATGACAATTTACTACCTAAGTTTATGTTTAGATCTACGCCTTACCGCGGCAAATAAACCACCAGCAGAGGAAGCCCACGAGGCCTCCTACAACAACGACCACAGCGACGGAGATCCCCGCGATGGCCCCCGTGGAGAGCCCGCTCCTGTTGGTGCCAGAGGACGCACAGGAGGTCCCACTGCTGTCAGGGCTGTATCCATCGTTGCACACACAGACAGAGTCGGTGTCAGTGGAGTTGCTGGGACACTTATCCACGCATGACTTCCTCCCAGGGCTCACCTTCTTACCATCACTACATGCCTCGCACATGTTGTCTCTATTGCAGTGCGAGCATCCATCGATGGTACATGTGAAGCACCCACTGCCATCCTTGTTGGGCTTCTTACTATTGTCACAAGAAGTGCATATAGCAGCAGCCATACCACCATCAGACAGAGCTGCTGGGGCTGTGCACTGTGAGCAGCCATCCACCCCCACGTATGCCTTAGCAGTACCTTGAGGGTCTACTAGTGTGCCTAGGGGGTTGCCACAGGCTAGTACAGACTGATCAGTAGCCTTTGCTTCTGGGACTACGAAGTACCTATCATTGGCATTGGGAGTAGTACAGACACCAGCTGTTGTTGCTTCGGAGCACATGAGGCTACCAGGCACCTCTGTTGCTTTATAACAGCCACCCATATAGAGGAAGTAGTTGTTGGTGCACCGCGTACATACACCATCGGCGCAGGTATTACCTGCAAGTGCATTGGTGCACTTCCCATTAATGGGGCCATAGCCGGCGCCAACACACTTTGAACAGTAAGAGAGCATGCTGCCGTCGTTGCCGACCACGATGGCGTCGCAGGCCCCTGCTGTCCCCCCGCATGCAGTCTCATCTTCACAGGTCTTTGTACACGTATAGTCATCCCCTGCATCTCCATTAAGCTGTTTCTTATAGTTAGGCTTACAGTCAGTACATTTGAATCCACCACTGTTAGAGCATGCACTGCACCCATCGCGGCCACCATTTGCTGTATCACTACATGAGATGCACTCACCAGAGGAGCTATCCTTCAAGAAGTACCCTTGCTTGCAGGTCGTGCATTGGTCTTTTGTATCCTTAGCACAGGTGGCACAGTTCTCACCACAGGCTGTGCATGTAGCGGTATTACCACTTGCACTATTGTAATATCCATCGAGGCACTTTGTACATGTAGTTTTAGAGGAGCAGGTATCACAACCTAGAATCCCACCATTTTTAGTATCACCACATGGAACACAAGCTTTTGGAGATTGTTCAAGGAAGTGCGTATTGCCACTTGTGCACTCTGCCTCCGCAACACACGTCGCTGACCCATCGGGGTTCACCTTAAGAAGCAGGTTTCCTCCACTATTACACCCAGTGCACACAGGCTTCTGAAGAGTGTCGCTGTATGCACACGTAGCACATTCATTGACACTTGTGTCCGTGCAGGCCTTGCATTGGCCTGTTTTTGGGTCTGCATACTTACCATTGTCACATTGATTAGCATCCACACACTTGTCAGCCTTCAGGAACTTCCCCTCAACGCAGGCGGTACACTGAGTCGGAGTATCAGCTGAGCAGGCAGAGCAGCCCTCTCCGCACTTCACACATGCACTGTCCTTCGTAACGAACCCTGCTTGACACTCTGTACACGTGGCCGGTCCGCTAGTGCCCGTGTGGGAGCATTCTGAGCATCCAGCGACTCCCATGACCCCGTTTCTATCTGTCGTATCAGAGCACAGTATGCACTCACTACCCTTCTCTGATGGTGCAGCCGGGTTCTTGAACAGGCCGTTATCTGCCTTACAAGTAGTGCATACTCCATTACTGGCTGCTGTGCAGATATCACTCCACTATCACCCTCTATCACACACTATCACCCATTATCACCCTCTATCACCCACTGTACAGCATTCACTACCTAAGTACCTACGCCTTCCCCCTGCACACGAACCACCAGCAGAGGAAGCCGACGAGGCCCCCCACAACAACGACCACGGCGACGGAGATGCCCGCGATGGCGCCCGTGCTGAGCCCGCTCCTGTTGGCGCCAGAGGACACACACTTACCATTGTCTAGACTGAAGCCACTGTTGCACTCCCCACACACACCGTCCATCACACAGCTCTTGCAGTTGGTGTCAGAGCACAGCACACACCCGCTGCCATCCTTGTTGGGCTTCTTACTATTGTCACAGGAGGTACAGACAGCGGGGGTCATGCCACCCTCAGACAGACCTGCTGGGGCTGTGCACTGTGAGCAGCCATCTATTCCCACATATGCCTTAGCGGTACCTTGAGGATCTACTAGTGTGCCAAGGGGATTACCACAAGCTAGTACAGACTGATCAGTGGTCTGTGCCCCAGGGACTACGAAGTACCTATTACCATCATTAACAGCAGTGCACTTACCACCTTCAGCTGTCTTGCATATGTGACTACCGGGAGCCTTCGACGCATCATAGCACCCTCCCATATAGAGGAAGTAGTTAGCAGCGGCACAAGACTTGCAGACACCATTAGCACATCCATCATTTCCCTCGTTAGTACTTGTGCATTTTCCATTAATGGGAGCTTGTGAGCTATCTCCACAGTATGAACAGTAGTGAAGCTCCTTTCCATTCTCATTGATCACTATGGCATCACAGGCACCAGAGGTACCACCACAAGCTGTAGGATCCTCACAAGTCTTGGTACATGTGACAGAGCCAGGACTGCTATCGCTCTGCTTGCGATAGTTGGGCTTACAATCGGTGCACTTGAAAGTATTGCCATCATTCGAGCAGACACTGCAGCCATCGATGCCACCTTTGGTTGTATCACTACAAGGAACGCACTCCTTTGTTCTCTGACCATCCTTAAGGAAGTACCCTGGCTTGCACTTTGTACACGTCCCCATGTCTTCCGCAGTGCATGCGCCACAGTTGTCTACACAGGGCTTGCATGTAACAGGGCTACCACCGCTACTGTAATATCCCTCCAGGCATTCTGTGCAGACTGGGGCTGCGTTAGAATTCTCTTTTTTACATTTGCCGCACCCCTCGACTCCCTTATTGGCCGGTTCGCTGGTATCGCTAACGTCGTTACACAGTAGGCACTTGTCACTGGTTGTGGTCAGAAAGTGCGTACCTGCGACGTTATTTTGAGCGCACCCATTTGCCTCAACGCACGTTGTCGTCCCGTCGGCAGCAGTTCTTATCAGCTTCCCGTTACAATTGGTGCACTTCGGCTTCCCCGTGGCATCATTATATTCACATGCGGTGCACCCAGCTATGTCGGGATCACATGCCTTGCAGGTCCAGGTCTTCTTGTCTGCGTACTTATCAGCACCACATTGATTAGCATCTACACAAGTGTTATCACCCTTCAGGTACTTCCCCTCTGGACACGATGTGCACGCATTCTGGCCACTTCCATCGCAAGTCAGACAAGCGTCATTACATTTGACACATGCCTGAGAGTCCATGTAGTATCCATCTTGGCAGGTATCACATGTAGCTGCTCCTGCATTCTGTGGTGCCGTACATGTGGCACAGCCCTCGACTCCCTTCGTCGCGCCATCTCCCACCGTGTCCCAGCAGAGGATGCACTCCCCACCAGGAGTCACTGTTGCAGCCGGGTTCTTGAACAGGCCGTTATCTGTATTACACTCAGTGCATACTCCTCCCTCAGCCTTTGTGCATATCACACTCCATTATCACACTATCACCCACTATCATACTATCACCCACTATCACCTTCTATCACCCATTATCACCCATTATCACACATTGTACAGCATTCACTACCTAAGTCACGCCTTCCCCCTGCACACGAACCACCAGCAGAGGAAGCCCACGAGGCCCCCGATAACAACAATCACAGCAACGGAGATCCCCGCGATGGCCCCCGTGGAGAGGCCGCTCCTGTTGGCGCCAGAGGACACACACTTATCACCCTCTAGATTGTATCCATCAACACACTCCCCACACACATCATCCACCACACAGCTCTTACAACCACCCACAGAGCACAGGACACACCCACTGCCGTCCCTGTTGGGCTTCCTATCACTGTCACAGGAGGTACAGACAGCGGGGGTCATACCAGCTGTTGTTAGAGCTGTCGGGGCTGTGCACTGGGAGCAGCCATCTACCCCCACATATGCCTTAGCGGTACCTTGAGGATCTACTAGTGTGCCAAGGGGATTACCACAAGCTAGTACAGACTGATCAGTGGTCTGTGCCCCAGGGACTACGAAGTACCTATTACTTGCCGCCTCTGTGCATATCCCATTGTTATCTGCTTTCTTGCACATGTGACTACCAGGAGCCTTCGACACATCATAGCACCCTCCCATATACATAAAGTACCCTTGAGCACAAGACTTGCAGACACCATCGGCGCAGGTATTACTTGCAAGTGAGCTGGTGCATATACCATTGATTGGTACATCTCCTTGATTTCCACAATAAGAACAGTAATGATGCTCTACTCCATCATTGTCGATTACTATAGCATCGCAGGCGCCAGAGGTCCCACCACAAGCCGTGGGGTCTTCACAAGTCTTCACACATGTATAGTCATCCCCTGCATCTCCATTGGACTGCTTCTTATAGTTCACCTTACATTCAGTACACTTGAATCCACCAGTGTTAGAGCAGACACTGCACCCTTCGCGACCCTTGTCG